CGTAGGCTGAGCTCAATGCTGGCCCGCGCAGATCTCTCCGCCTCTTACGACAGGATAATATTCCCTGAACAGTCGTCGACTCTGGGGAGCGCCTCTTCAAAACGACACGATTCTCTTGGTCACCATGGCCGCTCTAGTGCCTCTTTTGTTCATCAGGGCCATCATAGCCTTGGCAGTTTGCTGGAAGCTCCCCTAGATGGTGGCTTAGATGATCGTGTGCACAACATACGGCTTGATGATCGCGAATTCGATGGGCTGCAACACGAAATGCTCTTTAGCAAAATCCACATCATTCCGATAGATAGTTCAAACGTCCATTATTCAGCATCTAATGGCGCAGCTCGAAACCAGCCCAAAGTTTTCATCCTTGCGGCTCCTCCGTTTGCTACGAATGATTACCAAGCGGGCCAGCTGCTTATCGGGATTCAAGAGACTGTAGAGAAGCGCCTTCAAATGGTCACCTTCCCTCTCAAGCTTCACCAAAAGCCTGACGCTACGGTAAACCCTGAGAGGGGGGAGTCGCCGCACACCATCGTCACCATCTTGCCAGGTGATTTCAAGAGGGCGCAGAATGTCGTTGACTCATGCAAAATTGTGGATGGAAACCAATCTGCCATTCTGGTTCTATCCGAATCTATGGATGGCCGACATGAGCTGAGCGCTCAGGCACCATGGAGCGATATGACCAAACTCTCAATTTCTCTCCTTTTTGTCGACGATACAAAAAGTTTACAATTCTGCGGGAGGGCAGTTGACAGAGATATAAGGCAACGAAAGAGCGAAATTATAGACCTCACCAATGGCAGCATTGTCGGCGTTTGCCACCCTAGACATCGCGGAATTGTTGACGTTGTTGACACCCAAGGGCGCTTGCATCAGTTGAAAATCCAGCTGCGCCCATCGAGCAGCCCGGTGTCTGATATTCTCAATGTCTGCAGAAGTGTCTTGGCAGATTCACTAGGAGAGCGAATCCATACCGGATGGCTTCACACCATGCAGTGGCTCTATAGCCAAGGCAAAGCCGATGCTAATGTAGAATGGTCTGCATTGGTTACCTTACTCCTAGCATTATTCCTAAACTTGGACCGGCAAGAACTTCGAAATCCGCCTTCAGAGAGGCTTCCAGTCCGGAAGCGGAGGCTTCCTTCTGGCTCTTTTGCATCTGTTCGAGACTCTGATGATTGGAAAGCTCTAGAAAGGGGGGAGACTGCAAATTCTCTCGGCTGCCCGTCATGGATGATTAATCGCGGATGGCAATGGGTACTAGAAGAAGATGTGGAAGAAGTCTCATCTCAAAGCGGTGCTCAAGGTCTTGGTGCAAGGTTCATTTCCAGGCATATTGCTCTGGCTAAAGAGTACATGAGCTCATCATTCGGGATAACTGCTTTGGGTCCTTCTGGATACCTCCCAACTTCCCTCGGCAGGAACTCTGAATACAAGCGCAGAGTCGCAGTGGATATTTTTATGGCGCTGCACTTATTATCAGAAGAACAGAAGCTCAACATCATGTCTGCCGAGTACCAGCCCTCTGGCCGGGCGGACTTCCGAGTCATCTTGTGTCAGATTGCAAGATGGTTGAAATGGCACACATTTTCATCTTTTTACGAGCTAGGGATACAAGAGGACATTGATCCACGTCATGACCACGGTACGATTTCTTCCTGCTCCTCTGCTACCTCTGATGCAATAAACTAATAAGCTTAACCGTCAAGAACTTCGCTTGAAATATCCAATTCCCGAACCACCGGATAGGCCAGATATACTAGAATGGATTCAATCCTGCTTTGTAGGACTTCGCGGCCAACACTATGTCACTCCAGCAGACATATTCTATGCTGCAACGCAGTTATCTGAACCAGACAAGATGGTTGACAGCCGCTGGGACTCTATACTTCCCCGGACCTTGATATTCAAGCGTTTTTTCAGTCTTGTAAAGCCCAACGCCACAGCAGGGCAAATGGTCGAGGCGATGAAAGACTGCGGTCTAACCGGCCATGTCCTCGGAACTCTCCCAGAAGCTATTCTAATACCTCTTCAAGATACCATAGCGCTCTGTCAACCCCACCCTCCCTCTTCGTGGTCAGATGAGATGCTAGAATTGGTAAAGAGAACCGATATTAGTCTGATTCTCACCTCCAGTAAACGCCCTCGCCCGGCCATGTCGAATATCTTGGTGAGCAGCTATCATTATCCCAATCTTTCTTAATCAAGTTACTAATAAGATGCCTAGACACCCACACATACTGCAAGTTGGGAATACAAGTTACTTTGCGAAAGTGTCGAGCAAACTAATAGTCAAGGCTACGATGAAGGAGAAGGCACTGAACGCCAATCAGTTATCCGAGCGCTTTTCAAAGATGACCGTCGCCTCCAAGAAGCCCGAGACTTGCTTGCTACTCACAAACCAAGAATTGTGAGTCTAGCCCAAGACCCAGGCTTGCCTGACCATGAGTATCTGGAAAAGCAAAAAGAGCTAGTTTCCCGGATCGCAACTGGAACTCTGGCTATTCCAGCAGGAAGAGGACTGCTTTACTTCAGTCTACGCTTTCCTCTCATTACTCAAAAATTCCATATTGGTGGTTTCAACCTGAACTGCGTTGTAAAGCCAAACAATGTCACTGTAGGTGTGGACAAGGCGCTATTCACAGAAGAGAAGGTATGCTGGGGATTTTTCCATCAAGGTGTTGCAGCAGGGTTGGCAATTTCTCCACAAGCAAAGGGCATTGATACTTCGTGGATTTTATACAACAAACCGGGACAGGATCTCAGCAATCGCCACGCTGGATTCCTTCTAGCTCTGGGGCTGAATGGGCACCTCAAAGATGTCGCAAAGTGGGTGGCTTTCAAGTACCTAACGCCGAAGCATACCATGACCTCCATTGGTCTGTTGCTAGGCCTCGCCGCGTCGTACATGGGCACCATGGACTCTCTCATTACCCGTCTCCTGTCTGTACATGCCACACGTATGCTTCCACGCGGGGCTGCGGAACTCAATCTTTCGCCTCTCACCCAAACGTCTGGCATTATGGGAATTGGGCTCTTGTATTGTGGCAGCCAACATCGACGCATGAGCGAGATTATGCTCTCGGAGATTGAGCATGTCGAGGATGAGGACGAAGAGGAACCGCTAAGGAGTGAATGCTACCGTCTTGCGGCCGGCTTTGCTCTTGGTTTCATCAACCTTGGCAAGGGAAATGACCTCAAGGGCTTACAAGATATGCGACTCACAGAGAAACTCATCACGCATGCAACTGCGACTAAAAATGTTGAGATTGTACATGTCTTAGATCGAGCCTCGGCTGGCGCAGTTATGGCCATTGCACTCATTTTCATGAAGTCAGAGGATCAAATTGTAGCACGCAAGATTGACGTTCCAGACTCGGTACTTCAATTTGACTACGTCCGCCCTGACATTCTCCTTCTTCGAACTATGACGAGGAATCTTATTCTTTGGTCCCAGATTGAACCAACGTTTAGTTGGATTCAAAGAAATCTTCCTGCTGCCTATCGTTCACGCCACAAATTAAGCAATACATCTAAGCTGAGATCTTCTGACTTGCCATTTTTCAGCATTCTAACCGGTCTCTGCTTTTCAATTTCTCTGCGCTTCTCTGGAAGTGCTTCTCCCAAGGTGCGAGACTTACTACTGCATTATCTGGATCAGTTCATGCGCATCACTGGACTTCCAGCAACGCCGAGAATGCATCCAGACGCTGCTCCGCTCTATGACGAAGAGCTGGCCAGGACAAATGCCCGAATGTGTCAAGATATCCTTGCAGTCTCCTGCTCTATCGTTATGGCTGGCACAGGCGACATTGCCGTTCTCCGTCGACTTCGAGCTTTGCATGGTAGGGATGACCCCGATACGCCGTATGGATCGCACCTTGCCGCTCATCTCGCCATTGGAGCATTGTTCCTTGGCTGTGGAACAACTACCTTTGGGTCAAGCAATAAAGCAATAGCAGCCTTACTGGTGGCCTTTTACCCGATTTTCCCGGTCAATGTTATGGACAATCGATCGCATCTTCAGGCATTTAGACATTTCTGGGTCCTTGCAGCTGAGCAACGCTGTCTTGTCGCCAAAGATGCCGTCACGGGACAGCCCGTATCCGTGCCTGTGCATATTAGAATGCGAGGCAGCTCTTCTATAGAGTCGGTGCTGCATAGAACCACTCCATGCCTGCTCCCTCCTCTCGACCAAATCTCCAGTGTAACTACCGCCGGTGGGCCGCAATTCTGGGACGTCGAGCTCGACTTCTCCAATGAAGAGCTCAGAGAATCCTTTGCGCAGACGCAGACACTCTATCTCCGCAGGAGACCACCGCGCGAAGGTACATTCGCTTCCACGCTTAGGGCACTCGGCGAAGATGGAAAAGGCGATAACCCGTTGGGATGGGTGCTCAACTTGGGTGCTTTGCAGGACTTGAGCTACGCTGAGAAAGCCGCCCTGCTGGATACCGGCGATGAAGAACAGGGTTCAATTGGAACTGCCGTCGACGCGAGGCTCGAAATGGAGCGAGGCGTCAAGGACGGCGGTGATAGAGAGCGCCTTGAAGGCGCGAGGCTGCTGTTTGAATGGGGCGATGCTCGAGACAATCTCCGCCAGGCCTCAGCAGCAGCAGCCGCTATATCGGATAGTCAAAGTACCATCAAGCCGGCTACGCCTCACCATGGGTCGAGAGACGGTGCTACTCCAGAGCAGGAAGAAAAGGAGGATGAACAAGCCGAGGGCGTCTGGTGGATGAGAGATAGTGCCATTGAGGCTCTCAAGGGAAAAGTATGGATGGCGGCCCGACAGCATGAGCAGTGAACAAGCGTTATATGAAAATGGAAGAGCTATTTTTTTTGTCAGGGCTGTCTTGAGTTTATACATTACGAATTACGATAAGCATAACGAAAACCACTGATGTCATATAGATACGTATAGTCAGTAACATGCGCCGAAATAAAAAGTTCAACTTGTCTTTTTCATCACACCGAGTAGTTTCCAAGTGCAACAGTGGATTCAAATCTCTTTTCATCATTTGCACAATAAACTTTAAAAAATTTCATTACATCTCTTGCCCTCTCTCCCTCCTCTCCCTCTCAAGATGACATCCTCCCTGTCCCTGTTTTATCCGAATAAACGCCATGCAATGCAAACCGCATCACCAGAGAGAAAAGAGAGATATGAACATAAAAATAAAACAGGGCCAGTCTACCGCTTCTTTTGGCTCTTTTTGTCTTTAGATTGCCTGCCAGCCCCCCTCTCCTTGTTCAAACCAGAGCCATGTTTGCATCTAAAATCGCCGGGGTTTTTTTTTTGGTCTGCAGTAGCCCATATATATCCGCGTTGTGCTCAAATGTCCTTTCCTTCTCGCTTTTTTCCAAATCGGGACTGTTTATAAAATGAGGCCCAGCATCATCTCTGAAATCCACTTCCCACCCCCTTCTTCGACAAAGATCGACCGTTGGATGAAGTGTTCGTTTTGCTATTCTGATATCTTACGAATATACTCTGCTAGTAGATGTTTCCCGTTATTGTTTGGAAACAGCAGCGTTCAGAACCTGCGTTCTGAAGAATCCACCCTTAGTCTTCTCAATGACCTGCTGGTAAACGTTGTTGGGCGGGTGGTTCATGATGACGGTGCCGTCTTGGCTGTCAATCTTGGCATCCAGGCGGGTCTCGCGAATCAGGTTGACGATCCACTTCTCGCCGTCATCAGGGTTCAGGCCAAGCTTGGCGCTCAGATCCCTAATGTTCATTCGGCTGAAGATCTTGCAGTAGCTCTCGCAGATGAGGTGTCGGGCGGCGTTGACAAACGCATCTGTGGATGCAGCCAGGAAGAAATCGCTTCGGCACACTTCCTCCGACAGGCGGAGGGCCTCACGAGCAGCATCGAAGTCGTGGGCAATGTAAAGGGCGTTGACGAACTGGGTGATGGGGTCGGCGTACTCGTAGGCCTCCTGTCGGACATAGCGAACGATGTCCTTGAGCTGCTTCTGCTGGACAGAGCTGTTGCGAGCACGTGTGCGGCCGGTGATGACGGCAGCAATCAGGTACCGCAGAATCCAGGGGCAAGAGGTCTGAATGGTGTTGATGTAGGAGGCAGAGAAGAACATGTCCAAGATGGGCTCGCGGGCACCTTCGAAGTTGAACAGGGGGAAGAGGGACCAGTGGATAAGCATGGTCCGGTGGTCCAGCTGAGCTCTGGGGTTGTTGAAGAGTCTGGTGTCGATGCCCTCACGAACATTCTTAAGCTCGTCAACGGCAGACTCCCAGTTTGTGGACAAGATTTCGGAAGCAAGCTTTCCCCAGGTTGCAGCGGCAACCTTGTCGTTATCGGTGGAGAGAACTCGGAACTGGTAGAGCATATCGGCGGCAGGGCCATATTGGCCGCATCGGAACTGGAACTGTCCGAAATCGTACAGAGCATTCACCATTTCGAGGGTAACCTGTGCATCTTTAGCATTTCCAATGGCTGCGAAAGAAGGAGAATTTTATGCAGCTCAGCCTAGTCTGTTTCTGCCTTGGATTGCACCTACTCCGTGCTGGTTCTTGAGAAACTCCAAGTTGGCCACCTTGTCGCTTCGCAGGCCATTGACGACCTCGTCCTGCGTCAACAGGTTCGCAATCTGCTCCGTCTCCTTCTCGTACTTGTCCAGCTGCGTCAGCACATCCTGTCGCTTCTTGGTGTACTCGGCGGGCGGCTCAGAAACGCCGTGGAGATCGCAGTACAGCGTGGCCACGTAGTCGGTCATGTTGGTGTCCTCCAGCAGCTTGATCTTGCCCGACAGGATCTTCTTGGCCAGCTCGGCATCGCCCTTCTCCTCGGCCTGGTCGCCCTCGAACTGGATGAGCGGGAAGAGCAGGTGACGGCTCAGATGCGGCGCAACGTTGGCCATGACTGACGCGCCATCGGCTGGCAGGGCCTTCAGAATATCCTCCATGGTGGGTAGAGGTGAAGTTCGCAGTGAGAAAATGAATCGGTCCCCGGCGAAATTAGGCGTCTGGATTATTCCTTTTGCTCGTTGAAAGAGGAGGAACTCGTCGCTAAATCTGGGAAAAGGTCGCCGTAATTGGAGGGGCAGATTTTTGGTTAATTTCGCGAATACACGAAGTGGTTGTGGGGGGTTGAACTTTTTTAGCCGAGATTCTACCGCTACTTCCGCGAAGAGCTACATTTTGGCTTCTCATCATGTGATCTCGAGATTTTTGGTTGAAAAAGCAACTTGTAGGCAAAGTCGCGAGATAGCAGTGGATCTATATTAAGAGCTTCATGCGCCATTGAGACGACGGCTTTGATTCTTAGCTGGCTTTGGCTGGTATCTTTCTTCTTATTCTCCGTATTCTCCAATTCCATTCGCTCAAATCCGCATCCATCACAGGGTCAATCCCCACCAGACGATCGATTTTCGCCCATCGCAAACTCCAATCATCGCAAATAGCTTTACAGCTTTTCGCATCGCTTCCCCCAACCATGAGCTGCATGATCCCTAGAGCGCTTCCTCTAAGGAGTTTGGGCCTCTGCCGACCTGCAGGACAGACTCAATTCAGTTCCTTCGCATCAAGGCATCCCTTGTCATCTACCAACCAAGCAGCATCAATCTCAACCAAGCCCTCACCTGTTTCTGCTCGACAAAATCCCAACCAGAAGCTCAAAATTGCACCACACCTGCGGCAACTGAGTCGCGCGCCTGTACCTCCCCCGACCAAGACTCCTGAAGAACTTGTTAGTCTGGGATATATAGTGCGCCGCACACCTTCCGTCCAGCTGCCCGTATACCGAAGATGGATGTCTGGTGGCACTCGTCAGGTGGTCTTGATTAAAAAGATCGACGGGGACCGAAGACGGCTATTAGAAGATCTTGTTGGTAGCCTCGGCATCGCTAGAGAGGAAGTACGGATCAACCCAACAACGCAACATATAGAATTAAAGGTAAGAAACTTTTAAAGCCCGTACTCGCTAGTAAGAAGGCCAGAACAGAGACAATCGCTAACAGCTCGTGCCTCTCTTTTTCAGGGAGATCATTTTGACAGGGCCAGAGGATGGCTACTGGACCGGGGTTTCTAAACCCGTGTGGAGGAAAGGGGGAATGGCATCGAGTAGAGGTTGGAGTGAGCATTGGCAAAGCTCACTTGTGTAACTGCCGCATTTTTATGATTCAACATATATATGTACAACAATTCAGTAAATGAATAATCCAGACCACCAAAAGAGGTATCAGTGTAATATGTAACATCCCTACCTCCTATGTACACAGACGCCGCGGTAAGTGCGCGAGAATTCCACCTTTCCAAGCCCGCTGATATTGAACACCCATGCACCATCGCAATTATGACGGACGGCTAAAACAAACATTATCAACCCCATACGTATCATTTACACGTTGATCATTGTCTCTCCCTCCTCTCCCTCCTTTTTTCTTCTCACTCTGGACCAAGGGACGCCCACCCCACGACAAATGCTCATTTTGAAAAAGACCTTTTGTGTGATAGACATAAAAACATCCAAAAACAGATTATTAACCTGCTAGGCTTGTAATGGTCGACAAATGTTGTAATAGACCTTCTTTTGACCACTCAGGACTCTGCATGGATAAGGCTTCCAACAGTGTTTGCGTAGTCGGTAAAAAGGCCCCCGCAGCCGAAATAGCAGGGTTGTTTGGATCTCTTGACTTTTCTACCAATCGCCTCAACAAAGTAACTGAGAGAGCAGAGATGTAGGCGAGCTCAGGATCTTTCCTGGGTTGAGCCCGTCCCGCTCCTCGACCGAAAGCCTGTGGTTGTTCGTACATACGACTCAGCTCTTGGCCGAGACGGAAGAGGTTGTTTGCAAGTCCATTGCCCGCGGCCAGCCAGCTCCTCACAACGTGCGACTCTGCCCCAGGTGCCAGAGATGCAATGATCTCCGCTGATAGTAGCCCTTGCATAAGATATGGCTTCCGGACTTCCACAAGCGAGGGGAAGCTTGTCGGCCGATCACGTTCTTTGACCTTGTCCGGTATCGGTGAAATTGCCAACGCAAAGGTACGAGTCAGGAGTTCGTATGGGGGGTTGTTCGTAGCATCAATAGCAAAGAGGTTTTTATAGTGGCTTCTGTTGGGCTCGTCACGTGCAAGCAATTTTGCCAATGCATCAACAGCGTGAGGGAGATATGTATGAACGCTCGGGTCGTAGTTGCTAAAGAAGAGAGTTTCACCGGTCACTACTGGGCTGGGAATCGGAGCGAATGACAGCAAGAATTGCAAAAGACAAAACGCTTGCTCCCGACCAGGTATTTCGATCGAGCTAGAAATATTAGAAAGGAGGATAACCACATCCTTCATGAAGTCGAGGGTGTTGCTGTGAGTGCGAAGAAGCATGGTCCTTGTGCCGAGATACCTGATAGCGGTACAAAGGAACTTCATGACAGATTCATCAGCAAGCATATTGTGGTTATCATTCTGTTCGCCTGGGAAGGAGACATTGCGTAGGATAGTCGAGATGCACACTAGTCGATCAACAGCTCTGTCAAGCTCATAGTCTTCGGTCCCGAAAGCAGGCACATCGCGAATTGCGAATCGCTCTATGCGGCATGCCCTGACAACTTCCTCGTACGAAGTAAGCTGAATCTCATCGGACACCTCCGCTGTGTGCTCAGTCAATAGCTCAAGCTGCTCTTCCGCACAGTCGATGAGCGCATCGACCAAGTCGTCGCAATATCGTAGCTGCAAGAAATGCGCCTGGTTCACTGAGTGGGACACCGTCGCAAGCGTATCCAAGGCAAGGCGAACTTCCCCGTGTATTCCACTTTGCAAGCTGCGTGTTAATGCAGATATGTCGATGCTGCCGAGGTCATTGACCGGCGGGACAGTGGGTTTCCACCGCTCCAACTCCCCACCTAATAGATTCGCCGCATGGAGGTCGACACCGCCATATGTGGAAAGCTCCCGTGCACAAGGGTTATAGTCTTCGGATTTTGGAGGCAGTCGGGGCATCTGCTGCTCAGCACCCATCATACCCATCGACCTGGCATCGCCTGGGCCCAAGGGCATGCTCCCAGTTCTTGAATGAGCCGGCGACGGTATTGAAAAATCATTCGGCCCAGCTGCATCGATACTTCGGGATAAACTGTTTCTGTTGTGGCCGGGCATAGCATTTGGCTGCTGAAGTTGCTGCGGAGTTTGCGGAGTAGAAAAGCCGTTGACAGCAGGCTGGCCAGGCTTCACAGGAGTGTGCTGTTGCGCATGAGATTGGGGTGGTGGCTGTGGTTGTTGATGCTGCTGCTGCTGTTGTTGCTGCTGTTGTTGTTGTTGTTGCTGCTGAAGAAGCTGCTGTTGCTGCTGCTGCTGCTGCTGTTGGTGGTGGTGCGCTTGCAACATTTGTGCTTGATTCATCGGCTGCCCCTGTGGTATCTGTTTCTGCGGTGTGGCCTGATTCGCGAGGTTTACTTGTTGCTGCATCAATCTCTGTTTCTGCTGAGCCACCCAGGCCTCCTCAAACTTGAGTAAATTTCGTTCATAAATCTGCCTCAGCGCCAAAACAACGTTAGGGTTTTGCGCCTGAAGTCCCAAGATCTGGGCTAGGGCAGCCCAGCCATTCCCAGCGGTCAGCGCCTTCGAGCCGCCTTTTGCCTGTACGGCCTGGAAGAGAATCACCAGGCTAATGGGCCTATCTCCAATCATAGGATTCGGATCTAATGGGAGGCCCTTTGCATGCATAAGGGTTGTTAGGTTCTTCATGAATTGTTCCGCATTGACACTGCCCGCAGGTCGGTGCTGGGGTCGCATTTGCCCTTGGGGAACTTGGCCATTCGGCACACCGGGCATCGGCTGCTTCCCTATCATCCCACGCCCCATGCCCTGGGCCTGCATCTGAGCTTGCATTTGCATACTGCCTTGAAGCTGCTGCTGGAGTCGCATCTGGTACGCAGCCATTTTGCCATCCGGCATGGCCTGGAGCCGCTGTTGCTGCGATTGGGCTGAGGGCTGCTGCTGTTGCTGCTGGTGTTGTTGTTGCTGATGTTGCTGCTGCTGCTGTTGCTGCTGCTGTTGCTGTTGTTGTTGTTGTTGTTGTTGTTGTTGTTGAATCTGCTGTTGCTGCTGTAACTGAGCATACACGTTACCTGGCATCTGGCCCATGGGCTGCCCCATCTGATTCATTTGCTGGGCCATCATGGGATTCCCCGCCATGGCGCTCGGATTCGGTGATGGACGCGAATTCGATGGTGACTGCGTGAAGGCCGGGTTATAACCTTGGGCGATATTTTGCATGTAAGGGTTCGGCTGAGGAGTGCCGTGCTCCGAGGCAATAGGCGATGTCTGAGAACCAAACTGCTGGGCGCCTGGGGAAAATGGATGAGGCGAGGCCGTCGCCACCCTCTGAGGAACACTGCCCGGGCGCATTTGGTTCCCCATGATGGGTGACGGGCTTGCGTTGGCCGAGCCGTTGGTCTGGAGATGCGAGAACTGGCTGGCGTTCTGCGGAGGCATGGCGCCGGGCTGGAAGCCGGGGAAGTTCTGCTGCTGCGGCGTTTCGGAGCGCGACGTCGGGAGCATGCCCGGATTCTGTCGGGGAGAGCCGGAGATGGAATCCTCACGGGGCCGCGGGCGTTTTGATGGAATGACAGAATTGGTCTGATAGGCCTGGGATGCCTGGTAGCCCGCGGGCGAGGCGTGGCGCATCGGGCCGTTCTGCATGGCAGCCATCTGCTGTTGATTGGAAAACTGGGCGCCAGGGTTGAACTGGCCCGGGTTGGCCATGAAGGCGGACGGGTCCATCATGGCACTGGCGGCGCTGGGGTCATTCATGTGCGGGAAGCCGTTGCCATTGTGGTTCGGGACTGCGTCGTTCATCCAGGTGCTCATGGCGATGAGCCCGACAAGCTGTGCGCGGCGACGTCAGCAAACTCAGCAGGCACGGCGGCCAAGAGCCCATTGATAAGCGCAAGGATAGACGGAGACGGGGCCGTGACACGGCACAGTGGGTGGTTTGATGGACGACAACGTTGAGTCGCGTCGCGGGTTGGCGGAGAGAATGTATGTGGATGTGTGTGTGCGTGTGGTGTCGGGTGGGAAATGGCAGACGGAGGACGGACCAGCGAACAAAGGGCGCTGGCTGGGGGGGGCTTCCTGGGCGGACGCTGCGCAGGTAGCACTAGCAATAGCAGGCAAGGCGCTGCGAGGTCAGCCAGGCCGGGCAGGCTGTTGGGCCACCTGCGTGCTGAGGCGCTGAAGCCAGCAGAGACCCGGGCGCCCAGGGAGAGGGGGGGGGCGGCGAGAACCCTCTAATCAAGGTACCTCGGCGGGCGGCGGCAAGTGCTAGCGAACGGACGTACCTTTTGATACCCGCGACGGGTCCGAGGGCGGTGCAAAGGGTGCTACTTGGTGCAGGAGATTTAGGGCGAAAAAGAGAGACGCCGTTGTACGGATACTTGCGCCAGGGCACCGCAGAGTGTGCGCGCAAAGGTACCGGTACACCTGTCCTCCTATGAAATTATTGGCGACTTGTAGCGCAGGGGCAGTGAGAGCGCGTGCTGGAAGAGAGAAATTTTCGTTCCAGAGGGCGGATCGGCGCTGATGCAGTAACAAAAAGACACCTCAGCGGCACCCACGCAGCACCCAAGGCTCGGCGGTTCAGGGCAGAGGATTTCGCTAGCCGTCGCGATGCGATAGAGACAGATTCGGTATGTCGCCTGGGGGCCAGCAAAAAGCAAGGAGGTGCAGGCGACGTGAAGTGAATGGAGAGCCAGGTCTTACCTAAGGCGCGTTGAGGTGGATGACTGCGAGTCCTCGCTGGATTGGCAGATTGGTTTCAGGCCGAAGTGAAATGCTCCCTTTGAGGCGGCTAGCTGTTTGCGAGCTAGCGCTGACTGGCGCTAGCGCACCGAGTGGATTCCTGGCCAATGAGCGCGTCGCGTTAGTGTCGCAATAATGCCATCCGGTCGCTGGGTTAGTGATAGTGCAGGATCTGTAGCACAATCTCTAACAGCATGAGCCAAAGTCGTTATCAGCGCCTTATTGTTGCCGCACACGTCGCTCGTGTTCAAACAACCGGCGCAAAAAAAAAAAAAAAAAAAAAAAGGCCAACTCCGACTGGGAGAGGATTTTTGAGAGGAAACCAAGCCTGATCCAGCCAAGAGGGAACATCGCATACACCACTAGACGGCTCATGATATCAATGAGACAGCATGGCAGTGCTCTTTCCCTCCTCTCGCTGATGCAGGATGTAATTCCTGAGCAGATGCCATCGCCATGGCGTCAAGTGAAGCAATGCCGTCCTGTTAGATGCATGCGCCAGTCGCGGCCATAACCATCCTTTCGCTTCAACGGTTGCTCTCTTCTTCGGACTGATTTGCTTTTTTTTTTCTTCCTGTCCTATGGTGCAGCTATACACTTAGTAAACCGGGCATCTGTGCATTCTGGTTGTTCGAGCTTCAAGTTGGGAGGCGATGAGATCCTCCATGTAAGAGAGCTGAAACCAGCCAGTCAGGTCAATCGAGCAACATTTACCTCCAGATGCATTTTTCGGATACCAACTTTGGCTCCAGCAAAATAGGCACATGAAGGAAATGTTCCTCACGTATACCCGGCCCGCAACAAACAAGCGTCGGATATGGCTGCAAAAGTCGATTTCTCCATGCCGGTAATTTGATAGGGTGTACCAAGGCTGCAGCCCAGAATGGGCTCTGTATCTGTTTGTGCTAACGTAGCCCTTGTCCCATATACACGCCACACGGCGAGTAAGAAAGGAGGCGTGGCGTTGGGAAACAATTTGAATAGGATGTGTTGAGCGCAGCGCAGAGCCCGTGCCTGGCATTCCAAAACACTCAATCTCGGCCAAGCTCTTCATCCATCAGGGCGCTGAGCCAATGGATCGTGCTGCATCTTGACTCAGCTTGCTTTCGGTGTTACTTCCCGCAAGCTTCTGGCCCTGCTCAGATCAGGAATCGACTGCACGCTGACCGGAGCCCCACCTCAAGCCACGAACCAGGCTTTGGCGGTCCAAAGCATTCTGTTTGGCTGGGACGCTCGCTTCCCACCTCAGGCCGTGGTTCACTCGATTTGCTCTTTGCAGCCGCCAAGGTCTCTCGGCGGGATCAAAGCTGAGCAAATCCAGCGTCTTTGCGCACGAGCCAGTGGACTTGGCGCCGGTCTGCTCCAAAGCCGCGACGGGGATGGAATGAATCCTGGGGTCGTCGTGTCGCCTTGTGACACCGTTTGATGCCGCTGTCCAGTCTCCACAGGGTCAGCCACCCCTGTCACAGCGCACGCTCTGATGGCGGCCAGAACAGCGCCGCTGGGCCATAGTCGAGTCTCTCAAGGGCCCCTCCGACATGACCGGCTCCCGCATCGGCGACGATTTTCTGCTGCTCATTGTGTTTCTCCCGAGGGCAAATCCGTGCGTTGGCGAGGCCGTTTAGCCCATTCCCTCTGTTACTGAATTGCGAGTCGCTGTTTCTGCACTGCAAATGTTTTCGCTGGTCGCTATTCTCTTTTCCGATTGACACCAAGTCGTGGGGGTCCTCCACACAGGCTGGGTGAGGTAATCAGGTCCAAGCCATGTAAGTGAGCCTGTGAGGCAGAGAAGAGCCACGCACGGCAACGCACGAAGAGAATGGCATCGAGGACGAGCAAAAAAGGGCCGGAAAGAGGGGACAGGGACGAAAGAAAGATTGAAAATGGGAAGAAAACCGGCGAGGAACGGGGGAAGGGGGGGTAGTTATGGGTGAGAGAGGCAGAGGCCTAATAGCCTGCCTACCGTCTGGTACCTACCGCCTGGGACCTGGCATTGCCATGGCCATTAGCTCCAGGCCTACAGGTACCTCTTGCGACCTACTACGCCTACTAACGGTGCCTACGGCGCAGCGCTGGGCAGCACACGCATAAAGCTGGCACACGATTAATGACGCCGCCACTGATAGCATCAGCACCCTCGCTTCCGGCCGTCATCAGCCGTTGCACCAGGGGTAGGCTTGGAAGAGGAACAGAAGAGAGAGGTAGAGATTTTTTCGTTGTTTTTTCCACGGTTCGTCTGCGAGAGCTCTCTGCACTCCAAAGGGGGGGTTGTCAGTTACCTCGCCATATTCGCTCATTCTAGTGCCCTAGAACCCGTGAATTGCATCGGAGGTCATTCACCCCCACAGCGCAGCACGTATCACGTACCGAGCGTATTATCGCCCAACCGACTACCACCAAGTTGGCACCAACCGCCTGCCTCGCTCCGCGCACCCTCACCATGTATGTTCCTCGCCGGTAAGAAATACACCAACGAAGAAAGAATCACGAAATCAATGAAGGAGAGTATGAAAAAAGGACGATGAAAGCGCAAAAGCACAAGATGCAGAAGCAAAAAGAAAATCGACAAGTGGAGCTTTACTTGACCACGATGCCAGGCGCAAAACGTGCTCCGGCTGTTCTCGCGAGCCCGCTGCCTTTAATTAGTGTGCGTCTGTGGAAGCACCCTCTGCTGATCACAGCTCGATGGCTCCCGCCTAGTCCATCACCACCCGTGTCACAGAAGAGAATGACGGTCTCGCGCTCATCACCGCCTCAGTGGTGAATTGCTAGCAGCTCTTCATCTATTTCACCTGCAGCACAGGCTTTTAGAATCCAAGTCGCTCATCCGACCCTGATTCCCCCTCCTTTATCGTTGCGGCCTTTTGGGCTAATTGGGCAAGCTGTGTGCCATCATGCGTGGCCTAGGCTGGCCGCCGAGCCAGGCTCTCCCGCCATTCCCTTCTCTTGCCACCCACATTAATAAGAAATTGAAAAGGAAAAAGAAAAAAGGAACAGGAAACTAGGTGAGTTGAGTTAGCTACATGTGTCCAATTACGCCGTCGCTAAGCCATTTCCCCCCGGGCATTCGTTTCTATTTGACAGAGAGATTCAGCCCTTTTGGGGGCCGCGGTTGGCGCTGCCGGAAACGGCACAGAGCTTGGACTCGACGAGACGCTGCTGCATTGCATTGGCGGCATCTCACAGAACTATGGAACAGCAAGTTGATTGCGACGTGAGCCTGATTCAATGAAGAGTCCGACCGCGAACATACGTCTTTTGGCTGCCTTGTTTTCTCCTCTATTCAAATGTAAGCTTCTCTCAGCGAGTTTCTACCGGGGAAGCGGAAAGTATAGCTGGAGGCTAGAGACAAGGCCTCGGCGCTAGCAAGAGGGCTTTGACGTTCCGAAACTGTTTGCTACAGCTACTGCTGCCATCAGCCGAGATTACCACTGTCACGCTTCGCTTTGTGCCGCACTCCAACATGTCCACACCTTTCTTCCTTTCGAGGATCTGAGAGAGAAGTGAAGGCAAGAAAGAGCAAGACCCGCAACACGGCACCATGTGAAGTGGAATCGTGGGCCTCGGAACTAGACGAGCAGCAACAGGTCCCTTCACCGTCTGCGGAGACATGAATTATCATCCAATCCAAAAGGATCACAAGCTGTCTATCATCGACGAGCCGACAAATCCTGTGCTAGACGAACGTCTGCGAGCCCAACAATTCGCTCATCGTCAAAAGTGACGGCCAGGGTTGAGTATCCAATCGTACAGGGCCCCGCATGCCACCAGCATGACCCAATATCTGCAGCTTCTTTAAACACATCTTTGCGCCTTCTCCAAAAGCATTGCTTGCTGCTGTTTGACAACCCTGAGAATCCTCCTCCTCCTCCTCCTCCTTCTCCTCCTTCTTCTCCTCCTCCTCTTCCTCCTTTATCCCCTTCGACACATTGCAGTCGCTCCTTGGGCAAACAGGTGTAAGCCAGAGTGCAACCGGTGGCCGCGTTAGGAAGGTTTGTACAGAAGTGCTGCGTATAAATTGCGGGTTTCCGCAAAATCTGTATGCAGGGCAGCGTGGCCCGTTGATTGAGAATTAGGTCATTTTGCTCGCAGGCCCAATGAAATCGCCGCATCACTCGCGTGTGTACGCTGCGTATCAGTCACAGTATCCGCATGCTCATTCGTCCTCTCTATTCGCTGCCCGGGCACCGATAAAACGGCCTTTGCAAGCAGCCATTCTCCCGGCCATAATATCCAGCCCAGCTGCCTGTTGATGCCTATCTTTCCTCCAAGCTCTGACGGGAGCCGGAGTGTGGTGTGTACGGGAACTAATGCTCGTCAAGTATTAGCCGCACACCATAGAGACGCTATACCTGACAGCTTACCTGGCACCGACTGCATTGGGTGCGTCGCGAGTGTTACGGAAACCCCAAATGAATGAGGAATACGATATCTCACCTAAGCTAGGAGAAGGATCCTTCAAATGAGCATAAGCAATATGAACGCGGCCATTTCCTATGTATTCTTGATGCTCCTTGTAATCGTACAAGTGGCTGTATCTTTCTACCACTAAAAGTGCTTAGACAGGGGTAATGGCTTAATGATGCGCTTGGCCTTTGTTTGGAATAGCCTGACAGATTCTCTGGAACAGCTTCTTGCATTGCTGGATGTTCTAACACACATACAATGGAATGTTCAAACCATACACCACAGCACAGCATTAATCAAGCGCACATATACCGCGCAGGCTATTGAAAAAAATTGGATTAGAAAAAGCAGATGCTATAAAGTCTTTTATATGACCCATATTGGCCAAAGGGCAAACAACGCAAGTGCTTGGTGTAGGCGTGTAGGGTAGCATTAATATATACAGGTCTAATTCGCTGCGCCCGCATTCAGCTTCTCTTTAGTACGCTCCAACACCGTCCTCAGAGCTTGGTCCAGACCCTCCAGCTGCAGATATTCATCAATCCAAGCAATCGACTTCTTCTCCAACGCCGCTCTGTTCGTAGTGGTTTCCAGGTACGATCCCAGCCGCTGCAAAACTGTACCCAAGTTTCGAGGGAACTCTGCTGCGAATGCCGAGACCCCCAAAAGGGGCTGTCTGATATGGAGGTTGCAGGTAGAAGGATCGTTAGGATAGTGCTCATCAAGGGCGTCCAGGACGTGCTGGGATATCCGCGGCTGAACCGAGAGCTTCTTAAACGAAACAAACATCATGTAGAACTGCTCTCCGACTTCGGGCTTGAAAAAGGGCTGCCTCCGTGATATATCGAAAATGGCCATGGGGATGGCGCCGTTCATGGCGGGGTTTGACTGTAGCTCTTGTGTGGCCTTTTCGTCAATCACCTTTGCCTGTGCCTTTGACGGCTCCGGAAGAGCCAAGTCATCATCCTCGTTCTCTTCATCACTGCCGAGCAAGAGGAGCTCATCGTCGTCATTTTTAGGGCGTGGAGCCGGTACTGATTCTCCCTTTGCCTTCTTTCTCTCAATCTTGTCCAGCCACTTCATCTCGCATCTTGCATACTCGAGCCACAGGGTGCAATCCGAAGAGCAGAACCTGCATCCTCTCATGAAGCAATTTCTTGCGGATGCCATATCCCCGTTACTTGCGAAACGGTCTGCCGCCATCACCCACATCTCGGAATCCTTGGGCAGCATTCGAAGAGCCCTGGTCATGGTCTTGCGCCAGCGTTTTGCGGCATTGACCTTGGCCATATACGTAAGATATTCACGCCACAGCGCGCTACTTGCGGGATGCCTCCCAACGCCCCTGTCGTAGATTGACAACACTCGAGCTTGGCCGGCGTGCGCAGAATTGAGATTGCGCAGTTTCAGACGCTGGCAGCGCTTGGAGCGGAGAGACTCGACTGATTGCTCCCATTGTGCGTAGGACGACCATTCCAAGGGAGTGCTCCCAGGGGACAGCACCCTGTGTTCGAAATCGTTTCGCTTTTGGACAATTGACCGGATTTCGTCCTTGATCATTGGATGTTAGCTAAACTTGCCAATGGAGACTTGCTGCTGCCGCGCTCTCACCTTGGAAAATATCGACTTTTCCTCCCATTCTCGCAGCTGGGGCACTGAGCGTTCGAGGAAGAACCTCGCCTTATCCGCGACTCCGGCCATGTTGAGTACAGCCTCCCCGGTTGAGAAACTGAAGCTGTTGTTGCGTGTGTCCAAACAACGTCTGCAACGGATGTTCGCCGAAGTTTTTCACGAGGCTGCCAAAAGTTTTAGTGGAACCTCTTTGAAGCAAAAAATTTAGCGTTATTTAGAGGGTCCCTGCTCTTTTCCGTCATCAGTGGCTAGGCCTAAGATCCATCGACTTGTACGGGGACTAGTCTGTTTTTGGTTCACGGACCTCGCTCGACTGCAATCGTCCGAGGCCAGCCCAAAACAACGCTGCGGCTATGTGTGCTCGTAAACATCGTATAACGCCAAGCATAAATTAAAAGCTTCAGGCTAAGTCCTGATCATCTCCGGATAAGCTCCTGAATGATTCCCAAAGACCAAGGAAAAAGATTTGATCGGATGATGCTAAATCGGCGTTGCTGGCTGTGCTGACTTCACGTGTAAGGCAGTCTATAGCGATTGCGGATGCTCCTTGCCGAAAGCAAACTAGTGGGCTGTACATTATTAAACGTTTAGGTGAGAGGAAATTTGGGGCTCAACCACAAAAAGCTCGCGCCGAGACGTGTTCTCACTATCCAATCCTTGTCATCCCCACAGAGAGCAGGGCACAGGGGGGTAAGTCGCCTGTTGACACGATCGCGACAGGCCCTCGGCACGGGCGACTATAAATCCAATCTCTTATGATTTTTAATTCCCCTCATCCAACTCCCACCAGTCTTTATTTCCGGATGCTCCGGCCGCTCTCTTGATCGCGACCTCTCATTCATTCCCTTTGTCGCGATGGCGTCGAGATACAAGGACAAGGACGGCGGCATTGTCCTCAGCTTTAACGGACAGTGGGTTAGCTGGGCGCATACAGCCGTGGCTTACAGTAAGTCCGATCGCCGCGGAATTGAAGCTGTGGACGGGCTGGAAAGTCCTAGATTTGCGCAGTCAGAAGCTGATTTTGCATCCGAAAAACTCGCGCAGCTGCATTCTTCAGCGCATTGATAGTCGGCGTTTCGTTGCATTACCACAAGATCGTACAAAATGAATTCTATGGATACCCCGACGAGTGGTTCCCATCTGTCTCTGCGACGATCGGCGATCGATATCCGGAGCGCTCGTTCTTTATGATTTTCATTGCCATCACATCAGGTAGAAGCGACCTTGCAGCGCCATGACTCGAGACGAGGCTGACTTTTTGAATTCGTTTAATCCGCACAGGGCCTCGTTTTGCGCTCGTTGGCCTGTGGTACATTTTAACTCGTAGGCCCAATTCGAAGCTCCCCGGTTTTGTCGCATCCATGGGCTTGCTGCGAACCTTGACTTGTGGCGGCTGGACGTACATTACATCTACGGACGACCACGATTGGCACGATATCCTCATGATATCCTACATTGTCTGCACTCTACCGTGGACGACTGGCTGCATTGCTCTGAGCCCGCCGAATCCCTCTGCGATTCAATGGCGCAAGCGCCTAGCGGGTCTCTTCTTTGGAACTCTGGTGCCTTTGATCTACTTCTTCATCCAACACAAAGTGCACCGCGTAGCTGGAGGTATATTTGGCCCCCCTTCAGCCGTGAATGAATGGATGCTGAACCGGAAACTAACCATGAGCTAGCTTATACCACGTACGCCTTCTTCGAATGGGCATTAATTCTCTTCGACGTGGCTTTCGATGCGGTTACAGCCCTCGATTTTAATACCTTTGAGATTTTGGTGAGGGATGCCAAAGGGACGAGCAAGGGGTACGTGCAATGGCTCCCCAAATAGAATGCTGTTCTTCTTATGCGAAATTGTGTTCAATATATCTATTCTACAAGAAAAACGTCTAATACGTCCCTTTTTGGCAGTGAAAACTACTCCTCTGTCCCATCTGCAGTTCTGGAGAAAGAGTAAGTTCTTCCGTGTGTCGAGAGACAAATTCTGCATTTGCTTACAAGCGACTCTATCTAGAAAGGAGCAGATTACTGGGGGCTTTTTCTCTATCCGATTCACTACTGCGGATGCCCTCGATACTGCTGCCAGCGTTTACCATGGAGTTAGTTACTTTTGATATACACTCTTATATACGACCATGTGGAGCTAACCTCTTGGCAGTTTGTCTTTTGGTCAATGCTTACTAGTCTTGGCCTCGTCGTGTGGTGTAAGATTCCAAATCTCTCTTCCTTTTTATACCTTGACCCCCCTGTCCTGACACGCATTAGACTTCCCGCTTTGGCATATGGGCATTTCTGGCTTCGAAGCCTTTGTTATGGTGACTATCGCACCAGCATTATTGGGACTTGGGCTCGTTCGATCTTTTGTTGTCAACAACCTGAGACTGATTCATCTTTTGTCGCTATCTGGAGTTGCCGCGTACCTTGTTCTTGACCCAGTGCTTCGACTGTGCGCCGTTGGACTTGGTGTTGGGCTCTCATGTCTTGGATGGGCTAGCTCTCTGCACGCAGACTCAGTTCACAATGTTCGGTTCGAGAGCAAGCTGCTTGGATGGATGATTGGTTTGATCCTGTCTTCTACCATGAAATTTGCGTGGACTACGAATAACCCTATCTGGCCCGTCATGCATGCCGAGAATGGCGGATGGAACGGTACTGGACTCGTACTAGGAATTCTCGCTGCCCTCCGGTTCACAAGGAAGGGCCCGCTTACCGGCTCTCTCGCGGAAGAGCCAAAGCACCAAGGCTCCAATCTTCTTGCTGCTCTCGGTGTTGGCGGCCTATTCTTTGGCTTGCATTCGCTGCTGTCTGATACGAGTACAATGATTCTCTGGGTATGGGAGGGTTTCCCAATCCGCGGCCCGTATTTCTCCACGCACGGCTGGTTTACTGTTGCTGCTATGTCTGCAGGCATCTTCCTGGGCATCAACAGACCCGGCCTAGCCGGAAGCTGGCCCCAATATGCGGTTGGGTTCATCAGTGCCATGATCCTGACCTTTTTCAGTCACTGGTTTGGTTACTATGGTGGCCTCGGTCTGACAGTATATCTCATGGCAGTCTCCGTCCCACTGATTTCCAATGCCGCTAAGAAGAACCCAGCGGTCACATTTGGGCTGGGCTTTTTGGTATATAACTTTGTGGTATTGTTCCACGTATGGGTTGTTGCTTACGCATTTGTGCCAGGAGGTCCGCTCGTTCGAGAGCGTACAGACTGGGTGATGCTTACCATGATGTTCTTGATTGGTGCCGGCGTGTATGATTTCAACACATCACAGCCGCGCTACCAGCCTGCTCGCCGGTCATCCCCCTCGCAGCACAAGAAGTATTTTGGTCTCTCAACCATCATCGTCAACGTCCTATTCATGTGTGCGGCGTTCAGACGATTCCCCACCAATGATTATAAGCCGTACCATGCTGAAGATCGGATCCTCACTGCGGGTATTTGGACAATACACTTTTCTCTAGACAATGATATGTGGTCTTCTGAATACCGCATGCGGGATTTGATCAAGGAGATGGAGGTAGATGTCATTGGTCTCCTGGAGTCAGATCTTCAGCGTATCATTATGGGCAACCGAGACACGACCCAGTTCCTCGCCGAAGACTTGGGCATGTATGTTGACTACGGCCCCGGCCCCAACAAGCACACTTGGGGCGCTGCCCTTCTATCCAAGTTCCCCATTGTGGAATCCAAGCATCATCTCCTGCCTAGTCCAGTGGGTGAGCTGGCACCGGCAATCCACGCTACGTTGGATGTCTATGGCCAACTTGTTGATGTCTTTGTTTTCCACTCTGGCCAGGAGGAAGACCCCGAAGACAGACGTCTTCAATCCGAATATCTTGCGAACCTCATGGGCTCCACGGACCGACCAGCATTCTTACTTAGTTACCTCGTGACAGAGCCACTCGAGGGCAACTACAATACCTATGTAAGCGACACCTCGGGCATGCACGATGTTGATCCGACCGACTGGGACCGATGGTGCGAATATATCCTGTTCAAGAATATCAAGCGAGTTGGCTACGCGCGTGTTAGCCGAAGCACGATTACCGACACGGAGCTTCAGACCGCAAAGTTTGTTATTCCACACTCGGACGCTGAGATCCAAGAGCTAGCAGCCCAGTCTGCTGAGGATCGAGACCATCGCGTAGAGGAAGGGGATGTTCCTGAAGGATGGCGCTATCCCGCCATGTTTAGAGGAGATGGAGTAAGAGATCATCGATACCACGTCTTTGACGAACCACGCTACTTCAACTGATTTCGGTACCGGCGGGGAATTGTATACTTGTCTGGACGGAGTTATTTGGCGGTTGTACGGCGGCTGTCTTGGGCTTTTCTTTACTGTTGTTCTCCCTTTTTTCGCTGGAAAGAGCGGAGGGGGAAAGGGAAACTGGATTTTGATACGGAAAATGGGCTGTAACTGATTAATGACCATCAGGGGCATATACTTTTTGTCATATAACCTGTGTAGTTGTAGAAATAATTTGTGTGAATTCTTGAACATGAATACCACTTCGTACTATACATGCAGCGAGGACAGGCATACGTACAAGGCATATAATTGAGATCACGCGGTTTGTAGCTCCTATATTCCTTGTTTCGTAATAATATGCTATTTATTACTGGTCAACTCGCCTGCAGTATAAACAAACAATCCTGCAATGCTACTTACTCGATTAGGTGAGTAGATGGACGCAGCCAATCATTGGGTGCATAGGTAGACATTGGATCAGGTTCCTGGGGGAAGTTTCGCCTCCCCCCCACCATATCTATCTCTCCGGCATATCCTTGCGGTGTACGGAGAGCCTATTACGACATGCTCATACTTAGCAAAAATCAGTGATACGAAAAGAGTAAGCAAATGTCCCGCGGCAAGTTCTCGCTCCACGACCACCGCAAAAGCTCCACTCGAGTCCGGACCGATAAAGTGGAGAGTGGAGAGAGGATCGAAGAAGGCCCTCGCAATCTTTGGATACCGGCGGCACGACTCGGCTCCGCTTTATGCAGCTACGCAGTACGGGAATCGCAGAAAGTCGATATCGAGGAGCGGAAAGGGGGCGGAATTGATTCCAAGGCGCGGCTTCAGTCGCTTCATTTTTTTCAATTTTTTTTTTTTGGTCTGGATGCTGGTAACCTTGTGATTGTTTCTGATTATGCAAGTTGATAAGACGGGGAATTTATAGAGGAGATGATGGATTTCTAATTGGGATCGTATTTTCTTACGGCTTATTGGGCGATGGGCGGAGTGTGACGGTGTGTTGTGCTCATGTTGGTTTCTGACATGTACAGTGAAGGTTTAATGTCTGACTAGGCCCCATTCCAGCAGAGATGTGATGATCAAGCCAAAAGGATAAAAAAAAAAAAAACACTTGAAACTCATGACCTCAAAGTGGCGACGTGGTTAGCAGTTGGTTGGAGAAGAACGAGCTTTGAATCCAAGTAAGCGGAACTCGGTTTTCGGGATGGACGTCTGTCTTACTCGCTACAGTACAAAATCAATCCAATCCAGAACAAGCAATATCCCAGATCTGAGATGGCGCTCCAAAGCTCCAAGCTGCCCCTCCACAATTGACTCGTAATGCCGGCCTCCCTACTCGCTGCATACCAAAAACTCCCTTATCTCGTCTTGGCGCTTACTTTCTTCTTCCTGCTGTGCTCGTTTGCGTACGGTATGTCTGCACACAGCGTCTGCTCCCCCGCACACCGGACGCCCGGGGTTCGCGTCAGACGCTTAATTGAAGCGTTTCCCCGCCGAAGCTAAGCGGCAGTAGGGCTGATTCGAGCCATCATATGTCATCAGCTTTGGCCGCAAAAGCCTGCATCCGGGGCATGTTGGACGAGACAATCGATAAGCCTCTGCGCCGTGTGTGCCGTGGAAAGCCGATGATGCAAGCATTCAACGGGCTTTGGATAATGCTGGAGGACTGGGGTAAGCTGTTTTGATAATGCTTGACTTCTCAATGGCGGCGGGCTAGTCGGGATTCATGAAGCCTTTTTTTTTGTGTGTAATATGGGGTTTGTTATACGGGGGAGGCTGTGAATAAAGTGTGTTTCCTTTCCCTCTTCTTTTCTTTCTTCTTCCCTTCTCAGTCTTTCTTACAATTGTCTTTTTTTCTTCTTTCTTGGTAGAGTTTCACATACGACCAGTGGATGGTTTGAACTCTGCAAAGATGTTGCAATCATTTAGCCTACAACATGTTCTTGCATGGCTAGGGATTCTGCTTGGCGGCGGAGTCTTCTATGTAAGTTCTTTTGACGCTGCAGAATGGGGAGGATGTGATGCAGAGCTCTACGCGGTGTAGAAATTGCGAAATGAGGAGCTCTGGGAGGCCCCCAAAATCCGGCGGTGCTAACATGGAAAATCAAGGTCTTTGCCATCATCACCTACCGCATTTTCTTCCACCCTCTTGCAAAATATCCGGGTCCTCTCATCGCAAAGGTCACAGATGCCTACCAGCTCTACTACGCCTGGAGGGGCGATCGCCACCTTCAGTTCTGGCGCCTGCATCAGAAATACGGTAAGATACATGTTACAAAATGAGCACTGAAATGAAATGGCAAGAGTCGCGTCTAACATGGGCTGTTGCGCAAAGGCAAAACCGTCCGCTTTGGCCCCAACTCGCTCTCATTCAGCACCCACCAGTCGCTGCAGGACATCTACGGCTTCAAGGCCAACGTCCGCAAGTCCGAGTTCTACGACTCCTTTGCCCACCCGGTGCACAACACTCACAACACTCGCGACAAGGCCGTTCACGCCCGCAAGCGCCGCGTGCTCTCCCACGCCTTCTCCGAGAGCGCTATGAAGGACATGCAGCGATTCATTCTCAACAATGTGCGCCTGTTCTGTGAGCAGCTTGGCATCGAGGATGGCGGAGCCGACTCCAAGGGCTGGACTCAGCCGCGAAAGATGGACGACTGGTGCAACTACCTGGCCATCGATGTGCTTGGTGATCTGTGCTATGGTAAATCATTCCGCATGCTGGAAAGCGCGGACAACCGCTTTGCCCTGGACTTGGTCGAGGCCGCCACCACCAGACACCTTGTTGTAAGTCATTAATGCTCCACGGCGTGAATTATGAAAAGATGTGTATTAATCATGGGGAACAGTGCGGTACTATGCCCATCGTCAACAACCTCGGACTCGACAAGTACATGTTCCCTGCTCTGGCCGCTGGACGTGCGCGCTTCATGACCTACAGCAAGGCCCAACTGACGGAGAGAACCAAGCTTGGAGAGGATGCGGACCGTCGCGATTTCTTTTGGTACCTTCTCAAGGCTCGTGATCCCGAAACTGGCGAGGGCTTTACTACTCCTGAACTCTGGGCTGAATCCAACTTGCTGTAAGCTTTTCTCCTATACATACACTATATGAACCCTAATGCTGACGTGAAAAATAGCATCATCGCCGGATCTGACACAACCTCCACTGCCATGGCCGCTACCCTGTTCTACCTTACCCGCAACCCCGCGGCCATGAAGAAGGTTGTTGAGGAAATCCGAGGCAAGTTCAACGACGTCGAGGAGATTGTCCAGGGCCCTGCCCTTTCATCCTGCAGCTACCTCAAGGCTTGTATCGACGAGGCCATGCGCATGTCCCCCTCTGTTGGCGGTATTCCTCCTCGCGAGGTCATGGCTGGCGGCGCCACCATTGATGGCGAGGTGCTTCCCGAAGGCACCGTCGTCGGAACTGCCCACTACAACATCCACCACAACGAGACCTACTACCCCCAGTCATTCACCTATGTCCCTGAGCGTTGGGTTGCCGGCGACGTGAACCCCATCACCGGAAAGCCAACCACCAAGGAGGAGGTTGAGAGGGCACACAGCGCTTTCGTCGCCTGGAGTCTTGGACCCCGTGGATGCATTGGCAAGGCCATGGCTTATGTTGAAATGACCCTGTCTCTTGGCCGAGCCATCTACCTGTATGATATGCGACGAGCAGTTGGTGTTCAGGACATCTCTGAGGGCCACCCTGACCTCGAGTTTGGACGACACCGCGCCAACGAGTTCCAGTTGAGAGACATCTTCACCAGCGGCAAGTGCGGACCTCTTGTTGAGTTCCGACGTGCCGAGAAGGCTTAAATTTTTCACTTATGGCTTCATGTATTTTATGACGTTGTTGGATGAGATATTGATGACTGTAACTTTTTGGATGGCATGTATTGGCAAACGAAACTGAAATTGCGCCGAGATGGAATCAAGTGCCAAAGAACATGTACAAAGCATGGAGCTGTGAAGGCTCATGCAAGGAAATAAAAAAGTAAATGAGACGGAAAAAAACACAATAAAATCTGTTTAAATTAAACCAGACTTCATGACTGTATGCAAAGTGAGCACAAAGATCAATTCTTGTAGGTATGCTACGTAAAATTTCATCAACATTAAAAGCTTAGGATTCTCACCCATAGATTCAGATAGAACAAGAATAGCAGATTGGTCTTCCATGCATTGCTGTCTTACTGCCTGGAGCAAAGGGACGCTACAGTGGACGATTACGCTGTGATTGGCCAGCATCTCTATTCCAGGCGCTGGAAAGCCGCTAAATCGCCCAAGGCTGCACAAGGCTGCCTATCTTAGCACCTGCTTCTATTTATCTTTCATCGCTGGGCTTCAACCACCTCAACGCATCATTTTTTCCCCTCCACTTTTCTCGCGACACCGCTGTGACTTGGCGTTGAAAATACGGCCTTTCGCGATGGCATAGCCGCTGCGATTACTAAATAAATATTATCCCACGCCGATTGCCCACCATGGCGCTATGCAGATTCTTCCAACAGGGCTACTGCAAGTTTGGCAGTACGTGAACCTCCAACCGACGTCCCGATCCAGCTTGCTTGAGGATCGGATATTGCATTGCTTTTTAGCCCGATTAATGAACTTCCAAAAAAAAAAAAGGGTCAATTTTTGATCGTCCAGGGAAAGACGCTAATTGTGGCCTGCCTCAGATAGTTGCCGATATGAACATGTAAATCCTAGTGGTAACCGCAACCAGCCCTCCTCCAACCGCTTTGGATCTCTCGGAGGAAACAACACAAGCGGAGGTGATGCCACGCTATGTAAGGTAGTCGAATCCAAATTCGCTCGAATACAGCTGACTCCTAGGGAAAAAAAATAAAGCAAAGTACAACATATCGCCCGATGTCATCGAGAAGGACTTGACGACCGAAGCACCGCAATGGATCCTCTCGGCCTATGCCCCGGGGCGAGACGCTCCAGACCAGCTTTTTGGAGGATACCCTCGCGAACAGAGTTTTGAAGAGCTGAGACTCCATTACATGATTGGAAAAACATCAGGGAATGAGCAGCAAGCTGTAAGTTGCCTCGATTCTGCTGCATTCGCTTACATCGCATGGTCATGGAGCAATCGAGTATACTAACCCAAGGCACCCAGCTGAACGAAGCGCAACAACTATGGCAAAATGCGAAGCAGCAGATGGAAAACGCGGCGCGAAATCCGAACGAGGCGGCACGTTTCATCGTTGGAGGAGAAAACCGACATCCGAACAGACTTGATATATGCAGAGAAGGAACACAAGGTGCGCCGTTTGGGGAGTTTCTGGTGGGAAAGAGACCGAATCCAGCTGCAAACGCATTTGGGGGAAACGCTTCTATGGCGACGACCACAAGTTCTTTTGGCCAGCCGTCTGCTCTGGGACAGGCATCTAATCCGTTTGGCACGCCCTCACAATCTACATTTGGCCAGCCATCTCAGCCCACATCGGCATTCGGACAACCGACCCAGACAACGTCGGCCTTTGGTCAGCCGCCTCAGTCAACCTCAGCTTTTGGCCAGCCGTCTATGCTTGGGGCCAAGCCTAGTCCGTTTGGTGCTCCAGCATTTGGCCAAGCACCCCAGCCAAATACCCAGAGCAATCCATTTGGCCAGCCACAACCACAGCAGACCCAGGGAAGTGCTTTCGGCCAAACCAGCCAACTTGGCCAGAAGCCGAATCCATTTGGGTCTTCGACTACTGCAGCACCGAGTGCTTTTGCCGCGGCAGGCAACAACACCGCGCCAGCTGCCAACCCTTTTGGCGGCTCAAGTGCTGGTCAAGGTGGCACTACATCAAGTCCTTTTGGATCAACCCCCGCGAACCAGCCTAACAACGCCCCTAATCCCTTTGGCCAGCCGACAACTTCAACCGCCTTTGGAAAGCCACCTGCTCCTGCCGCCAACCCATTTGGAGCCGCACCACAAGGACCAGCATCAAATGCTACCAATCCGTTTGGCCAACAGCCTTCCCAGCAGCAGTCGCCATTTGGGGCACCGACAAATCAGAATTCTGGAACCAGCTTTGGGCAGAACAATGCAAGCTCATTTGGACAGCAACAGCCCAATGCCAATCCATTTGGCCAGCCTCAGACAAATGGTGCTCCTTCTCAACCCAATCCGTTCGGTGCGAACCAGCAACCCCAAGCAGCCGCAGGTGGCAACAACCCCTATCCCCCGACTAGCAAAAGGCAACATCCGCCTGTTGAGAGTTATAGCTCAAAGTCAATGGATGGACGGCTTGCTCAATTCAAAGGGAAGCCCGTCACTTATAAAGATGGGCAGCCTGGTATCAAGGAATTCAATGGTACTTGGACGCGGATATGGTTCCCCAACGGCCCTCCAGGATATAACAGGGATACTGAACTAGCTCTGGAGGAATACAGCGACGTAGTTAAGGCGCAGTGGAATAAATTTGGACAAACGGGAACATTTGCCGATGGGCTAATGCCAGAACTACCACCACCACGAGTATGCACACGCTGGGATTTTTAACCGATTTGGATCGAAGGACGCACCCAACACTGTTGGGGCTTCAATGGATATGAAAGGGGATATAATCAAACAGATCAATACGGCGTTTATCGATATGGCTTCGTGTTCTATATATATGGTAGATATTCTAGGGCGTTTAATCGGCTTCACCACTACGACGGCTGTAGATTTTTTTGCAGATTTGAATTCGCGATTTTAGTTTGAGAATACGAGTACTACGAAGAGATGGATCATGCCTGTCATATGAGAGAAACAGTCACAATTAATGCACATAGGAGAGAGAGAGAGGTCATGTATGTCGTAAACCAGTTTATTGTGAGAAGCCTATTGGAGTCGAGAGAGGATTTAATTTCTCCCGACGTCAAGGTATCGGTCACTCCAACGTCTTTACGATATTGGAAGCTCGCTTAAGCGGCAATGGTGACCTCAACCTCGACACCAGCGTCGATGTTGACAATGATCTGCTTGACGACCTCGGTGGGGGCGTGGAGGCTGCAAAGATGATGGGTTAGCGACAAAGAGTCTTTGATGACAACACCAGAGAATCGAGGAAACGTACTCAATGAGACGCTTGTGGATGCGCATCTCGAAGCGGTCCCAGGTCTTGGAACCCTCACCGCAAGGGGTCTTGCGAGGAGTGACGGTCAGACGCTTGGTAGGCAGACGGACGGGGCCCTTGGCGCGGAGGTCCTTGTTCTTAGCACGGTCGATGATCTCGGTGCAAACCTTCTCGAGGACCTGGACCTTGCGGGAAGACAGGGTGATGCGGATCTTGTGGCTCTTCTATAGCAATTGGACAATAGAGGTTAGCTTCTGGCTTCTCCTTTCTCCTCGAGATATCATAGATGGAAGTCGTCGCAACAGATTCGGGGGGTGTGAAAGACTGACAGCCGGCTCCTGGACATCCTTGTCGTTCTTCTGGTAAGACATTTTGACGGCTTCACGACTCGAACGGATCGTTTAATAAGGTTGAATGATGCGACCTGCGTTGCGGCAAAGTGATGAAGCTGTTTATTCGTTGATGAAGAAGCAGAAAAAAAGGGCCAGTATCGCGGAACTATTTTTCAATTTTGGTGGGGTCGCAAATTCGCCCAGCTAGGGCTTTGGCTGTGCGAAGCGCTAAGCTCGATGAGGGAATGGCGCTTGATTTATTGCGGCGCCGTGATTGGACGATGGAGGAGATTCGTCTAAGCCTGGGGGATGTGGATCCTGGAACATGCCGTTAGCAGCATAGCTGCGAGCCTTGCAATGAATCATCCGGCGATGATGGGGGCGATGGCCAGTGAGAAGCTTCAGGCGGCGAGGGGCTCTATTTAATATTCGAAAGGCAGCTGCTTTTTTCGCGGCTTTTGTTGCTGATACTGTATCTGACACTCATTTAACAAGAAAACTTGCATTTTCTCTCTCATAATCGTCGACGGCAATGGCTTCTCTACCACCCTTTGCGCCGTTCCCAAAGGCCTCATGGCGACAGCACATCTCATCCCCCGACTGGGATGCCCTCTCCGAAGCTTGGATTGCGCTGTCGCAAGCTTATCTGGGCCTGGAAGATGCGGCGTTCAAACAGGCAGCTGCCAGAGATGAGTCCCTGGCGGTATTTGTATCGACATTTGTGGAGGAGACGGCTACAGAGTCTGGCGCAAAGACAGCATCACCACGGCTGCTGAAGACGATATTCCGCCTCATCTCACGGCTTCTCACACTATCACCGCCGCCTGAGCTATTAAACGTGAAGATTTTGGCCGGGCTTGCAAAGATATTTCCAAAGAAGCACACGGGACCTTTGCTTTCACAGCTATTCGCTTCTCACGCCACTCCCATCGAATCCTCCCTACTCTCTGTCAAGAAGCTCCTCATTCCACAGCTCGATGCCGGAAGCAAAGGAGATCAAAGACTTGTCGAATCAGAGCTGATTCGCTTAAATCCTCTGCTGCATGCTTCGCCCAATGCGTGTATACTCCTCCTGGCCGGATCCGACTTCTTTGATGGCCTGGTCACTTGTTTTCAGGTCATCAATCCTCCTCTTCGGAAAGCCATCATCACCACCGTCTACCTCTGTCTTATCGGATTGATCGAGACTGAGCCTCCGAAGTGGTCCATGATTAGCGATCAACTATTCGCCATTCAAGCTGCGGCGGAAACACACAAGAAGGGAACTTTGAATCCCAACGATTCTCTCGCAGCAGATCTTGTGACAAACACGCCCATCCTCAAAGTCTTGCTCAGAAAATTAGAATCATCGCCGACGGCGCCATCCAATCTCAAGAATCGCATCACAGCCCTGGAATCATTCAAGACAGGCGTCATTGTTCGGCCAAAGAAATTAGTCAAGAGAAAGATAGATAAAGGAAAGGGGGTAGAGGCAGCTGAGGATGTACATGCGGAAATGCATGTACACAAGATGAGCCAGATTACTAATATTCAGGATATCTTCCCAGACCTGGGAGCTGGATTCATAGCGAAATGCTTGGATGAGTACAACGACGATGTTGAAAAAGTCATTGCGAGTCTGTTTGACGATTCATTACCACCCCATCTTGCTACTGCAGATAGGAGTGAGACATTGTGAGTTTTTGACATCTCTTGTGATGATGAGATGAAGTACGCGGCTAACATTATAAAATAAGATCACATACAGAGCACGATGCTAGACCACATAAAGATCTTGCACCACACTCTACACCACCGCAACTACCCACAAGACGCAATGTATTCGACGACGACGACTTTGACCGACTGGCAGTTGATACTTCCAAAATTTCATTCGGCAAGAACCCAGAAAAGACTGCCGATGACATCCTCAAAGACAAATCTACTGCTCCAAATAAGGCAGCTATTCTATCCGCCCTCGCATCGCTCGATCCAGACGACGATGAGCGAGACGACACCTATGATGCCGCAGACGTGGGAGGCACCGTAGACACAGGAGACCAGGAAGCCAACGGTGTCAACGACAGCAACGAAGAGCTTCTCTTCCGCGCATTCCAGGCGGACATTAGGATATTCGCAAGAGACGCGGACACAAGGAGAGGCGCCACCCGCGGCAAATTACGAGATGAAACGGGCATGGCTGACGAAGCCATTGAAGGATGGGCGGTGATGCTGCAGAGGAATCCCACGCAGATGAGGCGTCTGGAAGCCAAGTACGCCTGGAGCGGCCAACAGGCGCAACTCGGCCGCAGTGCATGGAGAGCCAGCCCCGCCGGTTCAGGTGCCGAGGAGAGTGATCCTGATGGAGGCAACTCCAGTAACAGAGGTGGCGGCGGCGGTAGAGGCGGCCGCGCGCGAGGAGGAGGAGGAGGTCGCGGTCGTGGAGGCCGTGGCAGGGGAGGAGGAAACGTCGCCGGGCCTTCGGGCGAGAAGGAAACAGAGGCGGCGAGGAGGAATAAGGAGTCGCATAAGGGAGCGAGGGCGAATCATAATAGGAGAGATGCGAGGGCTAAGAAGATGGCCCGTGGAGGATTTGCTGGATGAAGATGAAGAATGCATAGACAAAGCATATCAAAATTTTCTTGATTTGCCTGTAGGTATTTAATGATGACAGGCGCAGTATATGCCTTTGTTTCATAAAGAATTGATAGAAACGCAAGGCATGAATAATGAAAGCTAAGACAGAAAAGGAGATACTTTTTGCTGCATCAACTAAGAAGTCAAATGGTGATTGACCGGCACCCCCCCCCCCCCCTTTTTTTTTTTTTTCTTTTTTTTCTTTTTTTTTGGCATACGCTCTTAATTTTCCTTCTCTTCTACTATAGCTTCATGGTTCCTGTTTCTTCATGCTGGTTTTCCGGTCAGTAGCACGAGAAATTGTGTGATACTGTCCTACATCTCAAGGAAGAATCATCTCTTTCTGGAATGTCCTAGCCTAGCCCAAAAACATTGTATATCTACTAATAAATTTAACAGCCAATATAGCTTCTTGTAACCTGATTATCTTCCCGAAAGCAACAGCGCCAAATCAATGCCATCTCGCTTCCCCAGCTTCCTCAGCTTTTCATGCCTTTTCTTCTTTTTACAACGCCTCAGACAATCCATCCACCACATTTCCAAGCATCCTCAAGCCGTAATACTTTGCTACTCGCCTCATAACAGCTAGCTTCCGCACAATCTCATCCCGCGACAACACCTCCTTCCATCCACCACTGCAAGTGCAATGCTCCATAAAGTCATTTACCCTCAACGCACCGCATCGCTCACACTTGAGATCCTGACAAGCCCACTCCGTAGTCCACCCCTCCACCATGGCGAGTAGTCGCTCCTCAATGCTCACCCTATCGTACTCGGTGTTGCAGAAGCCACACTGCCAGCTCTGCCCGCCATTCTCTCCGGAAGAGCTAAACAAATCTTCGTCGCGGCAGAGATCCAGGTCACGCGTCATGGTACAGCTGTCACAAGACACCTGTAGCAGTTTCAAACTCTCTGAAGGGTTTGCAAACGTACCATCTTTGGAAAATTCTCGGATTTCAAAGAGTGCGAGCAGCTCCTTGCGCAACAGTCTCGCTTCTAGTGTAATATTCTTATCAAGAGACAGCACCTGCATTATTGACTTGACAAGCTCAAGGATTGGGTTGCGCAAGGGGAGGTGTGAGCCAGGCAGGGAGGGGAAGCTGTAGTCTTCTGCCAGTTCTGGATGCATGAGTTCGCGCTTTTGCTGATTGATGAGGCCAGCAATGACCTTCTTCATTGGCTTTTCAAAAGCCTTGCCAAGAATAATCTGAGTTTCGCCATCGGGATCCTGCTTCCGATTTGGCAGCTGAGTGAGTCGTGGAGTAGAGTTAGGATCATTAGTTTCTGGTCGCTTTAGCTTATGCATGAGCTGAATGAATTCAATCACCCAGTCCTGGAAAATGGGCTGTAGACGAACAGGCAGGAATGTTGCCATCTGCCAGTGCATGATAGTCTCCAAATCCTGCTCTTCAGATTCTGCAACCACTTGAGTAGCCCGACCGCCGTAGTTGAACTCATCGTACCACACCAAGTAGTCCCAGTACTCCTTGATCTCCAAGTCAATGAAATGGAATAAAGACTTGCTCTTGATTGACTTGATGATGTACTGGCTGTAGGCATACGCATTGCCAACCTCGGCTTTGGTCGTCTGGAGAATCAGTCGGTTGGCGCTTGCAAAGATGACCTGCGAGCCGACGCGCCTGAAGTCTGACATGAGTTGCTGGAACGCTTTTCGCGACATCATTTGCACGTAGTAATGCAGTGCTCGATCGTACATGAACGAATCTGGATTCTCAACCCATCGGACAAGGTGTTGAACGAGCACGTCGGCCATAGTACTGCCTTTGCAAGCCTCCGCCCACCATGCCTTGACCATCTCACGAAGAACTAATACTCCGGCGTTCGCAAATCCATTCTCTGAAGCAAGAATCTCAGACCCATCAGCTGTAGGATTGAAGGATATTGATTCGGCGCCTTCGAGTTCGTTGATCAAAGACGATGTCAAAATCGTATTGATGGTAAGATTGCGGATATCTAAGTCAATGCAGACGGACGAAAACGTTCCAGGGTTATTAATACTAGGCATCTTGACTGTGTCAAGTGAGCCGGTAATATCATCCTTTTCATAACCAGCATGATCTGGCCGAGGGTCTGGCGACCACCATAACACCACCCCGTTCGCTTGTAGCCGTCGAGCATAAGCAATGTCGATCAAGAACCGAGGGTCATCACGCTCGAGATTACACAGCGGAACATCGCCGTAGCGCGCCAGAGCTGTGAGATGCAAGATCCAGGATCCCAGCCCCAGGTAATGTCCAACCAGACGTCGCGCAACAACCGCTTGCCAGCCCAAAGGTGGCAATGAACTATCAGTGGCGTCATATTTGAGGGGCAATACGGGAAACTCGCCCAGAATGGGGACGTCATGGACGAGGAGGTTATGTTGAGACGATTGAATCACCATCATTTGTGGTCGTGATTCGTCTTTGCGCAGTTTCCTCACAACATCGGCTATCTCTAAATGAGCCTTGCGCCGTGTTGTCACTTGAGTGATCTTGAAAGTAACCTTCTCTTGATAACCAAAACAATCCTGCCAATTCGTACCTGCAGCTTCTTCCGCTCGCCTTGCAAGCAGTTCCGAGTACATTCTCGTGATATTGGGGAGATCTGAACCAGAGTCTCTTCCCTTCTGTAGTATCACGACGTAAGCTTGGTCGCTTGTAGTGGAGAACAAGCCGAAAATCTGGCGATCTCCCGCAGTAATGTGCGATATATAGATATAAGCCAACGGAGACGACTCCAGATATGTCTTTGGCTTGGTAGGTCGTTTCAGACCCATCAGATCGAATCCCTGTTCAAGACCCTTGCCAAGAACTGCCTCCTGCTGCTCGTCAATAGTGCAAAGATTACCCAGTCGAAGGACTGCGCGAATATTCAAGGGCACCTGCTTTTCATACACACCCTCGACACTAGGATGATTGAACAAGAGTGAAAATTTCTCCGCCTCGTTGAAATATACGTCTTCTGGTACAGTGAGTTTAAAGAGATGCTTGGATTGATGGCCATTTGGAAGCGTGTAGTTGACTTGCTCAACCTCACACCCGGCAATCTCGACATCTGGTAGCTCTTCTTTCTTAAGGTTGAGGAAGACCTGTCGAGGAACATTGATCTTCAGTGTGTGGATCTTTGCATCAATCAACACATGCGCTGTTACAACGCCAGGGGTATCAGTGGCTTTGAGGTGAAGCAGCTGCCATGTGTTCATGAAAGTAAAGTGCGCCTGTTTCATGAATGTTTGCTGAATGTTGCTGTTTGCGTTGCTTCGTCTCTCGCCAAACAGCTGCCTCCTCCGAAGACGTGCTTGTTTCTGCAGTTTCCATTTCTTCTTCTGATACTCCAAGAATCCAACGTAATCGTCTGATGGATCAGGCATATTGTCTGGCAAAGCGGCCATTGGATTGGGATTCTCTGCTGGCTCGGGAGACTTTCGTTTCTGAGAAACGGCCGGTGGTTGTGACGACGCAATAAGTTCACCGAGTTGCTTTGGTTTAAGCAACTTGGCACCAAAGTCCTCCATGTCTTCTGCTCGATTAATGTTTGTGATATCTGCTAACGGTTCTTTGCTGCTGAATAGGTCTGTAAGTTTCTTTTGCTTCATCTTGTCATCCTTGATATTTATTCTTCGTTGAAGCCAATCAGGATGAGGGACTCTGGGTACGGGATTGCGGACTTTCTGCAAAGCGGCAGGAATGGTGATGAGCTTTTGGATCACAGATCCAAGACGCTCCGAGTAATAATCCCAATCTAGAAGGGCTCGAGGATCGGTATCTGCAGGCTCCTCCTTGAGCCACTTCTTTAGATATGTTCGCTTCACAGCTTCATCCGCGGAGAAGATGGCTACAGGAACGGCTCGTTCTGTAACAGGAGCATTTCGTGGCCGAGAACAGATAATGAATTTACAATTCAGACCTTTGTCTTTTACCATCTGCTCACCTAGAAAGTCGGCAAGACGTCGTGCGGTCGTGATACTGGTCGACTTCTGACTTCCGTATTCTTCCAAAGTCTTGGACATGCTTCGGTTCTCAGAAATCAGCTCCATCAGCTCTTGGTCGGCAAGAGTAGAGCCTTTGTTATCCAACACATCTAGCCATTGGTTTGCAACCTTGGCAACAGCGGTGTAACATTGCGACAAATCCTCTCCTTCCAAAAAAAATTTGAAAATCTGTTGTTGGAAAATCTTAATGAGCTTTAGCTCACCACGACGTTTGACTTCAAATCCTTTCAATTCTGCCAGGCTGCCGTCGTCATTGAACACGGCGTATCGCTTCTTCAAATTCTTATCCTCCTCTTTTGAAGTGGGCAGAATCATGGCCCTATAGGGACCATCAACTTCGAAAAAGATGGAATTGTCGCTATGAGTCTCGTATTTATGAGTTTTGTCATCCACCAAAGTCTGATATTGGTGGTTGGTGAATTTGTCATGCACAAGATGGTTAAGCATGACGCAGGGATATGATATGTTCAGCTTTTTGCCGTTCTTCAGCTTGAACGAGAAATTTTCTGGAAAAGTAGCTGGAAGCATGCACCAGATACCATCAGTATCCAGCTCGAGGGGCCTTCCAAGGCGTTCAACAAGCTGACGAGCAAGCTGAATAATCGTGGCTCCTGTTAAGCATGTAACACCCGCCATTTCCATAGAGTACCATCGAGAACCTTTCCTCATGACGTATCCGTAGAAAGAGTTCAGAATAACTTTGTGCGCAAGCTGTAGAGAATCGTACAGAATGATCATTTTCTTCGCATCGTCAATCTCATTGCCGGGTGCTCCAGATGACTTTAGCGCATCCGTTTTTCCCTTCCACACTTTGGCTTTGCCTTTGTAATCGTAACGACGATCACGAAAATCACGGACGGTATTGATGTAGAAAGGATTCTCACGCTGGCAAATAATTGCTTCGCGAACAATGGTAGTAGAGTCGTGAATCTTGTGGTATACCTTCTGAGAGTAGAGTTGAAGACGCTTCCTCACCAAAGTTGCTTGCTCATCTGTCGACAAGTCTTGAAATGCCCTCGGTGGAGCATAAGGTGTTTTCCCAGGAAACTTTTCATTCTCAAGGGCATGCCGAATCATATTATACTCGTCTCTTTTGGCAGGAATGTACTCCCCTCTCCAGGCCCAAGGTAATCGTCGATCGCATGTTTTGCCTGGCCGATTGAAATCACAAGCCGCGCAATCTGATTCGGAAATCATGGAGTCTGGTTGTAACCGATTTGTTGTCATAATGTTTGGATACATAGATGCGACGTCCAAGTGATAAATGAGCGGCCTTTCGTTTCGGTTGGGCGTCTCTTTCAATGCCTCAAGCTTGCTCTTAATCTGCTGCTTGACTTCATCGTAGTTGGTGACATCGTCCAGAGACTTGTGCTCCTCAACGGTTATGACGAAATTCAGCGCATTGTCCAAATCTCGCAGGAGCTCATCAACTGCGCCGGGGTCAACGGCAAAATTGACGGGGATATCGGATCGGAAGACACCAGCTTCGATACTCTCGACGTGGCCACCGACATACGTCTCAGAGTCGAGAAGGTGACCATCCCAGAAAGCTTCCTTCGGAGTTACGTGCTTATTCGGTAGTACAATCTCTTTTTGGTATGCTTGCACCATCAAAAGCATCTCACAGAGTGTACCGGTACCTTTCCTCAGGACGTCGTCGCCTCCCAATGGCAAAATTGTGCAGAGGGAGAAGATGAAAGGATGTACGTACTTCATGTACAGATAATAGGTGGCAACAGCATCGGAAACTGAGTACTCTGCCAACGTCTGCGGTCGCTCCTGCGCATATGGCGTCATCAGTTCTGGGTCGAGTTCATCGGGGTCATATCCAAGCTTGGCGACTGTAACGGCTTTTAAACCTCGAGATCCTTGGGGCAAGTAAGAATCTCGGTTGACCCAATGGAAGCAGTCCATATGAACACTATAGTTACACTTGAACTGGTCTTCGCTGTCTCTTTTCCAGCCAATCTCGTGGTACATGTCGATGCCATTTATGCTCGCTCTCGTCTCGACAAAGGGCCAATCGAAGAAGTCACCGTTGTAAGTCGCAATTACGGTAGGGCGCGCCTCTTTGATATGAAGAAAGAATCTTTCGATAACGGCTTTTTCATCCGGCTCATTAAAAATCATAAAGGGGCCAGGGTACTCGGGCTTTGGCGTGTAATCAAAATCGCCAATGTCCTCGGAAATGATTTCTCTATTCGTGATCAGGAATCCTTGGCCATCAATCATGTATGATATCATCATAATCTGATCGGTAGCGGCGTCGGGGAATTTCAGGGGAAGTTTCGATGTCTCGATATCGTATGCCATGACAACTGGATCGGCTGGCAGGGATCTGTCCTCGTTTGGTATAATCTTTGTGACGCCATGCTTTGCTTCGACAAAATACCACTTTCCAGCTCTAATATCTGAGAAATCTGTTAGCTATGCCGCTAAACTCCCAGATCTTGCCAATACAAGGTCATATACCTAAGTCTATCATTACTCTAACATGGTATGGAACATCGTATTCGCGAATGTCAACGATGAAATCGCTCGCCTCAGAAATAGAATTACTGGTGTTTCGCTCGTCATCTCGTAAATCATTATCAAAAAGATCGAAGTCGCCGCTCATCCTATGATCGTAAGTGTTATAATCTCCAATGTTGAAGAAGGGGAAAAAACACCCCTCCATGGTATCTGCAATTAGTACTCACGTCGCAACCTCGGCATATGCATCCATGGCATTCATATTTTTTCTATTCTTCTCTGCAATCGGCATGATATCTCTTTTTGCGGACATCAGGTCGCCGACGTTGGCAAATTTGAGTTCGATGAATGTCCGTCGGTAGCCCATCAAGTGATTCGGCATGCTGAGATCTTCCTTTTCCATTCTCCTGACGGACTTGACAACTCCACCACCAGGCACTCTCTTCACCCATTCCTCAACTTCAGACTCCCGGCCTTTTTTGACCGCGATTATGAAGTAAGGATCATACTCGACGGTAGCTTTGAATGTGCTCCCGTCAAGTTCTATGAAGTAGCAGTCCAACGCTGCTCGGCCACCTGGTATCCTCTCGTCCTCGATAGAAGTGGGCTGAACGTTGACTAGCCACCCTTCTTTTCTCTTCCCACTTTCATAACGGGCAAATCCCATCTTGTCGTCAATGCTCTGGGCCAAACGAGTACGCTCCCACTTTTCGTCTGCAGAGGTACCCTCGGCCCTCGAAGACGCAGCAAAAGTTCGGGTTTTTGGGCCATGGTATGCAGTTTTGCCCCCTCTTTTGTAGCCCTTTGCTGGGCGGCGCAGAGATGTGTTCGGCATCGCAAAGGCGTTATAGAGGGGTCGCTGCCAGCTTGGCAATTGGAGAAGTCGAACTTAATCGGTTGATAGTCTCGTCATGGATTATGATATTCTGCACCAGCTTGCTATAATATCAAAGGAGTCGTCTCGAAGCAGCTGCTGTTTCGTGTCTGCAGTGCAGAATGTGCAGTGGTTGGCCGGGCAAGTAAACAAAATCGAGTGGCGGCCCGTACCAAACGACAATCGCCCGCAGAGGATCTTTCGCGAAGATGTGTGTGGGCAGCTATCAGGGAAGACGCGTTGGTACGCGCTGATACGCGACTCAGTCTTGCTAGTAGCGCCACACCTTTAATTGATTTCCAGCCACAGAAGAGCTCGGCACAGCCACAGCCCACTCTGAAGCACCAATTCGACGATAAATCGTGCGAGCGTCATAACTGCTGCCAGTCGATTCCCAGGCCCCAGATCGTCCATGCAACCAGTTCGACAAGCAAGGTAGCCAGAAATGGCCCCGACCAATGACAATGAACGGCCCAATCCGAACGAAAAAGTTCTGCATGTGTGGTCCAAGCCGATAGCAGAAGGCGATCAGGTTCCAGAGTCGGCCAAGAACCCGGATGGAACTCCAACTTCTCAGACTGCATTTTCAGCAGCGGTCTCTATGATAAAGAAAGAGGACTTTACGAACGTAGCGAACACACCATGTGCACGGCAAGGACTTTTGACCGGCATTGGAGCTGGGGCCGGCCTTGGCGGCTTGAAATTTGTGCTTCAAGGTACGCTGGCGATCACATCTTTAATACGAAGAGTACTTTGGTGGAAGACGAAGTTGTTGGCTAACATCTTGTGTTAATGCAGGCAATGCCGCTAAATCTGCCAATTGGGCAGTTGGAGTCTTCATGCTAGGTAGCATAGCCTCTTACGAATACTGCCAGTACCTCCGGCGCGCCGAGAAGATCCAGATGAAGCGACACATTGAAGTGGTCACACAGAACAAAAAAGAGCAGGCAAGGAAGCTGGCTGATGAGAGGCGCGAGCAGCAGAGGATAGAGAAAGAGCGAGAAGCACGGAACCGAGCTTGGTATAAGTTTTGGTGAAGCTTAGGCAGATGCGCTGCCTTGTACCATTATGTATATAAATAAAAGAATAAGAGATTCCACTTGGATATTACGGCCAATTTCTGTTCAGAACAATATTATGAGGAGGGTTGTCGAAAGCGTATATATAATGAATTATCCAAAATCCCCACAGAAATATTGGAAAGCCCTGAACTCATTCCTTGGTTGCTGTTCGCAAACAGTACCATGATCCCAAAAATCCTAAAATCCCAACGCCGCCAGCCCATATTCCTCATCTGCCTCCAAGAGTATCGCAGAACTATTTCGTTCAAGCCATAAAGTCCCATCAAACGCCGTCATTCATCTGATATCGGTTTGATACCATTGCCCGTGCCAAGATATGGCTTCCAAGTTCTCCAATCATTAACAGTATCATAATCATGCCGTCATAGTAAGGTTTCTGCTCTCCCCATCTGTAAATCTGACTTTCCTCGAGGGAAGTGACTTGTGATCCCGCCTGGCGGGTGTACCAACCTCCCCTCGACGTCTCTGACTCCTCTTGTTCCTTGCCTCGTTCTCTTCTCGTTTCCTGTACTCTGCCATCTGTTGCCGCCTCTTCATAACCCGTGCGTGAGCGAGCGCTGGAGTGGGTTTGAATCCAATACCATTAATGCCAGTGCCGTCGTCATCCTTGTCATCCGGGTCGTAAATAGTGATTTCGTCCTCATGCCATGTTAATGAAGCCCGCAGAGGATCTACAATTTCTGCTTCATCATCGGCGTCGGACAGTCCCTCATGAGGATGTCCCTTTTTGAAGCGTAGGGGCGGGGTGCCGGCTCTCTTCTTTCTAGACTGGGATTCGGGTAGCTGGTTGATGGATGGAAAGACCTCCTGGAGCAGGCCTTCAGTTGATGGATCGGGAACGTCTAGCTGCAACGAAGGGTGAAGAGCCATTTCGACCACTTCACCCGTTTCCATCTCTGGCTTCAGCTCTGTCTCTGGCTGTAATGCTAGTTCTGGCTGTGGGATTAGGCCGGGCTGCATCTCTGCAATAGTATGGGCACCTTCGTCTGATCTATGGCGTTTCCTAGTAGATTCATCGGATTCCATGTCCATCTCATCAGCAGCTTCGACAACTCTGCTCCCGCTTCCGAGAGCGAGACCGCGAAACCTATGTACGACGGTTGAGGAGTGTGGGCTGTTGCTTCCATCTTCCGGCGGGCCGGTTGCGGAGAGATCGAACGAGAATTTCAGCGGCGAAGTAGATACATCTGACTCTCTCTTCCGCTTTGGTGTGGCGTTTACAAATTCAGTCATGGTTTTCAGCCTTCTCTCTAGGGTATCTTGAGGCCCAAAGCTGGGATTGAGAAAAGGCGCTGCGGGGAGAGAATTGGAGAGGAGGTTGAGAGAAATAGCGGGTATCAGAATGGGGGCCGGAAAGCGGTCAAGCAGCCTCGCCGGCAAACAGAAAGGCGCAGCCTGAAGGGCTTCTCGAGGCGCAAGCAGGGATAACTCTTCCAGCGACCTTGATCGTGATCGGTCGACAGACGGCATCAGTGGCACGAGCCGCATCAATCGCCTGAGCTTTCAGAAACGCAGCTCTCCGGGGTTGGTGGACTGCGCGTCACAAGACCCGGCGGCGCCTCTGCGAATTCGACGCAGCGCCACGTGGAAAGCAGCAGCGATCTGATGGCGCTCTGATGGCGCTCTGCAGCCGGGCAAAAGCGGGCTGCACCTGCGGGGAGCGCACAAGCCCGCTGTAAGGTACGCTTCGGTGGGCCAGGGGAGCTTCAGCCAACATTGAAGGCAAAAGCTACCTAGGTAGGGTATGTACGTAAGCCACCACATTCACTTGCTACAGCTATAAATAATATTGATGGAATATTGAAACTTCAATCAGCTGGATTTACAGCGCTGTTTTTTCTAGCCATTGCAGGACCTAGAAGTAGTATCTGGTTAGCTGAAGTTTTACCAACATTTAACAGCTAAATATGCCGGCCATGATTAATCTAGGTGACCCTGATTAGTGCAGGCATATATGTCACTTCAAATGGTCCCAGAAATCAGCGGCGTGCTTACCGCCATCTTAAAAGGAAAGCTCAACGTCTATCGACTGATCTGTTGAATTTGCAAACGGGCAGACGTTTTACACAGGGTCACATGCACACTCACGTGCAAGAAATACCAGTAATCAAGCACAGAAAAGTAGAAGTTTAATTAGGCTTTCTTGCATCTCGCAGCTGTTTTTCTTTACCCTCTTTCAGCAGCCATTTTACCTCCTTTGCGTCTAGTTCAAATCAGGAGCTTTATAATGGATGCGAAATGCCAGGCCTGTAGGAAAGGGCCACCGGAGGTCTCCCTCAAGAAATGTGCTAAATGCTCTACGACGCAATATTGCTCCCGAGAATGCCAAAAAGCTGACTGGAAAACCCATAAGAAAACCTGCGGGAAAAGCAACCAGTCTGCAAACACCACCGCCCCCCAAAAGGACTGGACCAACCTATTTCTATGCCTTTCACCCGCCTTGATAATGGCACGTAGCTTCACAATCGCCCTGAGATTGACGTATACAGGCTGCTTATTGATGCCTACCGCCTCCGTGTTGAAGATACTTATGTCATGGAAGGCGATTTCATGGAGGGCAGTATCTATGCCGGCAACACCGACGGGCTGCGTGGTTTCCAGAACTTCCTGAGGAGAGCTGCCACTGTTTCCGGCCTGTTGCCTCCTTGGTGGAACAACGAGAAAAAAGCAGCCTGCGAACAGCTGGGGATGGATACGTCCCAGTGGTCAGATCTACGGTGCGCTGTCGAGAAGCACGATATTATCGAGCAATACGGAGACCCTCAGTTCCCAATGCAGCTGCGAATGCTGGCGCAGGCTGTTTATGGGCGAGGCCCCGGTGGAAGCGATGGAACGGCAATGCGAAAGATGATGGCGTCAATGGAAACGGGCAAAGTTGGAGCGGATACACAGGGCATTATGCTCGACCTCACGACTATGGGAGAGTCGAATATCCGTGATGGAAACTAGTCCCTGACCTTGGCGTCAATAAACCATGACAGGGATTCTATCACTGGGATGATATGTACTTGGCTGTTAGTTTTGCTGGCGAAGAGCTCAAGCCTCCACCGTGAAGTAACAAACATATACCCTTTCTAGATAACTGAGGCCCCAAATGAAGAACTTCTTAAAAGAGGCAGTCTGTGACAGGGGGAGAAAATTGACATGAGGTTAAATCGCGTGATGGAATTGTTCATTTGTGAAGAACTGGGCACACTGGTCTACTTGGTCTTCAGGTAAAGGTAATGCGGTAGGTATTAGATAGTTGCTAGAGCACAGCTGGGCTTTTCGGATGCCAAGGCCGTTTCGCATATTATTGGCTCTTAATGGCGAGTCAACAACCATATTTTGGCTATATTGTCTTCCTTCTAGGCATCTGCAAGGCCCCGAATTGTTATGCGAGCGCGCAGCAAACGTCTCCAACTGCCTCCAACTACCCCGCCATTGCCCCGCCGCCATCGAACGCGGTGGAGCTCCTTTGCACATATATCCGCGCAGAGGATCCGCGAAGGCGTTAAAACAGCCTGAATGCTCTCTTTTCCGACGAAATGGGGACTTGGAAGCCACAATATATCCGAGATAATTGCCATTGCAGCCCATAATTTCTCCATAGCTGACGTTGTTGTATGTAGCACTTTGTTTTTATATATACCGAGCTTGTGTATCCGTCGGACAGGTCTGCCGAATATAAACACTGCCGGAAGACCCTGCAGATTTCCAGCTCAACTTTGTTTCAACCACTTGCCCGCACCAACCATCACATCACCATGACTGACGCGCCTTTCAAATTCCTGCCCCTTGGGGCCATTATCCAGGACTTCAAGGTCAAGGACACAAACATTGTGCTTGGATTCCCAGAACAGGAGCAGTATGTGAAATACAACTCTGCCTATTTCGGAGAGACCATCGGGCGCATCGCAAACCGCATCAAAGACGCCAAGATCAACAGCCTCAACGGCGGCAAGGTATACCCGCTTGCTGCCAACGACGGCCTCAACACTCTGCACGGCGGCAACGACGGCTGGGGCAAGCGTATCTGGAAGGGCCCTACACCCGTGGGAACCAGGGAGATTCCTGGCGTGCAGGGCCTGAAGGGTGGCGAAAGCGTCGAGTACACTCTCCGCAGCGAGGATGGCGATGAGGGCTACCCGGGCGCTGTGGAGGCCAAGGTCATCTACACCACTGGAAACCAGGTTGTTGACGGAAAGGAGATCATCGTCCTGGGTATTGAGTACGAGGCGAAGCTGGCTGGAGGCGCGGACGAGACCATCATCAACCTGACCAACCACTCCTACTTCAACCTCACCGGCGATTCGAATATCACGGGCACCACCGTTACTCTTGCGACCAACAGCCATCTCCCCGCCAAGGAGGATTCCATTCCTCTCAGCGGCCCCGTTCCTTTCCCCGAGCTTGACACCTCCAAGCCTTTCGTTTTGGGCGCCACCGGACCGGAAATCGATCGCTGCTTCGTTACCACCACTGACCCATCATCTGTGCCGATCGACACTCGTTCGCAGCCTCTAGCTCTCAACCTGTCTGCCTTCCACCCCAAGAGCGGTATTCACTTGGAAGTCCTCAGCACAGAGCCATCATTCCAGTTCTATACCGGCGACATGACCAACGTGCCTGCTGTTGAGGGCCTGCCCGCGAGAGGCGCACGAAGTGCGTTTTGCTGCGAGCCCGGCCGTTGGATCAACGCGTGCAATGTCCCCGAATGGAAGGATATGGTCATCTTGAAGAAGGGAGAGACTTATGGTGCTAGAATCGTGTACAAGGCCTGGACAGAGTAATTTTCAAGCGTTTATTAATGATGAAATGATGAAGTTGTTTTGGTTTTGCTCCCATGTACCTTTGCTCCATTATTCGTTTAAGCATTTCATAGTAAAAATACAGATAATATGCGAAAGCAGAAGAAACGCCGTAAAATGACATTGTTTTAGCTTCCTTTTGTGACATTTTCTTTGAAAATAACTGCAATGCTATGCCGCCACATCATCATTCGCAAATATTACATCCGACACATGGTGAGAGTACTGGGTTGAGTAAGTGACTGGCCTGCAGTCGCCTAATCGGAATCGCTGTCATCTCCCAGAAATGCGAGATCAGCGTGGGCTTTCCTCCGCCTCGCAGCAAAAGTAGTTGGCTCTCCTTCGTCGTCATCGCCCTCATCTTCGTTATCCTCCCCACTGTCTGCTTTAGTTTCTTGTTTGGTTGCGCTGCTCTTGCTTCTGCTGGCCCTGCCGCCGGAGCTTTTGCCCCAGAGGCGGTCCATCTCCTGAGCTGCCTCGACATCCGCCTGTAATTCTCGCATCTCTTTGATCTCGCGGGCCTTGGCCTCTGAGAAACGCCCGTCCATGCCAATGTCTGATAGCATTTTCTTCAAATGACGGATTTTGGCTCCGGCATTGTCTCCATACTGCTTAAGTTCCATGTGCCATAGTTTGCGAACACCGCACTTGGTGAGGTGTGACTGTAGCTTCTTGATCTCTGCATCTTTGGGATCATCTGTAGCAGTGGCCTCCTTTTTGATGGCTGGCTTGGAAGCCTTTGGTTTTGATGAGCCCTCTTTCTTTTCGCCCCTTTTGCGTTTTGTGGGCGGTGGTTCGTCGATTACATCGGAATACTCGTCCTCTTCATTGATTCCTGGTTTTGACTCATCCTTGATATCCGTCTTTGCATCTTCTACATCTGAATCTGGCTGGTTTTTTAATGTCGACTTTTTCTCATCGCCCGGTGTTTCTTGTTTCTTGATGGCAGCAGAATCGCCTTTTTCGGGGGTGCTGTGTTTCGGTTCATCTTTAAATTCGTCTTTTACGTCTCGCTTTCGATTTCTAGCAGGTGACGGGATCTCTTTCAACTTGGCATCCTCTTCATCGGAGTCGTCCAGCTTAGCCTTGCCGCGTGATACGAGCTTCTTGACTTTGGTCTTCAATTCCTTTTTGGGAGTTTCATCAACGTCTGAATCTTCTTTCTTCTTCACAGGCCCAGATGCCTTCTTCCGACGCTTAGGCTGCGGTGACTCGACCTCAGATAACTGTCGCTTGATGCCGGCTTTAGTATCGGGTTCATTCTCTGGTTCGGAACCATCTGCGTCGAGCAATTTGTCCTGATGACATAAATTTAGCGGGGTAAGTTGGAGATGAAGCACAATTGGCAGAACAGCTTCGCTCGGTATACTCACTACTTGCTCCTTGATTATTGTCTTGCTCTTTTGCTTCCAAGTGTCGCTAGTGAAGAAGCCATCCTCTAGCCCGAGCTTTTCTTCGACAAGCCGCCGGACTTTATTGACAGAGGTTCCGTCGGGTTCTGCCTTGTAAATTTCGCACGTTCCGTCAATGAGTGCTTCTTTGAGCTTGGCGGCTGAAGGCGCCATGATGGCGGGCAAAGTTAAAGATGGAAGGAAAAAAAGAAATCAACTGAAATTGTATTTTTTTGGAGTTCCGGCAGTAACGACAGCACTTGGTTTCCAAAGGCCCCAGATGACGTTGTATCTGTCGTTGTCGGCTTTCAAAAGCGCGTCTGTGACGCGATCGGATTGTGATTGGAGAGCTTTAATTGATGCTGGCGAGCTACGCTGTACAAAGTTACATCGAGCGGACTGTTTGCGCTGGGCGGAGCAGGGTTCAATGAAACAGACTAGACCTATTACGTCTGTGTAACCAATGGAACCAATGATGCGTGATGCTGTGGAGTTTTTATATGGAGATCAAGCCTGAGGTGTGCAATGACGGCGTCTGGAGAAGTCGATTTTAGTTATGACGGGCAGCACTAATAAGCCTTGCTTGAACTTGTCATCTTCAAAATTCAAAATATTTATTCTCTCTACGTCATTTTTTATTGATCTAGCGACATCGAATCTATTTCTGATCACAGGTTCTATATCCATTGAGCAGAATACTAGCGGATTAGGCTACTGACCCCAAAGCTATTCGTTTCGACCTATCCAAGATGTCGGCATCACTTGCACCGGAGTGTAATGAGGTGAAGGAGTAAGCATCTTCTTGAGAACTGATGGATGGCGATATACTTATACAAGAACCAAGGCGTTACGATACCTGCTTTCTAAAATGGTACAGCGAGAGTGAGATATACCTTTCCGTCTTCTGGTCCATGTCTGCTAAGCAGTCCTCAAACTTACACATATGCAGAGTATCTCCGAGGGGCAGAGAAGGACAACAAGGAATGTGCCGGTCTATTCAATGAATACCAAAAGTGTCTAAGTGTATGAAATCTGGGACAATGAGGCGCAGAGAAAGGAACGATATCGTGCTGACATTTTGAATTAGCTTGCACTAAAAGACCGAGGCATAGATAAGCTTCTTGACGAGGCTCGGGAAGACAACAAAGAAAACGACGTGAGGTTAACGGCGCCCAGGAGTAAGTCCACGAATCAAGTACAAGGAAACGTCATAATTTATTAATCAATGTCCAGAATAGCAATGTTTGCTTCGATTTTTGGCAAGAAGGAGGCTTGAATCGGTGGAAAAGGCCGAGATGCGCTGGCCCGCGGAGCGGCTTAGACCTGAGATCTCGTATTTGCACCTCACATCTGTACATATAAATGTCGCAACGTCGTTTTCTGACATGCTGTAAACTGATCATCTGCATACTCCATGGCGCATGTCCAGCCCAAACAACCTGCTTCTGGCCCATTTCTGGGCCGCAGCAGTCGTGATATACGCAAGCAGAGGATACGTCGTCAATTACAAGCCACGTGATTCGCTGCCGGCCACAGCAGCACCCCCAAAAGCCTCCACTCTTGGCGGGCGGCTGGCTTTTTAGTGGAGGAGCGCCGCCAGCCGCTCGCCTTTGCACTTTTGGCTACGTGCCATCAGGGATAGCTGGACAACGCCTCTTGAAACCCGTCGAGCTGCCATTGAGCGCCTGTTGGCTTCGGTATATAATCCAGTGCGCGGCCCCGGGAATCTGCTGGGCATCCCAATCCTCCAGCAGCGATCATCGCGACCACCGCGCCTGCTGGCGAGCAAGAAACCCGACGCCGAGAATCCCACGATACGCGCGCGACTCCCGCCCACCCTCGCCCGCCATCCCACCTTCGAGCTCACAGCCTGGCCTCCAAAACCGATCCTTGCTCCCTTGGCCAGCGGCATGTCCTACCGGCAGCAGTAACGCTCTATGCACCCCTTCTCGACCGTGACCCTCGGCATCTTCGTCGCTGGCTACATCACCGCGCGCTGGGACCTGGTTACACGCCTCTATGAGCTGGTCTTATTTGCCGCCGAATACGGAGTTGTTGTAAGTCGCAAGGGCGTGCGCCATGCAGTCTGGGCATGTCTGACGTGTAATCTTTCTTTCTTGGGCTCTAGTTGCGTGCAGCCCGCGGCCTGGTGGTCCTGACTGTCATCTTCATCACTATTTTTGTGCCAGTGGCCCTACTAGCGAGGGGAGAGACGAGGCTTGTACGTTTTATACATCAACACTGCGAGAAAAGGGATATACCTATTCTGTTGGTCTGGTCTCGAGGCTAACTACCATGGCAGCACCCACGAGAACACGGAACCGGTATCTCTGCGCGAGAACAGCTCAGACGACGAGGCTCCTTCTGAGTGCAGCGCTTCGCCTCGCCGATAGCTATCCTTGGTCATGGTAGAGCATGACGGGTTGATGAGAGTGTTTTGGCCGACGGACATTCGCAGATCCGATCGCGCTGGCGTTGTTGTCGGTTGGAGGAACTCGACACTCGATGTTTTCGTCGTCACTATCCTCGAATACGTTGATGTTAGCTCTTTTCTTGCCAAGGCTTCCTTCTTTGACCTTGAGTTTGATCGCTAATGAGCTTGGTGTATAGGCGCATAATGTCGAGTTCCACCTCAAGTCCGGCACCTTCTTCCGGAGTGGCCCCCACTCTCCGAACCGCATATACGACCTCTGCGGCCATTCTTCGATGCATGTCCTAGGAGTTGCCAATGTAGCAAGCCAAACCGAGGTTGACCCTTCTTGGGTATGCGCCAAGACCAGCGCCAATAGCCAATATCCTAGGATTGCCTGCGCCAAGGCCTCTAGCGTCCAGCTTATCCTATACGATAGGCCTCACCCAAAGGGCATGCAGTACATATCCCTGAACCCGATTGCGCTGGCTCTTGGAGACAAAGGGTCGTTTCCCGACGATGTGACGAGTGGCGAGGATGATAGTGCAGAGGCTAAGCATGCAGCCGCGAACAAGGAAAATCGACGCAAGTTAATGGAGAAGCTCAAACAGCACAGCATCATAAAGCGAGTACCCTCCGCCAGAGATAAGGCGCTGCCCAAAATCGTCAATCAGGTGAATTGGTCTTGGGAACTGGAGCAAGTCTTACAGCAGAATGTAGGGCGGCTTGGCCCAAGGCCAAAACGAGGCCTGAGCGTCTCTGAGAGGGTAGTAGAGTCTGCTACAACAATGCGGAACTATGTGCTCGTGCAGTTGTGGACTCTGCTTTCCGTATACCTCTTTCCGATTGTGCAGCAGGCCTTCATCCTGGTGCTATTCTTCCATCGAGTACTGGCTGAAATCCTACTCATCATCCTGGAATTCCGAGCCAAGCCGGGGTATGCTGCTCTGAAAGACATATCAGCGACGGCCCAGCAGATTGAGATTCGCCTCCAGCAGTTTTGCTACTGGCCTATGCAATATGTCACTCTCCGCCAGCGCAAGGCCAACTGGGCCAGCGTTACCACCAGTCACCCAGACTATATTCGTTTCTACAACAGCCTATGGCTTGTTGCTAATGATGTGATTATTGGCATGGCAATGGGCTCGTACATTATTGAGCACAAGGAGTGGGTTGCAGACCAAATTCGAGACCTCCTGCGTGTCTACACTGTGGAAGCTCTTCAAAGCGGCATATCGTGGCTGATGGGTTGGCCTGCGGGTCTAAAGCTCAACGGTGAACTGGCTGCCTTTCTTGGCGATTTGTTTCTCTGGGTTATTGATTATTGGTCAAGTAAGTGGCAACCCCTTTACCACTGTGGAACTTCTGCAAGCTGACACATAGCCTCGCATTGCAGGCTGCATCGAGGCCTTGAGCCCCGCTCTGCCGCATATCATTTGGTTCGTGGGGTTTTCGTCCTTTGCCGGGGCGAGTATGCCAATTGCAATGTTCTCTGACCTTTTGTCGGTCCTTACTGTGCACATCTACTCCTTCTATCTCGCATCTGCACGCATATACCACTGGCAGCTCACCATCCTACGCTCACTGTTCCACTTATTTCGAGGCAAAAAACACAACGTTCTCCGCAACCGTATTGATTCGTGCGATTACGACCTCGATCAGCTACTTGTGGGGACAATTCTCTTCACCCTTTTGTTCTTTCTTTTGCCTACCGTCATGGTCTTCTATCTTAATTTCGCCATTGCTAGAATGATCATTATTTCAATGAAGGCGGGCTTTGATACGCTACTATCATGTTTGAACCACTTCCCCCTGTTTGCCTTAATGTTGAGATTGAAGGATCCGAGTAGATTACCAGGTGAGCACGGATGACGCAGCAGCATCCATACAGAGAGCCGTTTGGATTCGAGGCTAACTTGGACCTAAGGTGGCATTCGTTTTGAACTTCGAGATACCCATGCTTATAAACTTTCCGATGCTAATGATAAAAATTTTAATGAGCCCCCTACCTCTATTATTTACCTCAAGGTGAGTTTGTCTCCTCATGTTCTATCTATATTTGTTTGTGGCTTGGCCAAGACCGGAAGTTAACCTTTGTAGTGTATTCCCCTCCCTTTTCGGGCCATGTTCCATCAATACTTTCAATTGGCCCACCGTATTCGAAAACACTATTTGTCGCCGCGGGTGTTGTTATGTTTAATAACTGGGCAATTTGTTCCTCCAATCAACAGGAAAAATCTGTATAGTCTACAGTACAGCATGTTGCCTGCGAAGAGGGCGACAATGTGGGAGATGTGGCGAGCGGTCAATACGGAAATTGACTTTCCTCAGAAGAAACCGTTTCAGCTGCCCAACATTCCCCAACTACAAAATGGAGGCAAGCGGCCAGCAGGGTTTGGTAGAGCCAGGTCATACGCCTGAAAATAAACATAAATAAATAATATATTGAATTGAGATCATTGAGTCATTTGTCCATCTCCCGCATTCATCCATATGGCTTGATTACGTACCTCGCTATCCATCTCCTCAAAGTATATACGGTGTCATGTGAAGTGAATGTTTTGTAAATATTCTGCCACCGTTATTGTATCATCCAGTCAATATCCTTTTTTATAATGGCCCGTTGGCTTTTTGGCGGCGGTTGCCCTCGTAACGAAAGAAAACAAACCAGACCAAAGTTCGAGAGATGGCTCTATGGAGCGCTACTGTGTCGATATGGTGGAGATAGTTATACTTTTGCTGTACTATTGTATTTTTTTTTTTTTTTTTTTGTTTTTTTTTTTTAGAATGCGCCGATTTTGAAAGGTTCAGCCTTCAGAGGGAAACACTCTCGTTGCAAAAGTAAACTTGTAAACTAAGCGTCGAAGCTTCATCTAGTCGACTCATTTGCGGATCATCTGGACGGTAAAAGACTTTGTGGATTAATTTTGATATGTAGATACGAACAACAAGTGATGTGGCTTGTGTAAACAATCCACTTCATATTGAGTTTATTCAAGTCTCTGGATATCTATAAATTCTCCCGCCCCTCTGCATTTGCTCGAGAATATCTTCTGCTCCGTAACCCATACCGACATACCGAGATATCTGTATCTTGCACCATTCGCTTCGGCTCAGAGCAACACCGGATATCTTGGATCAATATCGGCACAGCACTCACGTATACTTACGATCAACATTGATACGACATTCACGTATAATTACAATCAACATCAATACAACGTTTACAGATAGTTGGTATCAATATCAACAACGTCTACAACAGCTTACAGTCAACACCATAAGGTTCACAGGTATGTGCAATCAACATCGACACAACGTTCTCAAATACTTACATGAGTATCAGCACAGTATTCGCACTTCCAAATATCTTGCACTTTTGAACTCCAAGATAGTCGCAATGTTCAACTTCACCGACAAACTCTCGCCACGAGTCATTAGCAGCGCCATCAATAGCCGACTCTCGGGTCAAGTGCCTACTCGCAATGGCTCTCCTTACAACAAGGTCATCAATCGCTTCACCAAGATTAGCAAAGTCGCAAAGGAGGCCCGTCATAAGAAGCGGAATATTTGCAGATTCTCGGCCACGGCAAGGCTGATAGCATCGCGAACTGGTATCAAATTCCTGCACCAAGCCATCGCTCAGGGGTCGAAGCCTGTTATTCACCAACGAGTCAACACACTACCGCATGAGCCCGAGACAGCCATGGCCGTTGATGAAGTGCCTACTCAAACAGAGGAGATAAAACGGCCGTGCATGCCGGCACTTATCGTGGGTGGCTTCAACGGAAAAGATATTGATCAGATTGATCAGATCCATCCGAGCAGGGTCCTCACAGAGAACCTCTTCGCATGGCGTCAGGCCGGCAGATGGGAGAAGGGGAATCTACAACGCATCTGCTTGTCACGAGCTCAGATTGCGGCAATAGAAAGAAGGAAGGAAAGAGAAGAAGACGAAGAAGAAGAGAGGCAAAGGGTGGTAAACAGTCAACCCCCGAAGCCACTGCAACGCGGAGATTCCATCAAACTTTGGTACTCCGATTGGAAAGCCAAAGAGTGGCAGAAGAAAAGGGGGGGTTTTGATCAACTTCCTTGTTAACCTACTTCTGACTTGGGCTTTTGTTTTTCTTTTCCTATTGAGCAATGAGATCATGGATATTGGGACTCTACACGCAAAGAGATTATGGACATTGGGATTCTATGACGCAATGAGATGGATATTGGGTTTCTATGGCGCAATGGGATTATGGATATTGGATTTTTTGGGATACTGTTTGTTAACTTGGGACTGGAATTGAATGACTTTGTGTTACATACTGCTTCCTGAAACTTCCATGTGATCCCAACAATATGCCAGCAGCCATTATCCAGTGCTTAGTACTGATGCTACTGATGCCACTGCTTGATACTACAAGTACCTACCTACTGTTGAACGAAGGTGAAATAGTAGGACGTAATGTGACAGTATTCGTCGTTATCTGACTATGTAAACGTAGTGATCTAGAACTAGACTACTACTAGTAGGTTGGGGTTGGCTGCGTTATATACATGATGTCGCCCAGGTAACCGACGACCTGTCGATGGTTCCTTCAACACATATAGCATACCATGAAAGCAAATCAAAATCATTGAGGAACGCTTGACAAGACTGGAGGGCAGATGATGGGAGGACGTGATGCTGGACATGGGATATCGAGAATGGAGGAATGGAGATCGCGAATTGTTATTTTGCTGAATATGGAATATCGAGAACGGAGAAACAAGGATATCACGGACTATTATTTCCAGGAACGGACATTTTTAGGGACAGATTAAAACCATTTGCTTTAGCCTTGGTTACTTATGGCAATAGCTCTGGCTGTGATGATGGGGACCATCATCAAACTCGGCCGGGGGGATGTTGGGACACACCTGCCCTGACATCCTCAGACAGCAGGAGATCCCAAGCCCTATAGGAGATATATAACCATAACAGCCCCCCGTAGATAGATAGAGCAATCAACCCTTTTTAATCCCCATTGTCGTATCCTACGTGATCCTGTAGCTTACGACCCGGGATCTGGCTCACCTTTCATCTGATCCCACGCTTGTCCCCCAACATACAGCATACCATCTCCGCCTGGAATACCACGAAGCACGCGAAGCAGCAGCAGACATGGCTATGAAAACCTCACACCAGGGTGAGAAGAACTTACTCACGCCAGAGCAAATACTCAAGTACAAAACATTCCAACACTCCACGGGAGTGAGAGTTTACAATGCAAACCAAACAGAAATAACGCGATGAGACACTTTGATAGATCGCTTCTCAACACAGTTCCAGAACAAGGGATTCGCTGACGTACTACTCAAAGAATACATGAGAATCCGCCTGCGACCGGGCTGCGGAAGAAATGTAAAATCTATCCAACGAACACCGATGACAGGGAAGTCGTCGACAGGCAACTAGACAAGCTTCTTACCGCCAGCAAACTCCACCAAACACAAACCAGGTATATACCACACATGAGTCGTATGACCAGCAAGTAGTCCTAAAAAGAAAACAAGCTTGATGCCCGCTAAAAGCGTTTATAGGGGCAAGCAAAGCCGCTCGCTTCCTCTTATTCCTACTCTTCTGCATCTCTTTACTTTCTTCTTTCTCTTTGTTCTTCTTTCACAAAAACAGTCTTCAGCACCCCCCAAGACCGTCTTAAAAATTTCGTTCTTGAAGCGGGTTTCCATGCCCAGTCTCAAAGACAAACAGACATCATGTATTACACTCACAAATATAAAGAAAAGTCATCCGGCACCCCAGCTCTGTTGTCCAACATCCCAGACAGACGTAGCTCAACAAGGCAGTCAATCTATAGGCGAATAAAATAGATTATTATTTAGTTACTACATATTGAGAAGCGGCAGCAGTAGTTCTAGTAGCAATAGCCCATACTATGTTTGGAGTGCTGGATAATGAAACTGGGGTGCTGGATAAGTTTCCACCAACAGTCGCACTAATGGATATGCCCAGAATGACTTTTTTTGTTTATCACGAATCATGATTGTTCAAAAAGTGAAAAAAAAAAAAAAAAACTTGCGCAAGTGATTATAACAGTCCTTGGGCGTATCACACAAGATAGCGATATTGTCAATGTATGCTTCAACAAATAATGGGTATAGATATCGTCTCGAATTGCCTGTTGTGTCTTAGCGGCTTATGGAAAAAGGCTGAAGCGTCAAGCCTTGTAATATATTTCTTTCCTCTCAGTCATGAAATGATATCCTCTTGCAAAGGAATTAGACAGATAGTACTGTGATTTTATCCAAGGCCAAGGCTCCCTGTAAAGGTCCCCTCCAAGTAATTCCACAAGGCACTTCATCCACGTTCCACCTGCGACGCTGCCTTTGCAGCTTTGCTTGATGACACCCGCCACAGCTTATCCCATACCAACCCAAACAATCACAATGTCCAGCAAATGACGTCTCCAAGTCAACAAGCCCGTCCCCACTGAATCAAAGCTAAAGCGCTGCTGGATCCCCTGACCAGCTCTGCTCTGAACCCCTCTTTTTCCGTTCTGCTTAGTTCCCCAATATTAATCCCGGGCGCTATAAAGGGTACGTGGGGTTCAATATCGGCATGACGCTGCCTTCTTCCATTATTGCCCTGCTTGCAGCTCCTCCAACTTTTGCCTCTCTCCTCTCTCCTCTCCCCTTTCTTCTTCTCCCATGATTTTTACCAGCACTTTTTCTCCCCAGACTCCCACTCCCGCGATACACACGATTGCTCCAGAACTGCACGCAATCCAGAACCCAACCCAACCGTAGCGTTGTTTGTGTCCCGCAGCTCCGTGTAATTTGGCTGCCTCGTGGCGATCGCGTGTTGCGTTGCAAGGCAAGGCCACCTGACGGACCCCGGTGTAAGAAGCAGCGTTTGGAAGCTGCCTGGGACGGAGCTGGACGAGCGTATGCGAAGCAATTGGCCAGGCAGCGTCGATTCTCTCATAAGAAAACATAAATATATCCCTGCGCACCCGCTCAACGATCTTTGGGAGCTGCCTATTCTACCATTTTATTCACGTATTCACGACATCAAGATCAGAAATTATATGAATCACTGCATATAAGATTGAAGCTCTATTATCATGGATCCCAAAGAGAAATTCTATCGCCACTTTCGCGATTCCGTCGAAGGTTGGTGGTCACTTTCGATTTGTACATGAAGGCTGATCAACCACCGCATGGCTGCTAACGTTCTTTCTTATTGTTCTTTTCTATCAGGTCTGCAAGATCAGATTGGCCAACTAACTCATATGTCTGGGATCGGGGGCGAACGACAAGAGGCTACAGACCACATCCTCGCTGGCATCAGCAAGCTTCAGAACGAAGTTGCTGATGCTGCCGAATTCACTCCTGCATACGACCGACGCCAATACTCAGAGGTCCGTCACCCCTAATAGCTCCGTATTAAGAGAAACCGACTGATTGCGATTTTGATAGGCAATCAAAGGCGTTCAAGACAGGCTCAATGAAACCCTGGCCAAAGTAGCTCCAAAGTCGCGGTTCCAATTTAGGCGCACGGGTACCGACCATGTTGACATGGGTGCTCCAGAGAATGACCCGCGACTGAATCCTGGCAGCTTATCCCGACGCCCACATAACCCAAAAGACGCACCAGGAGCGACGAGGGACATTTCTGGCGAGGCCGAAGATACCGTAGGAGACCTGCCATCGAAGCAAAAAGACTATAACCAAGAGTTGGCCAAGCCAGACCCTTCATCGATCCGCAAACCAAGTTTCTCTGCTGCTCAAAGCATTGGAATTTCCGATCAGACCGGCCTTCATATCATACTTCCGTCCTCGGCCTCGCGAGCTACTTCATCAGGTTCGCTTCGGGATCTCAAGAATTGTGTTATTGACCTTTCAATACCTACGGCCCAAGGAGCACCATTCCCCGGTCTTATGCTTAAGAATGTCGATAGATGCCTTATTGTAACCGGTCGTGTCAGTGGTCCTGTACACATCAATGATGTGTCCAACAGTACTCTGGTCGTTATTGCGCGGCAAGTCCGCATTCATAACTGCAAAAATGTCGACATCTATCTGCATTGCGCCAGTCACCCGATCATCGAAGACTGCTCGGGCATGCGTTTTGCCCCTCTTCCGTCATGCTATGTATGTACCATCGTCTATTACCATTGATGTCATTCGTTGTGCAGTTCTGAGCAGCACTGACTCTATACAGCTGATGGAAGGTGATGAATCGACCGAGAACCAGTGGGACCAGGTCGATGACTTCAAATGGTTAAAGACAACTCCGAGTCCGAATTGGACTACTCTATCCGAAGCCCAGAGGCTTGATGATGAAGTGTGGACGAAAGTTGTGCCCGGAAAACCAGGTTGCAGTGTGGAACAAATACTGAATAAGGTTGGGATTCCGCCAAAATAAGTTGGTGAAAATATAAGTTCTCCAGAGATGTATGGTCGAGCCATTGCGAAGTTTATTGATAGCCAATTCGTAGCTACATGAGAATCTTCAGAGATTGTTCGAATTTAATTTAGGCTCGTGCGCGATTCATATTGCTGCAGCTGTGTCTTTTCATAGTTCCATCTTATCCCCGCCCGCGTACGCGTCCTTGCTGAACTGCATTCCGTTCTCACGAAGCTTTTCTAGCAAGGCGCGTTGCATCTCTATTCGCGTTTCGAGTTCTTTGATTTCGGCCTTTTGCTCGTCGATGGAGCGATCCATGTCTGGTAACGCGCGGACCTGTGCTCTGGCATGCTGCAATTTGTGCTTGAGCTTATCAGTAGCACCGGGAACGTCTTTGAAAGACAGCTGCTGGCCGCCGCTGCTTGGTCCTCCGGGAGTCGCTTCTGTGGTAGCACCAGTAGGAGCAGAGGCTTTGAGCCCAGCGCGGACCTTTGCCAGGACAATGGACAGCTCGGACAGAGAGTCGAGGTCGTCTGGGGACAGAGTGGAAGGCAGAGCGAGGGCTGGTAGCTCTGAGGCCATGGCGACTGCTCGTGTGAATCGAGGAGCTTGGGGGCTGTAGCTGGTTCTTGCGCTGGTTACACAAGCAGGGTGCTGAGAGAGGCTCCGCCAGACGACAGATAGTGATCAATAGCGATAGCTAATCGTTCGTATTACGATCGCCTGTTGTAGCTGCGAGCTGCATGCCCCGATTGATTGGCCCACGGAGATTTTGCTTGTTGTAGGCAGCGTTTGACGGCGTTATTGAGGGGACCGTTGCCAGCAGCCGCCAGAGATTGGACGGAGCCTAGCGGCCAGGGCAAAAAACGGCCCGATGCACGGAGGCTCTCTAGCGCAGCCGCAGCACCAGCCAGCCCGAAGGCTGCTAACCCGTCCCTAGCGAGGCGCTGCAACACTTATCGGCAGCGTATCTGTCCATGATATGACATCGGCAGCCTATCAACCCCACCATCCAATGCTTTTAGTACTGGCGGCATGTTTCTGGTTTTGCAGCTTGGAAAAAACACTTGATCTCCCCATCAAATCACGCACCTAGGGCCTCCTACTTCCTCCCTACACTCTTCTCGTCCAGCTGAATCTGCCATTGAGCCCGTATACTGCTTCATTCTGTCTCGCCATGTCCAAGACAGAGCAAAAGGCCTGCCTCAGTACGTTGTCTCTTCCTCAATCACAACCATTGCCCCGCCATCCATCATCTCCTGGCCCTCAGCCCATCCCGCGTCCCAACATGCGCCGCGTGAAATCGGCACCGGCCACGGTCCCGACGAGCGATGGCCCGCCGCCCAAGGCCCCCGACTATGTCCTTGCCTTTTGCTTCGTGTTGGTGTATCTTGAGCTCGGGTGGCTAATCCTACTGCTGTTGCGGTCTTACAGTCGTTATTGATGGGTGGGGTATCCCCTCCGAGGAGAGCCCCAAGAATGGCGATGCCATTGCCGCCGCCGAGACGCCCGTGATGGACGAGCTTTCCAAGAGCGAGACTGGATTCACCGAGCTTGATGCCTCATCCCTGGCGGTGGGACTGCCTGAGGGCCTGATGGGCAACTCTGAGGTCGGCCACTTGAACATTGGCGCGGGACGTGTTGTCTGGCAGGATGTTGTCCGCATCGATCAGACGATCAAGAAGGAGGAATTCGCTTCCAACGAGGTTCTCAAGAAGACGCTTGAGGGTGTTGTGAGCGGCAATGGCCGTCTGCACCTCTGCGGTCTGGTTTCTCACGGTGGTGTGGTAAGTGGCCTACTTACTCGAGTTCAGCCTTTGAGAAGTCTCAATTGTAGCATGCTAACAGCCATCTAGCACTCCAAGCAGGAACACCTGTACGCTATCCTCAAGGCCGCCAAGCAGTACAAGGTCCCCAAGGTTTTCATCCACTTCTTCGGTGACGGCCGTGATACCGACCCCAAGTCTGGCGCTGCTTACATGGAGGAGCTGGTTGACTTCATCAAGGAGCTCGGCCTTGGAGAGATTGCCACCGTTGTCGGCCGATACTACGCCATGGACCGTGATAAGCGATGGGAGCGTGTTGAGATTGCTCTCAAGGGCCTTGTTCTCGGTGAGGGGGAGGCAAGCGAGGACCCCGTCGCTACTGTAAAGGCGCTCTACGAAACAGATGGCAAAAACAACAGAGATGAATTCCTTCTCCCCATCATTGTCGGTGGTGATGAGCGCCGTATCAAGGGTAAATTTTTTTCTTTTTAAGAATTCTTGTCAGAAAGACTAGGCTAACCTCTGTGGATTAGATGACGATACCGTCTTCTTCTTCAACTACCGATCCGATCGTGCGCGACAAATCACTCAGCTCCTCGGCGATGTTGATCGATCCGTGCTGCCCGACTTCCCCTACCCCAAGATCAACAAGCTCGTTACCATGACTCGATACAAGACTGACTACCCCTTCGATGTTGCTTTTGAGCCTCAGAAGATGGACAATGTCTTGGCTGAGTGGCTTGGAAAGCAAAATGTTGAGCAGGTGCACGTTGCCGAGACTGAAAAGTACGCTCACGTCACCTTCTTCTTCAACGGTGGTGTTGAGAAGGTCTTCCACCTCGAGACTCGGGACCAGGACCAAGATCTTGTCCCCTCCAACAAGGCAGTTGCGACCTACGACCAGGCTCCCGAGATGTCTGCGGATGGCGTCGCCGACCAGGTTGCCAAGCGTCTGGCAGAGCAGAAGTTCCCCTTTGTCATGAACAACTTTGCTCCCCCCGACATGGTTGGACACACCGGTGTCTACGAGGCCGCCATTGTTGGCTGTGCTGCTACCGACAAGGCTATCGGAAAGATTCTGGACGCCTGCAAGAAGGAAGGCTACATCCTGTTCATCACTTCCGACCACGGCAATGCTGAGGAGATGAAGTTTGCCGACGGAAAGCCCAAGACCAGCCACACCACCAACAAGGTGCCTTTCATCATGGCCAATGCTCCTGAGGGATGGAGCCTCAAGAAGCAGGACGGTGTCCTCGGTGACGTTGCCCCTACTATCCTGGCTGCCATGGGCCTGCCCCAGCCTGAGGAGATGACGGGCGAGTCTCTTCTGGCTAAGGACCTCAAGAGGGGCGCTGCTGAGTAAAGAGACTTGATTGGGAAAACGATACCACGTAAAACAAATTACAGATAGAATGATTTGGTGAGCATTACTAGAGGCGAAGTAGGAGTAGGGATAGAAGAAAGATGAATTAAGGGCGTGAAGATTTTCCTTTTATCATAGAAACGACAAATATGAAATATGTATTACCCAGGCATGAACGTTCATTATAAAAGGCGGCAGATGGATAGAAGAAAGATGAATAAGAGCATGAGAATTTATATTCCAGTACTACGTTATGTATTTTGAGCATCTGTTATCAAAGACAGTGTATGGATAAACGATCAAGAGGAGCATGAAGATTTGACATTCAAAATGGACACGACAGATACGACATATCTATTACCTTGAATATGACCTCAATAGAGTGCTGCTACTGGTACTGAATATGCGGGCGACAAATACGAAATAATGAGGTACCATTGCGCGCCAAGATGTTTTATGGTGACGGCTTCTGTACGGAATTCCCTCTTGTGACTCCTCTAGTGTGCCTTTTCATGGCTGTAAAAGGCTTAAGGAGGCGGGAGCCCATTAAGCATCCTGTTATAAGGAAATTAATCGCCACCAGACATCGAGGTGGCGCGCGATGGTACTTAATATGAGCACTACTAAGTGCTGTTCCTAACCAAAGTTGTAATGATAGAAAACACCACCGATCCGCTGCTATAAATAAGTATTTATGCAGTGGTATTTTCTGTCGCCCTTTGCCTAACAAACTCAGTTAGTACTATTCGGATGTATTGAACAGGCTTCATGGTTTCATAGCTGCGAGTTATGCACTAGAATACGTGTGAAAAAAGCCATTTTGGCTGACCGGTACTCCTTTTACGCGCGTCACTGCAGAAAGGCGAGCTGTCTAACCCAGACTCACCAGTCAGGGGAGGGGAAGGAATACAGCATCGAACTGGCACAAACCGAATTAGGTGCTTCAGAATGGAGATCGGTCCGGCGCCCTCTTTCCACATAGGCCAGCCAAGAGCTGCATTAGCTCGCCGTGAGAACCTCATTTCCAGCCAGGAGCGTTGCCTCCGGCTGGCTCGGTAGGTCGGGACGCATCGAGGCGCTATCTGGGACCCTGAGTGTAGATTGTCACGAGCTATGGGCGGTAGCAGAGCGCCCTGTCGCCCAAGTTTGGGGGCTCCAGCTGCAGGAGGATAGAGTTGTTCCAGGGGTGAGGAGTGGGTGAGATGAGAATAGCCTCCCCCACTGGTCGGGAAAAAATTTGCCATCTGCCAAAGGGTCGTAATTTGTAATGTAAATCCTTCGTTTGCGTTGGCTGTACAGCTCCCAACAGGCGCTCTGGGGCATGGCATAATGGGGAGGAGTTATGCTTGTCCGTGTACAGCATAATAATGTTGATCTGTACAGTTCGGTACAACTTCAAGACGTGTAATTTTTTTCCTCCTCTTGATCTCATTCATACCCCATAGGTACCCAGACTAGCCCTCCCACGGAAGAGTCACATCGAGCTCTCTTGTACATGGACTAGAACAGATTTGTAGGATGCCTCGTAGAGTTGGGAATGAGGCGCCGGGCCGCCATGCAGATCGATCTTCAGGGTCTTGCCGACCAAACAGAATCAGTGGCGACGTGGCGATGGATAAGTTAGGATACTTGATTTGCCTCTTGCTTTGCATCGTGGAATTATGTGCGGCGGCCCCGTCAAATAACATGGTATTCCCAGAGAAGAGAATAAGAAAACAGGGGTCCTGGAACTCTCAACGGAGAGACCGACGAATCGGCATGTTGACGCCTTCCCCAGGAGGCAATCGCAGTTTCTATTTGCTCGCCTCTTATGCGCACGCCCGGCCCTGCCCTACGCTCGATGCTTCCACAGATGGTGCTAACAGCCTGTCCGATCTGAGCTAAGGATGCGGCTCGTCGAGATCGAGGCGGTTTAGGACTTCACCCTATGGGCGTAGACGTGGTAAAAAACAACAGGTTCACTTGTAAACTTGACCTCGACATGGGCGTGCCAACGGTTGCGGTACTGTGTAAAAATGTCTGTCGCATTGACGCAGCGTGCGAGAAGCGGTAGGAAAGCCGTTGAAATTCTGCGCAACAAAAAATAAGCATAAGATACTTAGTACGCGTTACAGGAGAAGAGGGAGAGGAGCCACAAATCTTGCTTCTGATTTAGTTTATGCCAATAAAGCAGGGCTGCTATCGACTGTTTTTGGAGCGCGGTAGATGGGGCCGGGGAAGCAGAGCCAGCGCGACGGGTTCGAGCTACCAGTTTGCCGGGCTTATGGTCTAAATACGTCTTCAAGCCGCACTTGAGGGCATTCCGGGTTTTTGGAGTGTATTTCGCGTGTGGAATCTGCAAATGGCGATTGCTGGTTGGAGCGTGGGGCCGTTGGGCGCGTTTGCCAGTATACAGTAAAAAAATGCGGCGATCTACATACGTCATTGTCTCCATCGAGTAGGAGGAAAACGGCCGTGGGACAAGGAACCGGTGGAGTTTTAGACTGTGAGCCGCTTCATGCAGAGCCACTGAGTACCTGCGTTTTTGTACTCCGTACGAGAAATTGGAGGTACTACAGTACACCTTCCTTCAGCACCAATCAATACCGTTTGCGGGGAAGCTCGCCACCCAGTATATGGCGTTGGTGGCAAAACGTCGGCTGAGGTAGATGGAAACTCAACAATCTTCGCGCTTCACTCTCTTACCACCATAAGGTATCTCGCCTTTCAAGTGAAGGCATTGCCAGATGTTTATGCTGACTGAAGTGACACCTATTCCTAGAGAATGACTCGCCTGTAGATCATGCCCACGCCAATCGGCATGGCATGCAGGACCAGCCGGAGCCGAGGCGAGAGGGAGTGGTCCGGGAGAAGAACAAGACCGCTGGGAAACGTTCACGGCCACCACGGCAATGCTGGCACCTCGATAGCGCAGACTAGGGCCACTCGCCAGGCACGTAGTAGTCCGGGTTCTCACACACCAGCGGCTGTCGTTGCAAGACAGGTCCGATCCAGACCCATCGACTCCCTGTATAGTACGGGTTCTGGACTCTCGGAGGTGATGTGCGACGTAATCGGTGCGCCACAAACAGCTCTTTGAAGGGCTGGGTCCCTGACTGGTCTTGGGCTGAGATACGTGGAAGAAGCTTCATTGGACTCACGACGAGGCAGCCTTGCGGGGCGGCGGGCCTGTCTGCGTGTACCAGGTGCTTCAGGTCGCCTGTCGACTACACGACTACAGGCGCGAGTATGTTGGAAGGCAAGAGATATTAGTATCTGGAGTATGAATAATGCAGCTGAATAGCTCTGGTGAACAGCCTTTCTACTAGTAGTACCTACTACAGATGAAGATTCGAATTGAATGGGAAACAGTGCGAGACACGCGCAGCCAGATGTCTCGGATCATGATAGTTCCGAGGACTGACCCCGGGAAACACCACTGGCCGATGACAGTCAAAAAACAAGATCTGCGCCCACCAGGCCTTGCGACCTCGTCCCCGCAGGTGGTGAAGGAAGTTGGCCAAGGCCCATAAGTGGAGTAATGGCGGCCAAGTTGCACGCTGCCGGCCAAAGATCAGGTGGACTCTGGCAGACGGCGTGGGAATAAAACGGGAGCCTGGGAACAATCGACACACAAAACCAATGATACACATATCACAGTGGCCACAAGATTCGCTCTTCAGCGGCTCGTATTGCTCAAAAATATGCGCATGTTTTCATTTCCCTTTCTCCCCCCTGGTCTGGGAAAAGTACAGTTAGGAAGTACACTCCCTAAGAACGAGAGAACCGCAGCGAAATGTCATTGGACCTTGGACGGAGCTAGGTCCGCGCAAATAAGTTTCATTCTCCGCTGCACTAAAGCAAAGCTACTACAAAGTTGCCTGATTTTTGTTGTTAGCGTGCTGCTTCACTGCAGGCAGCTTGGCCAGAGACATGGACGTGGCAGATTTGTCTCTTGTTACAGCTTGTGCTCTACCTAACTACCTACCTACCTATATGATGCTGGAAGTACGGCAACTGAACAGGTTAACCATTGGGCAACTAGGCAAATAAGAGACAAACACACCCACAGTCAAACGTCACCAGACGAAGCAAGGAAGAGCGGTAGCTGCCAAGTGCATACAGCTTGCAGGCCAGCCCGGTCCTATCGTCCTTCTATGTACTTGTACAAGTATCCGTACTAACTTTCAAAGACCCATTAATAGCATTGATGGGCGGGAGACGAGAGAGAGGCTCGTGGAATCACCTATCGGTCGTTGTCCACAGGAGGCAAAAAAAAAAAAAAAAAAAAAAAAAAAAAACAAAAAAAAAACAGGGCCAGTATGGTACAGTGTATACGCGCATACAGGCGATGACACGATCACCCTTTGGTTCAAGCCAGCTGTGGCATTTGCATGTGCATAATCCTACCCTCGTGTGCTCGACCTTTTCTCACTCAACTCTGTCCGATTTGCCCGCTTTTCCTGCCCTGTGCCGAAACAGCAGCCTGTACGGAGTACAGAGAGCAGTGTTTCTGCCCCATTGGAAGCTTGTCGCTAAAAACACCCTCCGGAGTGGGACACCGCCTCGCTAGCTTCCCAAAAAAAGACCCTGATTTCTATGGCTTGGGCTGATTGCTCTTGCGATTTGTCCGATCGACACGCATTGCCTCTTGTCTGCGAATCGAAGCCTCACTGTCGGCGCCATCAGCCAGGGTTTTTGCCCACACGGTACCCGCTGGCGGCGGCAAAATGGCTTTACTCGTGCCAGAACTTTCTCGCAGGGGCTGGTTGCAATGACGATCAGTGCCTTGCCCTCAAAACTCTAGATGCAAATATTTCTCCTTGGCTGCTGCAGCCGAACCGCCATCGGAAGCAAGGCTGGCTTTTCACAACCGCTGGATCGCGCGCGCACATCGTCAAACCCTCATCCCGTTTTTTAAACCTTCCCCTCCCCAGCTGCCGCGCGCATTGCCAGCCTCACACGGCGATCAACCTCAACTCAGACTTGTACCTCTCCGGCCCCATCAAACCCTACGGGGGGCTGCTGTTGAAGACGAGCTTCCCTTACCCCCACAAGTTCTCAACGTGCTTGTTTTTCCGTCAGCGTCCTCGCTTCCCCTCAACACACGGCCTCTCTCTCTTGGGCTCAGTTTCACCCGAGCATACTTCCACCAGCCCACTCCTGGAATAATTCACAATAGCGACTGTCCCACGAAGTCTGAAGCCTTAGAAGTGATCAAACGGCAAAATAGCTCCTGGTCGCATAGTCAGACTTCGTAAGCCATAGCCTGGAGCTGATCTGGGGGACGCTGCAGTGGCGACAAAGCTGCCCTGAGTGCGCTTTGCCAATTATCGTCACTTTCAATCCAAGCTTGAGGGCGAAAATAGGCGCGAAAGGAACCGGATTCGAGCAAACGACGACGACATCCAAAAGATTTTCACTTCAAGGAAAAAAGGACGACAAGAAGGATTATTCTTATTCTACCAGCCAGTGGACACGTTTTCGGATCGGCACTCGAGAGGACTACGACGACAAAAGGGCGAAGGCTTGTGGTGGATTTCCATCGAGCCGTCCATCTTCTTGGCTGCCTCATCATACGCGCACGCACTCGTCGCTGACTGCGGAATCGAGATTTCACGCATCTCACGACGCACGCGAATCTTGGACTGGCCCTGGATCGAGCTGGTCATTTCTATTGTTCATTCCATTACTCGGCCTTGTTAACTGCATACTGCTGGGCCTAGCAAGCCTAGGTAGGCATTTGCAGCGCTACTCACTCCAAGAGGTAAGTTGCCCGAAGTTGTTGCGACCCTTTTTGCTTATCCTGCTCGATCGATCGATCGCCTACAGCGCCACGACCAATGACACGCCACTTTTGTGCCTGACAAACCGGCGTCCCCCCATACTATCATCACCCAATTACTCGTCACAGACACACAGTTTCCTGAGAACTCACTGCTAACGATGCTTCTACAGAGTATAGGCGCTTGGCGAGGAGGACCCGCTTGGCTACGTCACATTCGTCATAAGTCACATTACTTGGACCCTGATTGCTTGATAGGCAACAAGCTTCACCAGGGCAGTTGAAAAGGAACATGACTCTTTAAGTCAACTACCTCAATACTTGCCAGCCTCTTAATGAGTAAATAACCTGAACCTACAATGCAGCCGACAGAGGGCAATCCTCCGAAACAACCCCAACTGTCATCGACAGGCCATCCTCTCCCCCGACGAACTTCTGGAGAACACTCCATTACCCTGCGACATCATCAGCTAGCTCGCGATGCCTCCTTGAAAGCAAGCCGCGGGTCGGCTCCGCCAAATCAAAGTAATGGCGAACACTTGTCATCTCCCCGTCGAAATTCGTCGGGTGAGAGCAACGAAACCGGCCAGAGCGACGCCAATAAATGGTTTGATCAGTCAAACCAAAACCCCACAGCTACCTTTCACAGCAATTCCATGGATGGTACGTATCCCGTCGTTTGCCTGAAAGCAATACCTCTCAAGTCGCTCACGCTCGCGTAGTCGATCCACCCTTTTTCCAGAAAGAATCAGATTCGTCCAACGAAGATAAGCCGTATCAGTATTTAACAGCCGTGCCTCCAACGCCCAATGACGCTCGAAGCAGTAGCGCCGATGACTACCGAAGCGTGATTGACGATCTCACCGTGGAGATCCAGAAATTGAAGGAAGAGTTGAAGCGATACAAACAGCACGGCCCCGATATGCTTCGAAAAGACAAGCTCTTCGAGATTAAGATACATGGGTTACCTAAAAGGAAAAAGCGCGAGCTGGAAGCGACGCTCCGAGACTTTACAGCAAGCTTAGGGGACTCGCCGGGTAACTCTTCATCGAAGCGCGACAAGAAATCGTCCAGGCATGCTACTCGCGATGGAATGACTTCGGGGTCAGGCTCCATGTCACTATCGAAACACGCCTCGTCTTCGTCTGGATCTCACACGCGGCCAGTTGACTCGGCTTATGCGTCCATGTCGACTGGTGCTGGCTCCTCTGGAACATCGTTGAACAGGCCACAAGGAGGCGCGCGATTCAAGTCTAATGAGGCAAAAGTAGAGAATTACTTGCGCGATATCCCCGAGGGACTATATCCCCGTTCTCTGTCCATGACGGAAAAGGAAAGGAAGAAGCTTGTGGTCCGACGTCTTGAGCAGATCTTCACAGGAAAATTTGCAGGTCGGCATGCCCGTCGGAACCAGGCTAGCCAAACGGCACCTGCATCTGCTGCGCAAGTCCCGTTGGGGCCGCCAGGAGCACACTCTCCCCTGCGGCCTTCCTCTGTTCAGCAACCGAAACTGAAGCCAAGTCCAACTGCCGGATCTGAGCTCTTACGTGAAGCTCGAATCCTTCCTCAGGAACTTCATCTCGCAGGAAAGAAGAGCAGATCGCAAGACATTGGCTCCGCGTCCAACTCAAACAGAGATCAGACAGAATCAGGAGGTAACGGCAATGGCAATGGTAGTAGCACAGGATCAAACCCGTCTCCACCCATGCCACCACCTCCTGAACAGCGACCTACAAGACCCAAAGACCTCGATCCTGACCGCATCCAAATCCCATCCGAAAACATGGAGTACATCAGACATTTGGGTCTTGTCCCTCCTGAACTGATACCCGATCCACCATCAGAAATTGACGTTCACCCCGATGCCGAAGGGTGGGTTTATTTGAACCTTGTCTGCAACATGGCGCAGCTGCACATCATGAATGTCACTCCAGACTTTGTCCGCACTGCCGTCATTGATCTCAGTTCCAAATTTCAGCTGTCGCCAGATGGCCGAAAAATCAGATGGCGCGGCGGCACAGACGGCACTAAATTCAGTAGCGAGAGCTCGGGTGACAGTTCACAGCGAAGTCCTGAAACAGACGACACGGAGAACACAAAAAAAGGGCACCGTAAGAGGCAAAGAACAGGCCGCTCAACGGGAGATTCTGGGAGCTCGGGCAATCGGCCATCCAAATTTGGGCCACTGATGTCTGCGCCCTCTGAAAGTTTTCACTACAAACCCATCTTCGTTAATCAGCCTTCGCCCAACGCGCAATCGTCAATGGAGGACGGTACTTTGTCGTCTTTCGGTCCCCTCGAAAGTAATACAGATTCGCGGTGGGCCCGAAGCGGTTCTGGCGCCTCTAACCGTCGGAAACGCCTCCGGGACGGTGCCATTATCTACTACAGTGGTGCTCCGTTCTGTACCGACTTATCAGGCGACCCAGGAGATATATCCCCTACGACGTATTTGTTATCCAGTGAAACAGGACAGTCCGCCTCTCAGAAGAAGCAATTTCTTCGGCCATTGCCCTTCCGATCAGGATCAGGATCTTCCTTGGACAGACGACCACTGAGTGACGCTGACCTCGGTCTGGGTGCCATTTCTGAGATGAGCATGAATGATGGAGCTAGCGTACCTGAGCTCTCGACTGACTCGGGTGATGAATCTAGCGAGCTCGATATGGAATTTTCCTGGGGAGATAAGCAGCAAACTCTCGAGATTCATCCGCTTGAGCCTTGCGGTCTTGGTGGCGTGCGACCAGAAGATCACTTCATGGTGGTGGTAACGACGAGGCGCCCAATGCTTGATGCTCACGGCGGCCAATCCGGCGTGAAGCGGCGCAAGCTTTCCGAAGAGGTGACTGACAACATTATCCATCGGCTGGCTACAATGTCAACGTCCTCGCCTCGCCCACTTGCTCGTCAATTGCTATCAAAAGGGGACGTTCCCAGGATTGGAATCGAATACATGTCGGGCCGCATAAAACGCCTTGATCCAGTGGCGCTCCCTCCGCCTGCCATATTCTTTCCGCCCTTTAGCGTGGACTCGTGGTCTGAAGACGAATATGGATCCGACGGCGACGACGAGCTTAATTCTTCCGAAGAGTTTATGAGTCGTCGAGCCAACCCGCATCAATCCGACGACTACCCCGACGGTGTGGACCTGAGCAGCGGCGACGAGGACGGCGAAGAGCCTGATGACGATGTTGACATGGCGGTGACTGAGGACCCAGCCAGCGGCATGGATGGGATCTCTCTGCAGGGTCCACGCGGATCACGGGCTAGCACCGAGGCTGTTCCAGGGACTCGTGGACGAAGCAACAGCGCTAGGACGGAGGTGTTGCTCCACACTGGAGGCAGCTCTGCGGCGACTGCAGGAGGCGGCGTCGAGAGCGGGTACAACACCAGCTCCGCAGGGAGTGGCTGATTGTACGGGACATTTCATATTATGAGACACCCCCTTGATGATTCAAGAGGTGCATGAACGTGAGCTCTGTGAATCCCACCGAGCCGCACTGTCACAGCAACACCGCGAAGTGTCATCTCATGATTTATTAGCAGCAGTAGCGGCATGTATTGAAGCGACAACGGCAGCTTGTTGGAAAACAGAGATCAAAAGCGAGCTCTATGGTATTCTTTTTTTTTTCTGCCTTGATGACAGGATATCTGTCTGGTACAACTTGATTTCTGCGATTACTGAATTTTTGTTTAATGAGCTTTTGTTATATATACCTGGGGGACTGGCGTTGAAAATTAGGGATTCCCTCCCCCCAACAGCACGATTCTTCCAAGCGTGCGATTGATGAGTTTTGTTTATCTAGCATTTGAGTTGTATATGTAGTACAGAGAGATTGTACAGATGGCTTTTTCTCGGGCCGTGTATTTAGAGTCTGAATAGCATTATGCAAGTTTACTGGTATTATCAAGTGTGTGAAACATCGACTGAAGAGGGAAATCCCCCATGTGCATTTTGCTTCATTACAGACAAGAACCAATATGCGAAATAATACTGTGTTAGTGACGAGAAAAGCGAAGCAGCATATTATGCTCAGCCAGTTTAAGGCTATACTGTAGAGCGGTATCGCATGGGCCTTGAGCTGCCCCAAGTAGCTCGGCATCGGTTGGTCCCGCAGTCGGGAACCGAACTATCGGGATTATTGTGTGCATACCAAAGTGGTGTAGTTCTTTATTGTTTACACTTGCTCCAATGGTTTTTGTCAAAGTGTACCTAGACTGGTGTCGATCCCAAGCACGTGATACAGGCACTCGACGCATTTCATCATCAAGCTCTGACTAGAGTGTGGCTTTCACTGTGTGGCTGGAACTGACTACGCAATCAGGCCATTCCATCCTGCAGCACGCACGAAGCTCCTTTTGATCGCTGCATCAGGCGTCGACCATAAATCAGCGTGAGGGGTTTCGCTTTGATAGTGCTTATCAAGCGATTGATATAAATTGAAATTTCATTGAATAGCTACATACTTTTTTTTTCTGGTCTTGTCTGCGCTGGTTCCGCGACTGGCATTGTCCCTTTATCTCGTCTCACTTTTGTGTGTGTTTTTGGATTCCTTCGCCTTGCTGTGCTTTTGGGCTCTTAAGTGAAGATGCGGCTGCAATTGGGCTCGGCCTTGGTGGCGGGATTAGCCGTTGCTGCGGAGACTTCGGCGTCAAAGGAAGAGGTGAAGCCGGCTGGGGTTAAGAATGTTGCTATTATCGGTGAGTTTGCCTGGTTGACGTTGGTTCCTGGTCTCGGAGATGTGGGCGGGGATGAATCCCACGATTGGAATATGAGACATACACACACACCCCGACGGCCACTGATAAACTAACCACACACTGCCATAGGAGCTGGAGCTGCCGGGGCTTCAGCTGCGTACCACCTGCGTCAATATGCAGAGGAAGCCGGCGTCAAGGTCAACATCACAATCTTTGAAAAGACGGACCGCATCGGCGGCCGCACCCTGACCGTCAACGCGCACGACGATCCGTCGCAGCCCGTTGAGCTCGGCGCGAGCATCTTCGTCGCCGTCAACCACATCCTCTACAACGGCACCAAGAACTTCAACCTGTCCATCGGGTCCAACTACCGCGTCGCCGAGAGCCAGGCCGACGTCACGGCCATCTGGGACGGCGAGAGCTTTGTCTATGAGACGACGGACGGCACCGCCTGGTGGTGGGACGCGGGCAAGCTGTGGTGGCGGTACGGCATGAGCCCCTACCGCGCGGTCAATTTGGTGAAGGAGGTGGTGGGCAAGTTCTTGAAGCTGTATGAGCAGCCGTATTTCCCTTTTCGGTCGTTGACGGCAAGGACGTATGAGCTGGGGCTGGTGGAGATTACGGGGGTGACGGGGGAGCAGTTTCTTGCGCAGAACAAGGTGAGAAGGGCGGAGATGATGAGCTTGATGACAATGACTGACCATTTCTCGCTAGATTGATGAAAAGTTCTCGAGACACATTATCCAGGCTGCTACAAGAGTCAATTATGCCTCGAACCTGGCATATCTTCATGGATTGGAGACCATGGTAAGTCTTTATCTGGGAGTTTGTTTTCGCATCAGTCAATCGTCTTGGGATTCTGATATTAAATGTGCAGGTCTCGTTTGCTACGGATGGCGCCATGTCCGTGGTTGGAGGCAATTGGCGCATTTTTGAGCAAATGGTCAGAAACAGCGGCGCTACGGTGTATCACAACACCACTGTCTCGGCCATTGCCTTTGCCAAAGAAAAGACTTCGTCTTCAGCACCCAAGTATGAAATCTCCACTGCTTCCGCCGGCTCATCATCTACAGAGCCAGAAGTGGTTGCCACAGCATTCGACGATGTGATCATCGCCTCTCCCTGGCAGTTCAGCAACATCGAGGCCGGCGAGGGAGTTATCAAGCACCACATTGAAGAGATTCCTTATACCAAGCTCCACGTCACGCTCTTCTCCTCTCCCCGCAAGCTGGATCCCGAGTTCTTCAAGCTGGCACCCGGAAGCACAGCCCCCAGCAACGTGTACACGACTCTCGCGGAGGGCGAGAAGCCAAAGGAGGGTACCGAAGGGGTTGGCCAGACGGGCTTCTACTCTGTCAGCACGCTCAGGACGATGCTCAACCCGAAGACGAACGCCACAGAATATGTATACAAGATCTTTTCGCCCAAGCCCGTGACCCCACAGTTCCTGTCCGAGCTTTTTGGCGTCAAGGTACCAGAGGCCTTTACGTCTGGGTCTGGGGAAAATGGGGACGACAACGGCGGTGTGGATCCAATTTCGTGGTATTACCCTCATTGGTTCTACGCCTACCCGGTCGAGCTTCCGCGGGTGACGTTCCAGGACCCTATTCTGGGAAGTGGGTTGTACTACACCTCTGGAATCGAGAGTTTCATCTCGACGATGGAGACGAGCGCTTTGATGGGCATGAACGTGGCAAGGCTGATTGTCGATGATGCAGCCGGCATTTCTCGGGAAGAGGTTCCTGCAGTTATGAGCGAGGGGGATTTGGGGCTGGAGAATGTCAAGGTGGAGTTGGTTGTTGAAGAGCCCGGCGAGCTGTAAATCTCGGACCAAGTTGAGCCGAGGGAGAATGGAAAGAGATGGCGAAGATGGAGGCAATTCGGATGATGGCGGCAATTTGGCGAGTAATGGTAAGTTGACGATTTACATGACACAGAGTTTTTGGAGGGGTTTATTTTAGGCAAGCGACACTTTCTTTGATAGTTGAGTATTTTGATATATGGGGCTTGGGCCCTGAAATGGTGAATTAACTGTACGTTTCTTCATCAATTCATCGCACTGTTACTGCTATTCATGTCCTTCAAAGTGAAGAAGAATTGTAAGCAGTATGGAGGAGTTAGTGCAAAGGTGCCTCAACAATTTGCAGACCATTGCGTTGCATCCCGAGCTAGTATTACTAGTAGGTAGTATCGACTCTGCCTTCTCATGCAAACAAGATATCGGAGCTTAAAGTGATTTAGCTCAGCATCCTTGCATATGCATCCCGTGACTAACATAGAAGGAGGGACAAAAGGCGGAGAAGCTGCATTGGCAGTCTGTTTTGCTTATCTACCTAGTTGCCGAATGGAATGCCAAGCGTGTCATCTATAAAGCCATGCTTCTACCTGCTGTGTCTTTTCCGTATCAATTGGAGAAGAGAGGGGTTAATTGAGTTTCACGCTGGTTCCCATTGATGCTCGTGCGGCTCTCGGGGTGGTGTTCCGGGCGGCTTATTCAACGAGAGGGCGACGCGATTACCTTTTACATCTGGCTGGGGCTAGGTTGATAACCTTTTCACAAAGCATGATGGTATGAGGCAAACTCAACAATCCTCGTTCGTATATGTTGGCGGTATCCTTTAGGTCTAGCCTCCATCCCAGCAGGCACCTATTAAACTTGCCGAGTCTTGTCCGTGGCTTTCGAACTGATTGATGGGGCAAAAAAAGATGATTCTGGGCTATGCATGCGGTGCGGCATGGCAGGCTCGGAGCTTACTTGAAATCTTCCTTCAACGTGGGGCCGTTGCGGCGACGAGACTGGCCGCCGCTAAACAAGGTCCATTCGCCATCTCCATCGCATCTCTTTGTCAATTTTTTTCTCTTCTCTCTCCACCACTCGTAAATCCGAGTAGCAAGTGGTGTGTATATGAGGTCATCTGAGGGGGAATGAGAAAGATAAAGAAAAGGTTTTGCCTCTTGTTATCTCTGCCAGGCTTCCCTCAATTGGACAAATGGTTGTATCGTTATCACAGAGTAATCCCTTTTCTGCTCAAAGCTTCTCCCAAAACAGCAGAAATCCCGGAATCCCGTGTCCGATAATCGCGGCCGGCCTGTGTCGGCATCTGCCGGATGAGGCCCTAGCTCCAGGTGCCGGCTCCGACGGCGCTGGCATTCGAGGCGTCTAGACCAATTCCCATTTGCTAATTGTAAACATTACAATGGAACTTTTTATTGGAGAATCCTAGCATGGGAAAGTTTTTCGTAATGGAATAGGAGGATTTTGTGTTTCATGCGGTATGAAGTGTCATCAATTCGGGCAACTTTGGATGGAGTTTGTTGCTCGTTAGCTCATGGTCTAAGCGAGAGGAACTCCGTTCTTGCCTTTGTTGTGACTTGCTGTTTCTTACATTTAGGGTCGTTGCTATCTTTATCTTTTGTGCTAAAGGAAGGGGACCCCTACTCTTGTTGGCTTGACTATTCCTTCCTTCTACCGCTGCCAATTGTCTTTGATATAGAGAGTTATCACAAGAGCGGTGCCATTGATATATCCCACCCTTTTTGTTATCCATCCGTTGACAACAATTCCATCCATTCACAACTTTGAAACTCCTCTTCAGCTTCTTCTCGTCGATAACAATCACATCAACCCACCACCCAGCATGCCTGCCTCCGGCCCCGCAGCCACCAAGACAAAGTACAGCTTCACCGACGACTACAGCGAGGGCGCCCATCCCGACGTGCTCAACGCACTGCTGCTCAGCAACAACTCCCAAGAGGTCGGCTATGGCCACGACAGCTACAGCGAGACGGCCCGCGAGCTGATCCGCCGCCAGCTGGGCTGCGACGACGTCGGCATCTTCTTCGTGCCCAGCGGCACCTCGGCCAACGCAATCAGCATCGCCGCCTGCCTGCGTCCACACGAGGCCGTCATTGCCTGCAGCTCCGGCCACATCGTCACGCGCGAGACGGGCGCCGTCGAGGCCAGCGGCCACAAGATCATCAACGTGGCGCCCAAGGACGGCAAGCTGACGCCCGAGTCGCTGACCAAGGCCCTCGACGACAACTGGCACTTCCCGCACATGGCCCGCCCGCGCCTCGTCTACATCTCCAACGCCACCGAGGTCGGCACCGTCTACACAAAGGCTGAGTTGACTGCCCTGAAGCGTCTCTGTGAGGCCAATGGCCTGCTGCTCTTTTCCGACGGCGCGCGAATCGGCGCTGCCCTGACGTCCAGCATGAACGACATGACGCTCACCGACATGCTGGAGCTCACCGACATCTTCTGGATCGGCGGCACCAAGAACGGCGCCCTGCTCGGCGAGGCCGTCATCGTCAAGGACCCCAAGCTGGCCGAGGACTTTGAGTTCTTCGTCAAGCAGCACGGCTCGCTGCTCGCAAAGGGCCGCGTCATGGGCGTCCAGTTCGCCGAGCTCTTCCGCGACGACGACAGCCTGTACTTTAAACTCGCCGGCCGTGCCAATCTGGCCGCCGAGAAGCTGTCGCGGTCCATTGTCGGCGCCGGCTACCAGCTCAGCGCAAAGACGGAGACGAACCAGGTCTTTGCGCTGCTGCCCCAGGGCCTCGTCAAGGCGCTGCAGCAGGAGTTTTCGTTTTACGAGTGGGAAAAGTATGGCGAGTTTTCCGTCGTGAGACTCCTGACTACCTGGGCCACGGATCCGGCCCAGCTGGAGAGGTTCAACCAGATTGTGCTGAGCTGGACTCCTGACGCGCAAAAGACACTATAGAGCGCTTTTTAAAACTCTTTTTTTCCCACACGTTTGTTTTGCTTTCAAGAACAACTAGCGCAATTTCTCTTCTCTTCATTTTTTTTTTCTCCTTTTTCTTATTAATGGGAATGATCGGTCGGGGTCGCATTGTTAGGCATGTAGATTTGTGATTTGAGCGACAACTGTTGAGGCATTGGGTCTATTGTGGCGTTTGGGAAAGTCTTGGATTTGGGCTGGAAACAATGAGATATAGAAAAGCCTTGGGTCCAACTTTAATAAACTACGTTATGTCTAGTGATTGTTTCCATTTTTGGTCTTTGTGGTTGTTTTGTGCCCGAGTTCTTAATCTTGGTCGTGGAGCTACGGGCCAAGCTTGAGCATATCGAAATCGATTATCACTGTACAAGATTCAAGTGTTGTGATCAATCTCATCACAGGACTGCTAGCTAGAACCAATACTGCACATTTCGGCCTCTAGCGAGGTCGTGCTGCAAGAGACGAGCTTGATGCCTAGGTAGCAATTGCTCACTCTTGAGCTCTCTACGGCTCCGACCTTGGGTTGATGAATTGAATCCATTGGTAATTTCTTGTTACTTCCTCCTTCAAACAGTATATCGGTGCTTACAGGGAAAACTTAACTGCCTATACTTGGAGAGCATGGCAGTGCTAGATAAGAGCCCTTTTGTCAGAAATTAGTGCCTTCTTTCAATAGCATATGCTACACTTGCTCTTTCCACGTAACTACACAAGGTATTTGTATTTCATCATTAATGAGTAGGTACCTAAGCTATAAATACCTTGCCCCAATTCTGGGGCGACATGCAGTTGTAATTGAGTAGGCACATGGGTGCTATTTGCAGTGCCTGGGTTGACGATGAACCCTGCACCTCATGCAAGCCGGAAAAAAACTTTAATCGAATACTCCCTGCATTTCGGCAGTTCATGTCTAAATAGAGGTGTCTGATAGATTCAGCTCGGATTAAATAAAGCTACTTATGATGTAATGCAATTCCTCAATGATACCAAACGACGGCATTATTCAGCTTATTGTAGTATTCTCTTTGGTATTCGGATAAAAGTTTTCGGGATTAAAGTATCCGGAGGGGGGTAAGAAAACCATCCGAACATGAAAACCATCCGAAGATTTAAAGTATCCGAGGATGGGAAAAAAAAGTATCCGAAGCGGATAAACCTTCCAAATCTTGTTGCTTCGTTTGAAGAATGTGATGATAGAGTCTAAAGTCACAAGCCAAGTATATTAGAGATTTGTCCTCGCCAGCTGTATTGTGCTTTTTTATCTTGAGATCAGAGGAAGATGTGTTCATTCCCCCTTGTATTTCTTGCTTTATTTGGGACTCTTGTGCTCAACAAGAACTTAAGCAATGCATGTCTATATTTTTATAACAAATAACAAAACTAATAAAAAGCAAAACTAATAATGAGAGAAGCATTGTTCCCCATCTCACGCAGTTTTTCAACTTTTAACGGGCGATAAAGATGCAATAACACACAGTGAGCAGTCATTCACCACCACCCTATTTCTCGCATGAAAAATCCCCGTTCTACGGGCCTCTCCGCAATGGAACCACCTTTTCCCTTCTCCATTATTCCCAACTATCGTGGCATTTCTTTTTGGGACGAACCGTGGAGCGAAGCGTATGTTTTTTTTGTGGCCCAACACGTGCCATCCCGGTCTTTTCCCTCTCAATCTTCTCAGCTGCCGATCACACTAGAAGGTGGTGTCTTATAGGAGTAAAAGTTACTTACATGTTCAATCGATTATATGATTCCCAGGCTAGACGGCAACTCATTCCTCATAAATGAAATAGAACTGCCCCAAGTCCACCCCTGCTCGAAGATACTATCACCTAAACGTTACTTTGACAAAGAGAGCATATCCATTTTATGCAGTGTGTTTCGCTTATCCTTGCCCAATTCAGAGTCCGGAGACATCTCTTGAGCAAAATGTCTCAATAATTGTGGATTTGCATTGTTTGGCTCTGTATCTGAATCAGCCGCAATGCTAAAAGAAGAACTAGTGGAAATGAATCCTTCGATCGATCTCAGTCAGTTTACTCTTCCTGTAAAGGCACCCAGCTCTTCCCCTGAAGACTTCATCCAACGAAAAACGGCATGTGAAAATTCATTGGTTGTCCCCCAGTAGTTCTATACGATAGGACTATTTCGGACAACTTTACGATTGATGTGGTAAAATCACTGAGCAAATGATCATCGTATTTTAGAATAATAAAAACAATCTGTATTTGTCTCGGTTGGACAGTAATCGCTAAATAACAGTAACTAGAAGAAGCAAATGCCGAGTTTCCCTTCTGAACAGCTGTGCCGCCAGAGCCTATCCTCTATAAAGTCTATCCATCTATTCATGCTTTCTAGTCATGACGATGCGGGTCTGGCGGTTCGTCGAATAGCACTTTTGAAGAGGAGGTATCATGTAATAGATCCGAATCCAGATCCAGTCTGGAAAAGAAGACGCCAAAAAGGGGAGAAAACAACTCCCAGACGTGAAGAGGATTTCATATCTCATGTAGTCAAATCATAAAGTTATTTAGTCGCTGGACTTGTGCATGGAGCCAGTGACGTAATTCTCGGTACCGAGCGCGTTGATAGTCTCAGTGTCTTCCTTAGACAAGTCAAAGTCAAAGCTCTGAAGGTTGCTCTCGATGCGAGATGGGGTCAAGCTCTTGGGTAAGACAACATTTCCTCGAGCAGCATTCCAGTTGAGGAGAATTTGAGCGGGAGTTTTGCCGTACTTCTTGGCAATGGCGTTGATGGTAGGATCTTCGAGCTTGTTGCCCTGAGCCAGCGGGGAGTAAGCCTCAATCTTGATACCGTACCTATCACAGAGATCAACCAGAGCCTCGCGCTGGCAGAAAGGATGGACTTCAACCTGGTTGACAGCGGGGACCACACGTGCGTTCTCAATGAGGTTCTCGATATGGGCGGCGCCAAAGTTGGAGACGCCAATTGACTTGACTTTGCCAAGTCGCTGAGCTGTCTCTAGGGCACGCCAGCTTTCCAGACGCTTCTGCTCATCTGAAGCGGGAGAGTGGATCAGATACAGGTCCAAGTATTCAAGACCCATCTTGTCGAGGGAAGAGCAGAGTGCGTTGAATGTAGCTTCGTAGCCGTGATCAGAGTCCCACAACTTAGAGCACACAAAGATCTCTTCACGGGGTGTGCCAGTCTTTTCCATCCAACGACGGATGGCACGGCCGCAAGCCTCCTCGTTGGCATATCGAGCAGCAGAGTCAATGTGGCGGTATCCAGCGTCGAGGGCAGCTGTGATGGCATCCTCAGTCTCCTGGCCGTTAGGGGCCTTGTATACACCAAGGGCAACCTGAGGAATGACATTGCCATCGTTGAGAGTAATAGAGGCAATGGAAGAAATAGAGCTGCTGTGGGATCGGGTTTGGTAAAGAGACTTTCTGAGGTTGGAGCCACGCTCAGGAGAGGTCTCAGGGGTGATCGCGATAGGAGCCATTGTGATTGAGGGCTTGAGAAGCTTTGTATGAAATGCTGTTGTGTGTCTTATGGGCGTAGGAAGTCAAGCAGATGAAATGAAGACCACTTCCTGAAGCGGTAGATTGCGGGTAATGGGTCTTGAGATGGTTATCGTGTAAGTCTGTGGAGTGATGGAGGCTGATAATGGAGAACAGCGATGGTTTTGCGGGGGATTGACAGCTGCTTAAATATCTGGAAATCCGAGTCCTAGAAGCTCCTAATCTGCCACTTCTTCACTCATGTCTCTACGTATGAAGTACACACCTTCAACTTGCCATGGATATGAGATGCTGTCCCGTTCAGCATGGTACATTGCGCCTTGTGCGATTCTATCGGCGTCTTGGCACTCGCAGAGGTACGTACATGCGACGTACTTTCCTCTTCATAACACCGCCTCTGTCAACTCAGCACAGTGGTGGAGTCGAACGGGCCCCTGAAGCAATACTATCCTTGAATCGGCCCATACGAGACGAGACTGAGCGGCGCCAAGATTGTCTGGAGATATGGAGTGTGAGTGGACATGTGGTGGAGAGGACGTGATAACCCAAATGCGGCATTTTATCAGAATCTCCAGTGTTCTCTTCTTGCAGTCCAGCCGATGTGAGGCACAAGATTATGAGAGTCTCAAAGCCTCGCGAGATGCATGAGCCCGCGGCGTTATGACGACGGCTGTGGAGGCCGCGATAGCTGGGCTATGGGTCTCAACAGGCCAAAAAGTGACAGACCAGCCCATCCGCGTGAACTTTAGCGAGAGATTCACGGTTTCCATCGCTCGCGTGGAAGAGATGAGTCCATAAAACTGCGGCGTTTATCGTTCCACTTCGTGGAGAGCGCGGCCTGAACAACAAATCAGCGTCTTGTTTATGCTGCCCACGGGGAAGATTCTACTGACAGATTGCGCGGAGCACAAGCAAAGCCAGCGCGCAGAATAGCTTCAACCTTTTCTTATCCACACCCACATGGAGTGGAGCACGGCCTGTGATTTAAATGGAGCAATATCAGTTCTCTCGGTGCCTCTGCCCGAGGTGAGGCGAGCTCAAGGATTGCTGTTGTCGGATCCTCAGGGGAAGAAGCCCAAGCCCTTGATGCGCATAACTAATCTGGCAAGATCTTGACGGTGAGACGCGATGCCAAATGAAGAGTTTTCTCTTATTCCCAAAGTCCGCGTGCATTGTTGTCTCTTCATGGAAATTCCCCGAGTGGCCGTGGGAAAGAAGGTGCAGCGGTGCCTGATAGCTGACACGTCAAGGTACATCTGCGAACCGTACCGTATACGATATATCAGTCCATGCCATGCGCATATTCACCGCTGGGACAGCGAGATTGGCAGTACCAGCTTCGACCTGCAGCATGTACCGTCTCTGAGTCCCATTTGCGTCCCACCATCGACGTAATTTGTCCCACCGCTGAGAGATTGTGTGCTTGTACTGCAAAGATCGGCAGCTGGAAGCTCCTGCCCAAGCATTCCGGGATGCAGCCAAGCCAGAGTGCTTTCCCACGAGGAAAGAGCAACAGATGAATGCGATGCCGCTAACCGTGTATGGCTACTGCCATAGCATAAAGCGCCTCGCCTGTGGCTGCCGTTCCGTGTCGGCTCAGCCAAGCCGGAGCCCGGCCGCTCAGCGGTCCAGGGCCCCGGCCAGCGCCAAAATTGACAGACTGTGTATGAATGCACGCAGAGTCTTCATTTGTTAAATCGATCAACTACTACCTATTCACTCATGTAATAGGCGCTCACATCTAAGAAATGCATTATAACTCCCTTCTTTAGCGCCTTACCTCATTTTGATACCCAGTCTTCTTATATCCATCTCTTTTCCTTTACCCAATGCAGATCCGATACATATCCGGCACCTTATAGGCCGCAAAACTCAAGCCACCTGCCCCATCTTCAACAGGCCTTTCTCCCTCCTTTTTCTGTTATCACTCTCTACTTGTACATCCATACACCACAACAATAATTTCCCAATACCCACGGCTGACTATTCCTGCATAAAGATCCTCACCATCACCTTGGCGGCGTCGGACATCGAACTGTTTTGACGTCATATTCCCGCCGAATGTCATAGGTCTAGCTGCGAAAGATCCCTGACATGGGGCTGACCGCTGAACTTGTCTGATTCGGATTGGTGATGGCATTCAATTTGGACTCCATTATCCTATGCGTTGATATGGAGACTGAAATTTTGATAGAGATATTTACCAAGGAGTGTGTGGAGTACATACTTGCAGGCATGTATCAGGTAGGTGATACGAGCAGTTCTTTTCCAGGAGACCACAGTACAAAGTGCGTACTCGTACACAGACAGGTACAGGCACATGCAATTCCTTCAACCTAGCTATCTCTATATTTTGCAGCCAGCTCATTGGTACACACCAGGCATCTCGACTCACCTGGTCCCTTTCCAATAGCCGCTGCGTCATGCTGCAGGACCCTTACTTCTTAATGCTGACACTACCTCACCTACTGCTACAGCATTGGTAGCATTTCGTTAAAAGTCTTGACATGTTCAGAAAACTTGACAAATAACGAGTACAGTCTGGATATCTGACTCGTGGGTACAGAGATCGGAAACATTGCGTGGGTCTATATATGTGGTTTTTACATACCAGTAACAGTAATGCTCTGCTTTTCTTGCCCACAATATACTCGCTTACAAAACGCTACAAGAAACTGCTTCTTCAGTGGGCACTCCCATTTCCACCCCCAGATTCTTATCCCCAGATCAGCAAAGAAGCCAATGAGGCTATTTATTTATTCTGTTCAAGTCATCAAACTGACTCTGATTCAGAACCAATGTGAAGCTATCGTTGGTGTTCTACAAAACACATAATTGGAAGCAGTTCAGAAGCACCGCATAGATCGGCAGTCAATGTCTCAGTGACTTTTCAGGTAAGTTTTCCCTTCCACCTCCCTTTTAAGATCCAAGCCATGATTATGTACAAAGAACTTCGTAATGCGTGTGCTTGGCCCACTATGCCGCCGTCAAGCTGATCTTTGACATGAATCAGGAATATGATCAGCAGCAACCGCTAGGGTTGCGTCCTTGTTCACTTTTTTGGACACCTCGGCGTCCACTTGTTTAATCCCTGATACCGCCTTGATTGGATGGGATATTTAGCTCTACAAGTCTTAGCGTTTGCTTCTACACAGAAAGAACAGCCACATACAAAAAGTTACTATATGAATAGACATGGCGGAACACTCTGTTTCGGCGTAACTACCTACATGCGTATATAACAGCGCCAATCTTTCAACAGAAGCTGACCGGGTATAGTCGGCAGGCTTGGTTTGTCATATGGTATGGAGTTCACTACTCATGTTACTTGCTGTTTTGGTGAATCCACCAGGCCACAGCTCAAATCTAGTACACAGAGCGAGTATGAACTCGGTGTTTGCAACCCGAGATGCATATGATACGGATCGTCATCTTGCTAAGAAGCCTATCATATCTCTTTTAATGCAGGACTACCCTGGACCGGCATGTTTCGCACCTAGTTTGATCTGATTTACAAACAACCTCGCCAGTCTCACGTTTGAACAAGGCTTCTTCAGGCATGAGCGATGAAGCCTTGTTCGTGATACCGTACTGTATACCGAGCTCCAGGCAAATTACTATGAGACCAACGTGACAAGGCCTTTTGAAGATACAAATTGTAGCAAAGGCTACGGCAGTACCTAATACTGTACTACACTGTTTACTTCTCACTTTGCGAATACGAAAGGGGACGGCAATCTGATAGGTGTCAGAGCGGATTCCATAAATAATCTCATCGGGCGATATTCTTCAGTCGGCGATGATAATCGAAACGCCGAAGTCACACCGCTTGCTTGCTCCTTTACAATATCTGCGGTTCTTCAGACGGCTGTGAGGAAATATCTAGTAGTTGGGGGGGACCATCTCCTTTAAGGAGCAATAGCAACATCAGCCACTAAAGAACGGCTTCCACACACATAATGCAACAAAAGAATGGGATTGGTCGTAATCGTTGACGATGTGCTTTCTTGGTTGAAACTTGATCCTTTGCTGAAAAAATGCATCCGAGTTCACTTCATATCAAAAGGTTTGTATCTCTCAATCTTACAGCCATTTTGTCTTATTGCAACGTCCATATCATGAACCCACCTGCTTGTGGAAACCAAGCCAAGCGCACTCGCCCCTAGCAGCCTTACGATCTGATCTTGCAGCGCTAACAATCTCACGATAGTTGTCATGTGGCATTTTTGCAGGGCTATTTCGGGCATGGATTCTCTATATACTGGGGACCTTGGTTGCTCTAACCCCACTCAATTGGACCTCACAAGAGGTGGCTATTTTGGACGAATTAAGCCTTGCATATGGATTTGCAGCCGACAGTAGGGTTGAGATTACTTGCTTAATCTAAGATCTCTTCCCAACTTGAAGTTTGACATAATCTTTTTGATAGCCTAGAATATCAGCGCGAGTTGTACCACTAAAAACACCATAACAGCCCCAGTAAGTTCTACTACAATAATAAATGTAGCAGTCTATAGCCGGATATATGAGACTAACGATGCAACCAGCTCTCTCTTGTGACTCCAAGTACATTTTTGTTATCTTGTTACAGTTGGATGGATATTGATAATAAATTCATGAAGCAGGCGCACAATTCTAGCCTAGATTGGTGGGTTTCACCATGTCACCACCAATCAGTGCTTTGAGTAGTCGGGGGGATATCAATGCTTTTCGTGGCAGTGTCAGGCTGCCTCCTCTCAGGCTGCCTCCTTTCATGTTGTCTTCTTTCAGGCTGTCTTCTTTCAGGCTGTCTTCTTTCAGGCTGTCTTCTTTCAGGCTGTCTTCTTTCAGGCTGTCTTCTTTCAGGCTGTCTTCTTTCAGGCTGTCGTCTTTCGGGCTGTCGTCTTGAATAGCTCCGGTGTCGTCCCTAATCCTTTGGAGCCAGCATGATGACATACTCTCGCGTACTGTGTCCAAACAGCAACATGTCTTTGTCCCTCAGCTCGAGATACCTACTGCTAGGAATCTTTTCATCATTCAAGATGGTTCCATTGGCGCTCTCCAAGTCAATAACATACGGCTTCACTTTGCCAATCTTGTCGCCGTATTCATTTCGTTTCTCAATGTAGCGGAACTGAATGACAGCGTGCTGTTTGCTGAGGCTCGGATGCTCTGCGGGCAGGTCAACCACAGCCATCTCTCTCCCAATCAGCCAGCAGCTCCTTGCACTCAGTTCAATGGTGTCGATAATATCTCCACCTTTGAAAACAAAGAGCTTCCAGTGATCGCTCGGCGGAGGTTTTCGTGCTTCTCCCGGCTCATGGTACTTGAGCACGATTGATGTGCCGTCTGCCTGGGCAACCGAGTTGGACAAGGCCGCTAGCCGGCCCGTGTTTCCCATATTCGGCTTCTCTTTGGGCTTCTCGGGGTCGTCGCCCCCCTCTGCTGTGCCGGCAAAAGAATCTGCCTGTGAGGGTAGTGGCCCCGATCTTCTGACCGAAGGACCATCCTGGCGCCGAGCTAATGCGCGGCTGTCGCGCTCGGAGTCGTCGTCGCCAGAGCGATTGTGCCGTGGACGCCGACGACTCTCCCTTTCTTCCGGCGAACGCCTAGATCTTCTTTCACGGTCGCCACTTCGGTCCCGATGTTTGTCGCGTCTCCTTTCTCGGTCCTTATCGCGGCTTCGGTCCCTGTCACGGCTTCGATGTCTCCGAGAAGAGTCCTCCGGCGTCCGAGATCTTCGTCGATCGCGTCGTCTTTGTCTTTCTCGGCTATCGTCGCGGTCGCGGCGAGGTGCTTGTTTCCGTTAGCTTCCATCTTCCTTTATGCCTAGAGCCATTCTCACAGTCATCATGTTTATCCCGATGTCGGCGCGACGAGCTATGGGGGCTACGGTCTTCTTTCGAAGCCATGACGACTGATGCGAACTTCTTGAATCGTGTGGCAATGCGGTGGAATTGACTGAACGTAGGTGGCTAAGAGGAAGGAAAAGTACTTTGAAAAGAGAGAATCTCGTGTGAAATTAGGAAATCTAAGGTGAATGTATCCGTAGACTGGAACTTTAAAGAGCTTGGAAGCTGTAAGAGGCAGAGCAAGTGGTTGAAAATGGAAGCTGCGTCACGCGTATCGATAGCAGGTGCAAGGATGCTGCTGCACAGTGACTGCCACTAAACGATAGCGGGCTGTGCTCTATACACGAGATAGCGCAGACATTTCTTCACATATCATGGAAGTTACTGGTATGCCGCTCATAGAAACCAAAGAGACGGCTTGTGAATTCCATGTATATCATTAAATTTATGTAGGTAATATAAAGATAGATTCAATATTTCCAGCTTTAGGTTGCATCACTCCCACTGCCATCAGCCATCTACGGGCTCACCTTCAACATCAATCTCAATAATCTTCCTCACAGCCTCATCAACGCCCTTTGCAATCACCGTCGGCTTCAGCCCAACTGCACCGCTCAGTCCATCGATCCACCCAAGATCGGGATTCCGATTAACCCAAGCGCTTCTCCAGCCCGCAGCCCTCGCACCCAGAGCGTCAAAGGGATTCGAGGAAACCAGCCACAGCTTCTCTACCTGAGATTCCATGCCCGCCACCTTGGCAAAGTGCGCATACGTCCGTTGGTCAGGCTTGAACACCCTTACAGGATCGACACTAACAACCCGAGACGCCGGCAGGACGGAGCTGGATCGAGCCAGCGACGGCGACGTGCGCAGGGACGACGTGATCATGGCCTCGGTGCCATTTGAGAAGACGTAGGCTTCCACCGCAGGGGTCTTGGCAATGAGACTGAGGCCTGCCTCGACCTCGGGGAATGCGTCTAGGCCGTTGTAGGCGTTCATCACTTGTTCCTCCTGTTCTGGTGACAGCTCCTCGCCGACTTCTGCAGCAGCGTGCCGGAATGACCATCGCGTCAACTCGCCAAATGACTGATACATGCCTTGAGCGGGAGCAATTAGTTTCCATGTCTGCATTGCAGCTGAGCGGCCCCCAAGAGAAGAAACTCACCCATGCCATTGATCCGCCAAGAATACTCCAACTGGTAGCGCCGGGCCTGCGTCGCAACCACTTTGGCTTTTTCATCTCCGAATATCTTGGCCAGCTCCTTGACAATGGAGTCGGTGGACAGGATAGTCCCGTAGAGGTCGAATGCAATGGTGGTTGGAGCCATGCTTTTTCAGCTGTCCAGGGTAAAAGACTACTACTAGTAAGTGAAGCCGGTGAGTCAGGCGGCAACTATTAGGCTGCAGGCTGCAAGATGCACTCAAGGAATACGGAATGTAGACTAGGAGCCTCGACGGAATTCTGTGAGATTCCACGATGGCTGTAGTATTACTGTCTTATAAAGCCGTATTTATGAGTTTGTACGATGTATATTTTCATGATATATAGACATCCCATCCTCGGTAATCCATCATGTTCTGTAGAACTATTATCCGCAGCCCCTCAATCTAGCAATTGCAAGTTGCCCAATCTGGCCACCAGCCATCCAATCAAATCATCACTCTACGTCAACCAAACGAAGAGACCTCAGCATCTCGCATAGCCGGCTGCCGACCGATCCGATCCATCTGGGGAATCATTCTCACTTGCACGAAACAAGACAATGCTGGACGAGGAAAGCCTCAACTACCCACTCTTTCGAGATTGTCTCTCCACCACCATCCTCCAGCCCGCAACGCCCGCGCCGGAGCCGAAGCGCAGGAGACGAGCCAAGGCGGGGCCGACGTCGCCGGTGCCGGCTGCGGTTGCGGTTGCGGATCCGGAGCGGGACGCCCAGGAACTCGCCGACTTCATCGACTACCTGGCCGACGGCATCTTTCGGAACCTCCCGCAGGACCTGCAGGATCTGGACCACCGCTCATGGAGGGAATCTGAAGCGCTGCAGGCGCAGTACTCCCTGCCCCTGACCGAGGATAGCCTGTCAGAGCTCGTCCTGCCGGCGTCCATCTGCGAGACGCTCGTCACTTACAACCTCGTCTCCTCAGACCCGTCTCAGCCTTCACATCTCCCATCCACGCCCGAGGCATTTCTGCTCCCCATACTCACCGCATACCTCACCCCTCTCATCGAACCCCCACCAGCTACGGCATCTACTCGCACAGAAGCCTGCGAGCTTTGCGAGCGTTCTTGGATCCCCTTGTCATATCACCACCTCATTCCTCGCTTTGTGCACGAGAAAGCTGTCAAGCGCGGATGGCACCGCAAGGAAGACCTGCAAAACGTGGCGTGGCTGTGTGGTGCTTGTCACAGATTCGTACATCGCTTTAGGAATCATGAAGACTTGGCGAGATATTATTACACGGTTGAGCTGTTGTTAGAAGAAGAAGAGGTTCAAAAATTTGCGGAGTGGGTTGGCAAGTTACGCTGGAAGGGTGGTAAGACAAGGAGTCGAAAGCATTAGAAGTCACCTAGAGCTATAACTTGGGAGAATGCTCTGCGTCGCGCGTATCCTACAGGCACGATGATTGAATATGAAGACGGGTTGTATCGTGATTTCAAGGGTATCAAGTTTATTCTTAATCCGGGACGTTTTGTACAAAATCCTGATGAAAAACAAAAAAATCGTAACAGTATTGCTCATAACATACATATGCTGATGATGAGGAAAAAAGAGAGATGAATCGCAAAAATTAGCCGATTATGAATTCCCCTGCTGGCTTGACTTTTGTGACATGTGATCTCGCTCGTCAGCCAATTTGATGTAGTCACCACTCCTCCTGTATTCGGTCACGGTAACATCATTCGTTTGCAACACGCCTACATTCGACTTGCGCTTTTTACTCCCATCACCAGAAAAGGTACTGCCACCTATCGTTTCCAACGCGAATTGGCCAGCCCCCTTGCCGTTTTCACCATCTCCTTGTTGCACTTGAACTCCCGTTTTCTCTCGCCGTCTCTTATTCCAGAATGAGTAGAGCGTCGGGGCATTGACCACAATAGCAGCGGTAAGGAGCTCGGTGCTGGCCCAAGTTGTACGGCTCACCTGGCTAGTCGCGTTCTGGGAGTTGATGGGTAGTCGAATAATGGTGATGAGAATGATGAATATACCGAGCGTAAACAGTACAACCAGCTGGGCTTTTCGACTTGGTGGCGCTTTCAGCTTGAAAATGGTTGGAAGCGGTAGAATGATCAACAGGAAGTCGGTTATGATGTTGAGAACGCCGAGGGCAATGAGCTGAACCTGAGCCTCTGCACAAGGGCCTATGTCGACAGTCAGAGGAGCCAAAGGAGGGGGGGGGGGGGGGGGTAAATATGAGGAAAAGGTTTGATCATACCTGGATCAGGGACAACCTGCCAGTAAAGGTGAAAGGGCTTGCACTCGACAAAGGTCAAAATCTGGACAGCTGCATATGTCACAAAGAAAAAAGCAAGATAAGCCCGGATCAGCCATTTTTCGTAGGGAAGATCCTGAATGAGTCGTCGATAGAGATCCAGCAGTACGAGCTTCTGCAGCCAAAGACTACAATCGCGTCCCCCAAGTGTTAGATCCTCATTTCGCTAGCTGTGTACTTTGTACAGAGTAACCTCCCCAGGGTATACTGACTAGGAGTTATAGAAGACTCGGTTCGTGATGGTCAGTTTGCTGCCGATCTCCCGCTGATAGATCTCGGTAGCGGTAAAGTGGTGATGTGCGCGCTGGGCAGGCGTCATGTTGTTGGTGCCCCAAGTCAAGACAACATGAATCATTCCGAGCCTGATGAGGGCACAGGAGGCGGCAGCCATTGTGAGATAGTCGCCCCTATTGAAGGGCTGTCGCACATACTTCCTCCCCCAAAGTCTGGCGGCCATGATGAGGAGGGCCAGCCAGGTGAAGAGCCAGTGGATAAGAAGCGTGGAATCCATGGCTGCAGCGGCGTCCTACCACATCCCACTTCACGGACCAATCTGGACGTGACAAACGAAGAGGACAAGTTGTTGAAAAGAACGACGAAGATCAGAACGAATGGAGCCAGAGTGAGATTGAGTTTTTCCACGGGGTGATCATTGACGGGCAGCGGGCCATGGTGGATTAAGACGGTGGAGTGCTTGACGATCAAGATGGTCTCATGCAAAAATACTCCGTCTCAAGAGCAGCGGCTGCCCTGCTGGGATCTCATCCGCGTCGTTGGCATCATCAACCGGCTGGTGGCCCGCGTGGCCCGTGGCCCGCGCAGTTTACAGGGCTGGCAAGGGTGCCGTTTGGGGCCGAAAGCGAGGTGCTGCAGAAAGCGGCAATCATATGATGGTATTAGGGGTTGGCCCTTGAGTCGCGTTAATGAGGGGGAGTTGCGGCTGGAGAAGGCCTTGTTTGGAGGCGAAAAACGGCAGGGAGGGATGCCGCGGGGATGCTGTTAATACAGGACTGGCACATCTTGCCGACATCAGCTTACGCGAGAGCCGGGCCTAGTACCAGCCACTACCGCAGCGGAGAAGCCAAGTTGGTAGTCAAAACACTAAGAACACTAAGCATAAAATCGAAAACTGAAGGCTTTGACTAGCAGTGATTTCCGCGGGCCGTAGCCGTCCGTATATGGGTCAACATAGTGCGACAATGGTCGTGTTTGCGGTTCTGATGAGCGCTGTTTGTGATTTCATCAAAGCACGTCATCTCGTTGTCAGCTGAATGTTTGTTTCCTTTGTTTCTGCAACTTGAAAGTAGGACATTTCGCTTGAACGATGGCATTTGACAGCATGTTTCGCATTTTTTAATGGAGTATCCTCTGTCCACGGGTCTTGGCACTACATAGTAATCCTAGCACTGCTAAGTAATGCATGAACTTGCCATCAACCGCTGCACTTCGTTTGCCGATGCTGCAGCAGCGTCGTATCCAGGTGCGATGGCACATACTGGTCAGACCAATGCCGGTCCTTGCTTCATCAGGCATTAGCACCACCACCACCACTAGCATTGCGACACCGCGGTGCGAAATGAAACTGCGCCAATTGGAGTCCAACGGGAAACGCGGCTGGCAGGGATGGAATCCAGGAGCCTGGTAAAATTTGAGTAGCAGTGCTAGTGCTGGCAGAGCGCTTTTGGGGGTCGAAGTTGCGAGCATCGTAGGAAAAAGCAAAGAAAATCGGCAGCCGTCGATTGTGCTGGGATCATCGCGCAATGCGCTGCTTTAACTCCGCGGTATGACACTGTAGTATAATAGGAGATTGCTAAGGGTTAGCAATACCTATTGACATGTAGTGAAATGGTCTACTAGTACGTAATGGCTCTATTAGTACAAGTAGCATACTAGAAATGCACTTGTAAGGGATGATATTCCGTCGCGCAAAGCATCTGGACTATACTAATACGATTCAGAGCGTCTAGCAGCTCTGAACCCTGCATCAGCTGGCTTGGTATGCGCAAGTGAAGCTGGCGGCGTGGTTATAATCCTTGACTTTTCAACTAGGGGTTTTTGCAACCCAGGACTCAGCTCCTTTGGAGTCCACGAGCACGCATAAGTACCGCAGCAGGTACAAGTCCTGGCCAGGTATATACTACTAGCCCTCTGTAACGACAACCTATATACTTGGGGGTAAAGCGTATTGGAGCGTATTGAAAAATGAGGTGATGCCTATTTTAGTGCCTGCCAAATGCGGTGTGTATCGTCTCCTGTGCAGGCATCAATTTTGTAATTCTAAACACAATGCTCGCAGGGCCATTGGTGTAGAATCTAGAAGCGGAATAACTGGAACACAGCATCTGAACCGGCATAGTGCAGAATCACATCCACCAACCATGCTCTTGACATGGCCCTTTTGGGAAAGTTCGCCTAAACCCTGCCCAGCACCTGCTCAGCTTCGAGACACAACCGTAGGGGCCCATGTCATGAGCGGAAGTGCCCATGCCAGGAAGGAGAGAGCGAGGCGCAGGAGGTAGCCATCTCCACGCGGGTGCAGCTCTCCTTCCTTCATCTATGGCTGCAGCAGATACCTCGCTTCCTTCCTTCCCTCCTGCACGGCCCAAGCTGCCACACTCGCCTTCCACGTGGAAATCCCAGACCATCGTATACGATTGCACCAAAGAACAAGGACGAAACGCCGAGCAATACTGCTAGACATATCGTGCTACCATTGTTCGTGGCGGCCTGTCTCCGTTGTCGTTGTGTACCGTATCTGTACCTCGACTCAACATCCGCAGCACCGAGGCCCGGCACTCGCCTTTCTTCTGACTCGCACCGGCAGATTTGGCTGGTTTCATCCCAATTGGAGCTCTCCAAGTTCACTATCACTGTGTCACCATGCGGCTCATCGCCACTGCAACCCTCTTGGCAGCCATTTCTGGCTCTGCTTATGCAGATGGTCCCGGCAGCGTGTCAGCGGCGCCTTCAGAGGTCGCTGCGATTCGCTCCTTTTTCTATGCCGGTGGCGGTTATGCAGATGATGGCGCCGGAGGTCACATCTTTCGCGAGCAAATGTATGTCGAGAGGCTGCAGCCAGCCAAAGGGGTTACTCAACCTAGCCCAATCGTCTTTATCCATGGCCAGGCCCAGACTGCAACTGTAAGCTCATTTACTTTCATATTTCCTCACATGATTTGTATCAATCAGTCTGCACGCGTGTTTGTAATCGGGTTTCCGAAATCTCCTACTGGTGATTGAATCGCTGCCATTATTGGACTCCTTGAGCCAAGGCAAAATACGCGGATCAGGTCGTGACGTGCTAGCTATCCCATACTATCTCAAGATTAAGCCCACAGAGATACTCGCTAATAGATGTTTCGCCTATTTTCGTCTAGAACTTCTTGAACAAGCCTGATGGTAGCCGTGGCTGGGCCTCGCAGTTCTTGGATCAAGGTTATGAGATATACCTCGTGGACCAGACGCTTCGAGCACGCTCCCCATGGCAGCCTGCTTACATGGTGGCTGAGCCGTCGACCTATTCCGCCGAGATTATTGAGCAGCGCTTCACCGCCCCTCAGAATTACAATCTATGGCCACAGGCTGTTCTTCATACGCAGTGGCCAGGCAATGGCTCCATGGGCGATGCCATCTTTGATACCTTCTACAGCTCCAACGTCCAGTTTATCAACAACGCCGCGTATCAGCAGCTTACCGTTCAGAATGCTGGCGCGGCGCTGCTGGACAGGATTGGAAAGCCCGTGATTCTTGTTGGGCACAGCCAGGGCGGCTTGATGCCCATTATCATTGCTGATGCTCGTCCGAAATTCACAAAGGCTCTCATCCTCTTGGAACCTACTGGACCTCCTTTCCAGGAAGCCATCTTCAGCAGCACTCCCGCTCGTGCTTGGGGACTAGCTGACATTCCACTCACCTACACTCCCCCTGTTACCGTTCCCGCGGTGGATCTCGTGCAGAAGACATATCCCGCGCCTGACAAGAACCATACCCAATGTATACTCCAGGCTCCTAGTCCCCCGCCGCGAAAGCTCACAAACCTAGCAAGCAAGCCCATTCTTTTGGTTACTTCTGAGGCTTCGTATCATGTGCCCTATGATTACTGCACGGTCAGCTACCTCAAACAAGCGGGCTGCAACCAAACAGTCCATCTTGAACTGCCAAAGGCAGGTATACACGGGAATGGCCACATGTTCTTCATGGAGAAGAACAGCGACCAGATTCAACAGAAGATTCAGAGCTGGATTGCTCGCCTGCAATAAAAGCGCATTCACTTGATACATTACAATATTTGAGGTACAATAGTTGATCATAATGTTATAATTGGATAACCCATCTATTACATGACTTGTAAAATTGATATATTCACATTGGTTACTGAACCCAATCGTTACTAGTATCCGTACTTTGACAGTCTCATTGACTGCCGATTGCCGATTTCAACGACGACAGCCGACTGAAGCCATGTACTTAAATCCAGACAACTAGTAGAAGTGCTAGTAATATTACAAGCCGCCTGCGGCTGAGATGCAGCTTCCCCTGACCAGGCGTCTAATCCTTCTGGGACATCTCACCCACTGCTGGCCAGAATCCATGTCTTATCAGTAGAAAGCCACGAAATAGAGGCGCAAATATAGCAACAGGGGGAGGAAAAAACCTGCATTATAACAGATTACTTGAAATAGTAGTAGGTAGCTTGCAATGAACTTGAATACATTTTCTTAAGCCCCCCTCTCACTCCTATGGACTTTCTCTCCCCTTCTTCTCCCCATCTCAACACGCTCATCAACACTTTCTCTTCTCCCTTTCTCTTCTTCCTCCTCTATGCCCACTCATTTCAAATAAATAAATAAATAGATAAAAAAAAAAAACCAGTCTCACGCTCAGCTAGCCAACTTCATCAATTATATAACACAGTGCTCCGTATAGAAGTGCGGTATCTCAGCCGTCCGCCTCCCCTTCCGCTCTACCGCCCTTTACCCCCTCTTTGTGCGTATTTGTGTTTGTTTGTTGTGTATTTCGAAGACGTCATTTCAAGCTCCTCCCGTCGCCTTTTTAATGACTCGATGAGCAGTTTCAAAACTTTTGGGCTACATTTCCCCTCCCCTTTTCTTCCTTTCTATCTTCCTTTAGTTTGCCCATATTTTGACCGTCATGTCAACGCTGCCCGTCGCAATGACACAGCGAATCTCTGATACATCTACTGCGGCGGCTGCCCTCCTAGGCGCGGCCTCGCTTTCGTTGTGCGCCGTGCCGTTGCCCGTGGGGCCGTCTTTGGGCTTGGCCGGAGCCCACCTGAGGGAAGAGATAAAGTGCTCGTGGGCGCTCGACAGCGTCCTTACGCATTTGCCGTCTTGGCTGAGGTCCCAGCATCTCAGCGACTTGTCATCTGCCACGGAGAGCAGGTACTTGCCTCCCGGGTGGAACATGACACCCGAAACCCAGTTGTCGTGACCGACGAGGGTCTTGATGCAGTTGCCTCTGGCGTCCCATAGCTTGATCGTCTTGTCGCGCGATCCAGTCGCCATGAACTCTGCTGTGCTAGTCACGGGCGGAGGCTTCTTGAGGCCTGCTAGAGCAGCCAGGTGCTCGTATGCGGCGGGAGGGGCAAACGCGCAGCAGCCGACGACGTGCTCGTGGCCTATTAGCGTGACCTTTGTTTCCGGGTTCGCGACTGTGAGTTCCCATAGCCTTCCGGTGTGATCGCCGCCCGTAGATAAGAGGTAGTTTCCGTCGAGGGACGGACAGACGTCTCGAACCCAGCCTGCGTGGCCGTTTAGCGTCTTGACGCAGTATCCCGTGTTGGCGTCCCAAATCTTGAGTGTCTTGTCACCGCATCCGCTGACCAGCATGTTTCCGGAGGAGAAAAACCCGGTACCTCCAGAGGGGATAAATCGCACCGCGCTGACGCTATGTTCGTGGCCGGAGAGCGTTCGTATGTTTTTATATCCATCTGCTGGATCCCACAGCTTAATCGTTGTGTCGGAACTGCATGAAGCCAAAAGAATGCCCGTCTTTGGCCCGCCGTAGTCGAGATCGAGCACCGGTCGTGTGTGTCCCTTGATCGTCTGTTCCAGGTCGCCAAGTTCCCAATCCCATACCTTGATCGTGCAGTCCTCGGAGCCCGAGGCCAGGGACGTAAATCTCGGGTGGAAGGCGACGCAGGTGACGGACGCCCGGTGTGATTCGAGGGTATGCCGTGAGGGGGCTTTCGGGAGCCAGGACACGGGGTCCTTGTTCTTCTGTGCGAGCGACGACGGGGTCGCGTTGTCAACCTCTGACTGCAGCTCGGCGTTTCGAGTCTCGAGGTCCATAATCTGGGGGTCGCAACGCCTGTTAGACAGCCGTCGGGTAAGCGCGCTGGGCAGCCAGGGTGAACGGACATGCCTTTTTCTGTAGCCGGACAATACTCGTCCACTTCTTCTCTAGTAGAGTCTCATATTTCTTTGTCGTCGCCGCATCGAACACGTCTTCGCCGAGGCTCAGCTCCTCCCTGAGCACCGAGGCGGTATTCTGGAGGTTGTTGGCCGAGAGATACGCAATGATGGACTTGTGCCTATCGAATAGGGATCCATATGGTTAGCAGAGAAATACACACGTGGGCAGGAAAATATATCATGTCTGTTGGTTTCAAGAGCTCTCCATCGTCTCTTCTCTCTCTCTCTCTCTCTCTCTCTCTCTCTCTCTCTCTCTCTCTCTCTCTCTCTCTCTCTCTCTACCCCTCCGCCCGCCAAAGAAAAAAAAACCCTTGTAAACAGTGGCCCATATACCTACAGCTCCTCGGCCTGCCGGACAGGCAGCGTTCGACTCATGTTGACCGTGTTTGGGGGGTTGCGCCTCTGGCCACGCGTCAGCCTTGCGCAGCTCTAGACAATGGGCTCGAAGCCACTCTCGACGCTCGACATGAATTGGTTGGGCGCGTTTTCGAGGATCTACCTAGGCGGTCTGGGCGAAGGTGGGATGGTGGTTTAGCCGTCCTTTTGGAGTGGGAATTTTCCCTGGCTGGCGTTTGATAGTGCGGCCTTTGGGCAGCTGCCGGCAAAAGTAACGATAAAAATTCCCCCAAGAATCTCCTCAAGTCAAACAAAAATTAAATCCCAGAAACGGCTACCATGAAATCCCAGGCGAGGCCAATCGTCGCCAATATGGAACCGCCGATGCGGTGTCTTTTGAAGGTGATCGCTGGCATTCACGTGACTCGAGTTCCAGCCCAATGAGTACGGTGCATCATTTGAAGATCGCAAGTGGGTTTTCCCTCTTAGCTGTGGCGCTTCAGCTGCTACGGCGCTTATCTTGTAAACGAACGAACGTGCTTGCAGCATGTATTTGAGTTGTTCTTTTCTTCATTACTATTTACAAAAACCTGGTCTCTCTGTTGACGATTCAGAATTTGATCTGTTTACAGGGATAATACTGCTGCGAAAACCTAGACGCAAGCGTACTTTCCCTGTGCTCTATATGTCCTTGCATTCAACTCATTTCTCTACTAAATTCATAGGAGCAAACCCCTCATATGTAATCTCCTCCCATCCAGAAACGCCAGATCATGCCACAACGTCATTTTCAAAGGGCCAAAATTCTCCACTTGACTCCTAACTTGGGTATATTCCATCTCCATCGTTATTCTTAATGCAAGCGTCGCATTTTGCTTGTTTCAGTCATAAAGCTCGCTGCTCTCAGTCCTGTGATCTGAGAGGCTCCACAGTCATCACCTCGCAAGTCCCACCTGTTGACTGGGCTTGTGATGGCTTGGTGATGCCTCACCGTCTTCTTCTGGCACCGAGACCAAAACGTGGTCGCTGGTGGTGAGCTGTGATACACTCGATCCTCTTGACCGAGAATGAACAGTGCCCAGAGAAGCCAATGAATCGTCCAATGTAATCACGATCGGAGGGCTGGATGGGGCTGAGCTGGGTTTGTAGCCTCCAGAGGCCCTGCGACTGACATATTCGTCGAACTGCGTGTCTCGCTCGTGGCTATAGCGTCTTGGCCGTTGCTCAACCGGCTCAAGGATGGTTGGGTTTGTTACAGATCCGACGCTGAGGCGTGACGAGCCCAGCGATTCTCGTTTGCCCACTGAACCTCCATCTCCAGGCCGGCTCGAATAGGAAGTCTCAATGTCGTCATTAAAGAGATACGCCTTGGCATCGACAGGACTGGAGTATTCGTCATATTTGGACAGTCGACGGTACGCGAGGATAGCATAAATGGCGAGCGAAATAGCAGTGAGCCTATTCGTGTTAGCTTTGAAAGGCCATGGCCACCTGCTGCACAAGAAGTTGCTTACATCAACAAGCCGTCCATGCCGAGGCCGATGAGAGAATAATGGGAGTCGTCTCGCTGCACATATACGACAACGTCCAAGGCGAGAATGGCTGATGCACAGGCCAGCTTGACGACGTGAGTAAACAGCATGGTCCATGGGGTCAACGACTCGGAAAAGTATCTACCCATTTCGAAGATTGTGCAGAGCGCCACGACGAATGACATTGCGATGTTGGTGGCTTCCCAGCTTCGAGTTGTTAATATCGATGCCCAACGCCCAACCAAGGGACGACGATAACACTTACACATATTCGATGACTGGGGCTTTGCCCGCCTTGTCCCTCTCATCGAAGTGATGGACGGTATCTCCAAGCCTCCAGGAAAATAGTCCCAGCATGCCAAGCGCCAGCGTCAGCTGCAATGACCAAGCTGGGGCAAGAATAAACAATCGCCATTTTGCACGATCGAACTGTGCATGTGCTCTTGGGTTGGCCATGGTGTATGACGTGCAGGTTGTAGCTCTGCTCTTATCGGAGGCTGTCCACCTATAGCTGGGAAACAGGGGAAGCAGAAGATGAATCGAGAAGGGCTGCTATCTATCTAGACTCGACGATAGTCTGCATGCCCTTTGTCTTGAGGTGTATGGATGAATGGTCTGGTCGAGCAGGTATGTATGGCTGCTGGCTAGGGCATGTACCACCGGTTGGTTAGGCGCCTTTGGGTCTCCCCTCCGTCCATGCCTCATGCATAGAGGCGGACTGCCTCCGGTTTTATTATTCATTTTTTGTTCTATTTATTGATTTGATGGCTCTTAAGCCTCATCCAGTCTGCCCTGCAGCCCCGGCTTGCTAACTCAACTCTCATTAGACACTCCCCCACCGCCTGTTGGAATCCGCTAGACTTGGGTCTAGCCGAGCCGCCCACGAAAGCAAGCCTCATCCCATCGGGAACAGAAACTGACAACTGAGCCACCGCCCGTCTCACGACGCAAGGGAAGGACTGCCCGAAGGGAAACTACTGGGTCGTCCCAGTTGACTGCTGGTCCTAGCCATGTAGGCAGCCTATAATGTGGGCTTGTAGACGCGCGGGGGGGTGGTTGGGGCTTATTGCGGCTGAACCAGGAGCTGAGCTTTGCTGTTCTCTCTATTGGAGACACACGAAGGATGCAACTTGCCCACCACGGCGAATGAAATAACGCAGCCCTATGTGCATACGCCGAGTCACTAGTAGCTCAATGGGCCTCAGCCCAACAAAGCAAACAGCTTGGCTGCATGAAAGCCCGAGCCCATTCCATGTAGATCAACAGACGGCGCCTTTTCTGCTCTCGCTTGAAGGCTTTTTTCCCCTTGAAGAGTACATGTATGTAGTCCCCCTCACAGCGTCTCAGAAGACATCACGCCATACAAGTGGCCAGGCGTATCAGTAAGCGGTTCTGCCTCCCGTCGTTTGTTTCTCACCGGTGGCTCACCAAGGAAGGGGAAAAGAGGCGTGAGATTTCTATTTTTGCCCTTGCAAGAAAGCTATTGGTGCCATCGTTTACCCTTGGTAGTCATACTACTTCTAGGGAATACCCAGCAGCGTAATGTATGTATGTACGGAGTATTTGGAAGCAGAAGCCCAAAGACCCCCCATTATTCCGCATTTGGTCCCATCAGTCGAGCACAATGTTTTGTCGGGTCTCGCTTGTCCTGAGGATCCAATTTCACGCATGTCAGCATTTAAGATGCCGCGGGCTTGCAGAGTCGACAAGCGGGGCCCCAGCAGGCCGTTTTGCCAGATCGAACCCGCCACATGGCTCCGGAACTGCGAAAATGGCAGACCACTACACGTATCGAGCATAGAATGATGGTGGTAGGGCTACTATTTTTGGGCACCCAAAGGGTGGGAAAGGTGGAGGCGCTCAGCTCACGACCGAGTCTTGATTGGGCCAGGAGCACCGAAAGCCGAAAGGAGCTTGAACGTTGCCCAGTTTCTGGGCCAGCGCATTCTCACGTGTGTCTATCAGTTATTATTACGGAGTCGGTGGTTATGCTACGACTAGACAAGCAGGTCCAGGTAGTGCTGTAAATACTGTTGCAGCGGCATATCGAGGTGCGTGCCACAAGCAGATGGACTGCTGCAGTAGCTTACAAGAACGGACGGTTCCGCTGTCTGTACAACCGATTTCAAGCCATCAAATAATGCACCGTCGGGATGTTCCTTGGTACTCGCTTGCTGTAGTTTATACATTTCCCAGGTAGAGAAGAAAAAATCATGATATTAACAGCTGCCGATAATAGCTTCTTGCTGGAGCAAACGTGGCGGTGCAAAGCTTGTACACAGACGCCCATACTATTCCTCTAGTCTCCGCTGAGTTCGCCGTTTGGATGCTGAAGCACGCAAACCAGTAGGGGCTCACTGTCTCCTTTTGTCTATCTTAGGTACTAAACATAGAATCTGCAAGTCGCGGTGTGCAAGGTGAGTCCATGTATGGTTCGTGTAAGCGCGCTTGCGGCGTCTTCTGCCAGGCTAGTCCCTGGAAAGAAGCTGCCCCCGTAGAGTAAGACTCAATATATGTTGACGTTGAAAATCCGGCGCAAGGATAATTTGTCGCTGCTCAGCCACAATCCCATGGCCGCGGCGCTGGCGTCTTGCTGGAATCCACGTCGATTCAATCTTGTCTTGTTGTTCCCGCTTGATCGACGATACTAACCACCCAATGCTACCCCGGGAGCCTCGATGCTGTTGGCAGGAGCAACAATACCCCGGATGCAGTGATACCCTTAAATTAGAGGCGACAAGAGTGCTACAGTAGCAGCGACAAGCGATGCGGCTCAATTCACATGCATGGATGCTGCTTATTTCCCCAGCCCCCTTTCTGGGTAAGGCGGTCGCCGTATTTACACGCAGTGCTACAAGGACTTCCTGCTCATATCTCCAGCTACGTGGAACAAGAAATCACAAAGTGCCGTTGCAGAATTTGTTTAGAAAAAAGAACGACTCATCTCAAGTGAAACAAGCCGCTATATTGAAATATTGTCACACCCTGCGAATAACTACTCACTCCCCCCCTCAGTGCACATTCATTGGCTCTCCTTGCACATTTCCTCTTTCCTTTCTCTTTAGATAAAATTATTTATCCCATTACCTCCAAAATTCAACTCCATGTCCCTCTTTAAAAGCTCCTCTTGATGTAGACTCCTCGCTTGATAGCGCCCAGGTGGACGTCCTTTGAGCTGAAGGGCACGACGTTGCCCTGGGAATCTGACATGGCAGGAGTGCTGGCAGGGATGTCGGCGCCAATGTCTTGACGCTTGGCAAAGCCTTTATATAAGAGTTAGTTTATGATGCTTGATTTTGATTGTGTATTCATGAAAATTCCCCCAGATTGGGAAGAGAGAAAACATACCTGTGGGGCTGGCGATGGCGACGGCGGCCAGAGCAAGAACGGTCACGATGGAGAACTGCATTTTGAAGTTGGTGATGGGGTATATAAAATGGTTTTTTTTTTTTGTTGACGTGGAAAAAAAGAGAAAGTCGAAAGATGAAAGAAGCGATTGAAAAAGTCGACCGGCGACAGGAGTCAAGAAGATAGAACCAAGAAAAAGTAACACGAAAGGGTGAATGAAGGATGCTTGAAAGGAATGAAGAAGGGAAAACAAAAGACAAAATCCAAGAGAGGAGAGAAAGCCAGCCATATATGTATGCCGTCCAGCTACAAGCCCATCATTGTCAAACACACTATTTCGCTGTCATCGGCAAGCCGGAATCATCTCAAACACGGCGAGGCGAGGCGCCGAAACGAAAAAGGCAGTGATTACAGGATCCCCCTCGAGCCGGCATCCTTGCACGGCCTGGCCCCCCCCCCCTCATCTAATCTATGCCTAGCAGGCGAGCATTGGAGAGCACCCCTTCGAATCCCCATATTCGGTTTCACGGATTCCTCCTAAAAAAGGCAATGCGCTGGCCCATTTTGTTTCGATCAGTGTGCGAAAAAGAGGACCATCACGGAGAAAGGGGGGGGAGAAAGGGACCTGAAACGCAGGCGTGCTTCAGGATTTCCCTTATCCGGGCGCCGGCCAGGTTTAGAGAGAAACGATCGAGCGCGGCGCGTATTTGCCGTTTTGGTTATGCAGATTGATGGATTTGGAAAGACGGAAATTGAGAGAGCGTAGCATTGCTTGTACGTGATTGATGTGCAGCGACGAATTTGAGACGTGAACAAGCGTCGTATATCATGTAAGTGGCCGTTGTCAGCAGCGGTGCTACCAAGCTTTGGTCATGGAGGTTTCATCCGCAGCCAATTCGAAAGAGCGCAACCCGCCTTTTAAAATAGAACACAAAGCGAATAAGATGTAATATAGAATAGTATTATTCGCCAAGATACTATTTAGATCTCTGGGAGTAGCAGCATCATCAAAGTGCCAAGAGGCCATCTAGATTGTACAAGTACGTGCTTGCAAGCTTCAAAACGGCGTCTCCACAGCCCGCGAACCGCTGTAGCGACATGGTTCAGTGGAAGCATGGGTGCTGAGATTACAGCACACTGAGCACAGCCATGGCAATAAGAGCCCAGCTCCTACAGACACTCCTGACAGCACCAGCGTTTGATGCGCCTCTTTGCCACGAGTCCGTTGAAACGCAAGACGAAACAGACACCAAAAGGTACGTACTGTCCACAGAAGCACGGAGCAACCTTCTCCCCGCAGCAATACTTGGCCCTTCTAAAGCGGGAACGCTTCTCTGCGCCACACGCTCACTCGCTAATTGTTCCTTTTTGTCCCCAAGCCTCAGTGGCTAAAACCTTGGGTCAGTGCTCGAGTTCATTTCGTCATTGCCCAGAAAAGAATAAGAAAAATTCCCGTTTACTGCAAGTCTCGGGAAAGCCAAACTCCATTCCTTCAGCCTCTTTTTTTTTCCTTCCCTCTTGCAGCCCCAGCCACTTTTGACCCGAGCATCGCGGGGTATCCCCGGTGGGGAGGGGGGGAAAGAGGGAATTTGCTGCGGTGCTGCCCGAGAAGAAGCGTCACTGCGCGCTGATGAATCACGACTCACGCTTGGGTCTTCTTCTCTCTCTTTTCCTCTTTTCTGCCTGTGCTTCCGCCTTATTCTTCAACTTTGCCTCCACATCCATCTTTGGCTTTGCCACTGCCTGCTGACCATCGTGGTTGGGTTTTTAGCTTTTCCTCCGTGCTTCTAATCCGCCTCGGTTCCATCTTCAAGCGGTTCCTGGCCTCTTCTGATCCTCGCGGCTTCTGGCAGCAGGCAAAGACTCAAATCTTCTTCAGCCTTGGTTCCTTCGTGACGTTCTTTGCTTGTACTGATTTTCTCTCTCCTCCGCTCTCCTTCTACGTCACCTTCTCCGTGTCTCCTCGCTCCAGCCGCAGCATGGCCACCGCTGAGCATTGTATCGTATGTTTCGAGGCTCTTGATGCCGAACTCAATAACCGCAAACCTCTCTCCCTTGAGCAAATCCAGTCCTCCTGGGCTGCGTACAAAGCCAGCGGGCCTACTTCCGCCAACGCTCCCTTGAATCCGGCTCTCCGCCGTCTCGCTGCCGATGGCGCTTCGTCCTCGTCCTCGTCTTCCTCATCGTCAACGTCGCTCTCGGCAACAGGAGGAGATTCAACGCCTGCAACATCCACGTCCTCCCTCCCTGACGCTCCGCCAACGGCAGCTCCCCTCTTCATCACCTGGAATACCGTCGATCCTGACGACCAGGACGTCTCCCTCCGCGGCTGCATCGGCACTTTTGAGTCCCAGCCTCTGGCGGAAGGAATCCACGAATATGCCCTCATATCCGCCCTGCAAGACACCCGCTTCCGCCCCATATCCAAGCGCGAACTGCCCTCGCTTCAGGCGGCCGTGACGCTCCTCACAGACTTTGAAGACGCAGACGACATGCACGACTGGGTGGTTGGCACTCACGGTATCCGGATTTCGTTTTCAGATCGCGGCCGCCGCTACGGTGCGACGTATCTTCCCGACGTAGCACTTGAGCAAGGATGGACCAAGGACGAGGCTCTCTTCAGCTTGATCCGCAAGGCAGGCTGGATGGGCAGTCGATCCAAGTGGCAGGACTTGGACATTAGAGTAACTCGCTACCAGGGCAAGAAAATCAGCGTCGACTATCCAGAGTATAAGAAGTGGAGAGACTGGGTCGAAAGCAAGCAGTAATGAATGGGCTCATCGACGACGATGTGGCCCGGCAGGGCGTTTTATAGACACAGAGGGTTCAATGTTTGGGTTTTCATATGGGTACACGTAATATTCCGAGGGGATGGTAATGATACACTACAATACTTGCGATGCTTATAGACGTTGTGTTATGCAAGGAAGAGTGGCAGAGACGATTTCTCAGCTCAGAACTTTTTTTTTTTCATTCTTCTCTACTCATAAATCTTATCTTGCATTTAACGAAAACATGTTGAAATTGAGCTCTTTCTCACCTGCTAATAATCAAAAGTCTAAGAGCCCAGAGACTTCTCTTTATGAGGTAAAAGTTAAAGCAAAGGCTTCATCCTGTGTTGAGACGACAAACGCCATATACATGGCGCATTCAACGGTTTATAAGAAAAACATGTACAGGCCATGTCCACCATTTCTACACTATCTGCTATGCTCAAGACGCCATTTTTTCTCTTCTTCTTTTTCCCATATCATTAGCACTTCGTCCTTGACGCCCCATACGCATCCATGGTATATATGAACAAAAACAACAATCAAATAAGCAAACAGTGATCCAAAATGTGCAAACAAGAGAGACTAAGTATACAAAACATCAACAGGCTCATATCTTTTCGTTCTTCTCCGTATCAACCCCCTCCCAACAGCATCATATTTCATCATCGCCGTCACCAACAACGCAGCTTCTTCCAAAAGCCGCCTTGCCCACGCCCGACCTTGTCCCCGTTCAATATAGGACCCCGAACCCCAGGACCGCGCTTCTCATCGCCATCGCCCCCCGAGCCAGGCAAAGGCGTCAGCGGCTTCGTCATGCCCCGCGCGCTCAGGTCGGCGCTGTCGCCGCCCTCCTCGGCGAGCTTCCGGGCCTCGACCACGCGCTTCACAATGAGCGCAAACGTCTCCTCAATGTTGACCTCGAGGCGGGCGCTCGTCTCCATGAAGCCGCAGCCGCGCGAGCGCGACCACTCGAGCCCCGTGGCCGCCGGCACCGTCCTCTTGTCCTGCAGGTCGCACTTGTTGCCGGCCACAATCTTGACGGGCTGGACGGTCCTGGAGCCGGCGCCGGAGCCGGTGTAGGCCGGGCTGATGCCGGCGATGCGCGCGCGGTCGGCGTTGTCGAGGCGCACCTCGGACTCCATGCTGATGAGCTCGTCAAAGTGCTGCAGGGCGTCGAGCGAGTCGCGCGACGTGATGTCGTAGACCATGAGGAAGGCGTCGGCGCCGAGGTTGGACGACGCCCACATGCCGCGGTACTCCTCCTGGCCGGCCGTGTCCGTGAGGCACAGGTGGTAGGTGACGCCGTCGATGACGCGCGTGACGCTGTAGTTGTCCTCGATGGTCGGGTCGTAGTCGGACGTCCACGCGGAGCGCACGAGGCGCAGGGTGATGGACGACTTGCCGCAGCCTCCATCGCCGCAGATGGTGATGGAGATGGGCACGGGGGCTTGGTCCTGTGCTGTCATGGTGGTGATGCAGTTGTGTGGTGTCTCTTTGCGCCAACAGAGAACAAAGAAGGCTTGAATTGGACTGTTCTATAAAGATGGATCGTCTTGATCCTCGGCTCGACTGTAGCAAGCACGCCCTCGGGTTGCTGAACTGAGCGAGTGGGCTGGCTATACACAGGTGCTTGTTATGCCAGTATGCCGTAAGGTCAGATGTTGGACTCGAGATGCAGAAGCTTGAAATAGGTGATGATACGCAGTAGCAGCAAGCCGTTGAAAGACTCTGCTTACGCAACTCGCTCGCTTGCTCAAAACGGGTATAAAAAGCAAAGAAAAGAAATTAATAGATAGCAAAAGAAAAGAAACGATCGAAAAGCCCTCAGATACGATCGGCAGGCAGTACCATTTGTAAGACAAAAAGATGGAGTGAAGCGAGAAAAGAGAAGGTTAAGAAAAAAAAATTAACTAGCAGCAAAAGATACTTTGCGCCAACACGAGCAAATGGGTGTGTATAGCAAGTACAAGTATTACGCGACCACCAAGACCGCGTCCATGGATCAAGGCAAAAGAAGCAACAGCCAGTCTAGAGAATTTAAAAAAAAAAAAAAGGAACTGAAATAAAGGGCCACACCCACAGCCAACATGAACCCAACCTATCGCGGAATTTGGGCGCAACCTGGAGAGGAGACCGGGGGGGTGGCCGGAGTCCTCGCCAATGCACTAGGCCTAGTATATAAAATGAATTTGGTCGGCCGGCAGAAGCAGCAGAATGAGGATATTGAAGAATGAGCAAAATCGGCCGAGCAGACGGCTAGTAAGCAGGGCAAATTTGGTTTAAAGTGGAGGGCGGACGCGATAGAGGAGAGGAGAGAGGTAGGGATCACGAGCGCATTGGGCTTTGTTGTGGAGGCGAAATTTCCAGAGTTGGAGGTTGTGGTGGAATTTGACCAGTCAGTCAGGGGAGAGGGCCGGGATCACGGTGATGATGCTAAAAATGATGCAGGATTGCTCTGGTGCAAGCCATGATGCGGACAGTAGCCAGCTGAAGTCTGGGGTGGACATCAGGGGTTTGACCGTGGCAGGAGAAGCCGAAGCCGTCAATATCTAGGCCATGGCATCAGGGACATGTCGAGGTTGGCGGTTCAGGACAAGTCCGTCCTCTGCATCTGCATCTTCTTGCTCCTTCTCGCAATCTCAACTTCTCCTCTCTTTTGTCTCTTGCTCATATTACCGAGCGGGACCTGCAGGAGACGAGCAGAGGGATGGGATGCAGTGCAGGACGCAATGCACCCAGGCCAGGGATCAGCCACCACTCACGCCTGGATCCCAGCAGCCCGGATGCAATTTCGCTCGTCGCCGATAGGACGGGCTTCATTGGGCCAGGCGCAGGTGGCCTCCATGCCGTGGAGCGACGCCCCCGCCGCTGGATGCGCGCGAACCTTAACCGGGGAGTCTAGTAGGGGTCGTCTGGAGGTGGGATATGAATCCAAGCACGATGATGAAATTCAGGGCGGCGGCACTGCCGTTGGATGTGATACGTCGAAAGGGACTCTGGTTCCATGGCAATACAGCAGGTAGAGGCAAGGTGCGCACTCGAGGCTGTCAAAAGACTGTGTGTCGAGCATTTGTGCCGTGTCTTGGTCCGAGAGAAGGAGTGGCATCATGGCGGTGTCTGGTGGATATTCAGCTGCTGCGGTGCCGTCTCGGGCGATTGTGATTCCGACGTCCATGTAGATGAATGCAATGTGATGGATGCACGTCGGCTGCATTATCAACTGAGGTACCCGCAGCTTGAGGCGGCTCGGCGTCTGTGCACTTGCGAAAAGCTTGAATGGCGTGGTAACGAATCTGCCTTTGCCACGCTGCTTGGCTAATGGCGAGCCCAGATTCACATGTAAACACATTGCCAAGGGTTGGCTGACTTGGTGTCACGAAGCAACGACAGCGGAACTCACGACACCGATGGAGAATTTCAGCGTGGGTTTTGGAATCATATAGAATCTGCAGGTTGCACTCGTACCATGATACGGTCAACTTGTTACCCTGTAAACAAACTTTATATGCGTATTGCAGTTACAATGGCTAGATTGCTCGCAGCGCTGGAATATAAGAGGAAATAACGTTTAATGCAACATCACGCACCTGATCCCGCTTTCAATGCATCTCAATTCATGCACGACTACCTCTATGCATCGATTTGCCCCTGCTCACAGCTGGTGTCGGGCAGTGAATTCGTATATCTTGGTAGCAGCACGACTTACACACATGTAGGTAGATAGCTACCGGTTGGTTCGGTATGTTCCAAAAGCATATAGAATTTCACCAAGATTAAAAACTTGCTAAAATTAAGCTTCACTGATGCCCTCTCTGTAAGAAGCATGTCGTGGTATCCAACGACCTGTAAGCAGACCTCTGTGAGCAGACTCCCAATCCAAGGCCATACACATTAATTATTCTGGGCAAATAAACAAGGCTTGTATGATACCAAGCGCTTTGTTCACCAACAGGCTCATCATCACGGCACTTCATACATGCACCCATGCCACAACTCATCGTCCCCTTGAGGATAGCGGTCAACTCAAGTTGCCGCATACAGCCACCATTCCCATGTGGCCGTCCCCTGGCAAAAACCCGCTTCTCGACATCCCGTGCGACGAGGTACGCACAGACTCGGCGGCAGCCCCCAAGTCCAAGTATCGGAAGCTGATCGACAGAGCCGCACGTGGACCTCGTGATGTGAAAGAAATGCCTTTTGCGTAGTATACAAAGTGGGAGAGCTTGTAAGCCATAGGAACGAAACTCTCAGAGCGGCTAGATAGGTACATGTAGGACAGGGCGGCTTCAAGTGGGCAACCACAAGTGGGAATCATGAAAAGTGCCGCAAGGCCAACAGTTTATTCATTTCTTTTGTCAACAGGTGCAGCCTTCACCGGCCACGGCGTTGATTACGGGAGAAAATACAACTAACATCACTGGCTACTTGCTTCTTGAGGCTGAAAAAGGGCTCTGTGTAGCCAGCCCTGCATCTTTCGAGTGGTAGCAATAGAGAGCACAACGCCCCGGATTCGGAGAAAATACTTGGCGGAATCCACTCCTGGTGACACTCGAGCCGCTGTCAAAGAGTCAAAGACGGCCATTGTCTTTTGCTCTGGGCGACCCACTATTAGCATGAAAGTCTCAAATGGTTTTACATCGGAGCATCGCTTTTACAACCATCGAATAAGTGCTAGCATGGTTAGTGCTGTTCAAACGGCCAAAGCTATGCATCTCATTCATCCGCCCAGCCAAGAGCCCGCAGTCCCGATATAGGCCGAAGTGAGAAGGTTGAGGAAAAATCGACACAAGGCCGCTTTATGGCGCAATTTGACAAATCTGTCGCTGGGCCAAACTTTCTATGGCGCGCCTCATATTGCCCGGGGGCGCCGTGTATTTGGCGATTGACGCGGCAAAGGCTCGGATGACTATTTCCCCCCTTTTTAGTGCTTAGAAAACAGATTTTGCAGACATGGCTTGGCCGAGGTTCGAGGCTTTCTGTTGTTCTGTAAACTCATAGAATTTGCGTCGGGCTATTTTCTCTCGACTAAAATTTCATCATCCCACTTGTCAGCAAGACGATTTAAGCGATATTCAGTGGAAAAGGGCTAGCTTAATTCTGTTTCTGAGGCATCTTTTCTGAAAATCTAGCTTCCCCCCTCCTTTTTGGCTTTATAAATCGCCTGTCATGCCTTCAATTGGCAATGGTTACGTTGCCAACGGCAAACCCAACTCCCAGCTTAACAGGGCTGCGGAAACTGCCGATGTACGCAATGACTCATTGAACCCTCTCGTCTTCCAATTGTCATTGCCCGTAAACTAAAAGTCTCATCTTATAGCTCTTAGAATCTGTTCAGCAGCTCATCATTCCATTCATCAAAGCTGCCGATGATGCCGCTGCTCACCGAGCCTCGGGAATTCTGGGACTGGATGCCAACGGGGAAGCTCAAAATATTTTAATCGACTCACAAAAGCCTTCTGAGCTGGTTGCCAAGTTAAAGTTCCTTCTTCCTGAGGAGGGGCTGGGTAAAGATGGCCTCCTTCAGAGCATCGAGAAGCTTCTCAAGTACAGCGTGAATACGTGGGACCAAGGGTTCATGGACAAGCTATACGCAAGTACTACACCAGTAAGCACTCTCATATATAAAGTAGCTATGAGCGGCAAGTTCAACTGACGACATGGAAAATGTAGGTGGGAGTCATTGCAGATCTCATCCTGTCCGTTTTAAACACCAATGTGAGAATCCACGACTGCCCCCGTGTCTCGATTTAGTACCTAACAACCCACAAGGTGCATGTCTTCCACGTTTCACCAGCCTTGACTGTTATCGAAAAGACAACCACTAAAGCGTTTGCGAACTTGTTCAACTTTGATGGCCCACACGCGGGTGGTATATCATGTCCTGGTGGCAGCGGATCAAACCTCACGTCTCTCATTGTAGCCCGGAACACGCTGTATCCAGAAACCAAAACAAAAGGGAATGGCAAGCGTGACTTTGTCGTCTTCACAAGCGCACACGGCCACTACTCTGTGGAGAAGGCCGCCATGATCACCGGCCTGGGCTCGTCTGCTGTATGGGCGGTTCCTGTGGATAACGAGGGCAGCATGAGACCGCAAGCCCTTCGAGAACTGGTTCTGCTTGCCAAGAAGCAAGGAAAGACGCCATTCTACGTTAATTCAACAGCCGGCACCACAGTAATGGGCTCCTTCGACCCCTTTGAAGAGATTTCCAAGATTTGCAAGGAGTTTGGCATGTGGCTGCACATCGACGCAAGCTGGGGCGGCAGCGTCATCTTCTCAAAAGCGCAGAGCTGGAAGATGAAGGGCTCGCATCTGGCCGACTCCTTGACGGTCAATCCGCACAAGATGCTCAACGCCCCCTGCACCTGCTCGTTGCTCCTGGGCCCGGACATGCGGATTTTCCAGCGCGCAAACAGCACCGCTGCCGGATATCTCTTCCACCGGGGCGACGATGAAGAAGTCTGGGATCTGGCTGATTTGTCTCTGCAATGCGGCCGCCGCGGAGACGCCTTGAAGGTTGCTTTGGCCTGGCTTTATTACGGCGCCAATGGATTCGAGCGCCAAATTGACCACGCTTTCGACATGGCAAGTTACTTGTTCCGCCTCCTGGAGGAGAGCGGCGACTTTGTCATGGTCTCATCATACCCTCCACCGTGTCTCCAGGTCTGCTTCTACTCAGCCCCTGGAGGCAAATTGACTTCCGACAAGACTGTGAATACCTCCAGAACACAGAGGATTGCACATATGCTTGTTGGTAGAGGATTCATGGTCGACTACGCTCCCGGCAACAAGGGCAGCTTCTTGCGTGTAGTGGTCAATGTTCAGACTTTGGAGGGAACGGTTGAGGGTATCGTAAAGGCCATGGTCGAGCTGGGCCAAGAGATATCCTCGTGAGAAGAATGCGCAACGCTACACAATCATAGATGGCATTTAGCAAACAAATATTCCCTATCCGGTGGCCTGTTATTCATCTCTGCATACTAGATTCGATTTTAGCAGTGTAACATAGACTAGACAACTCAGTATAAATCTTTTACAGATATAAAATGGATTGCTCCTTGATTACTTCTATTTTGCCTTTGGAAGATACATTGATCTGTTTTTTTTTTATTTTGATGTCAATATGCGATGGTTCTATTGTTGGCTTTAGCTACCTATTGATTGATTCGCCAATGCGCCTCCCCATAGGCGCATTCAAGACTAGAGGTACCAAGGGGTGTGAAGAAAAAGAGAGAATTCTTGAACAATTAGCATACATTTCTTAATTTTACAAACTATAATAACACCATATGTAAAATACCTAATACTTACTGCTGCTACTACTATATGTACTACCAACCAATGTCTTGTTACCTACTATGTATTTATTAAAACCAATTACATATAATAATAACTTGATTTTCCTTCAACTCCGATACTCAATTCTTCAGCTAGCCTAATTCCTAAAGCCATGTGTTTATTTCCAGTGACAATACCAACATTCCATTCTCAACGCGGTCTTGTCAAACCACAGAGAAAAATAAAAGGCTTTGACAAAGCACAGAGACCAAGATCCTTTCCTTTCGTTCCCTCCAAAAAGTACGCAGCTAATACAAACACCATTTGTCCCGCACAGTCCGTCCTTACAGTTTTCTTCCAAAAGCGTAACAAAAGCTTACCAAAGCCTAGACTGATGACCAAAAAGAAATGAGCACTAAAAGAAACGCCTGCGAATGTATCATCATTAACACATTAAACTTTAGCGCCTTAAAAAGAAGAAGAAGAACGTCCAATACGCCTTATAGTAAAGACTGGTAGTGGTATCAGTAAAGTGGTATCAACGTCTTTCAAGAGTAGGCGAATTGAGCGAGATTGAGCTTTTTGGTTGGGAGCTTGGCCTCTTCATCCTCGTCCTCTTCCTCCCCGTCGCTATCGGGGATGATTTGGTCTTCGCTTCCGCATGGCTTGTTCAACGCCTCCATCTCACTCAAATCCACCTTGGGAAGAGGGACAAGCGCAGGATTGACCGCCCCTTTAGCACCAAGGCCTTTACCAACATCCTTTCGTGACGCGGGGAGACTTGGAGATGATGCCGGGCCCTTCAATGCCCACGCTCCCATGCGTTGAAGGGGCGTCTGTCTTGCCCGGGCTGTGGATGGTGCAGTGGAGGTAGTAGATGCGGGAGTGAACACGGATGAGTATTGCGAGGATCTTGAAGCTGGTGTAGCCGACGATTTGGAAGAGTAGGCAAAGCGGTTTAAACTTGGACGAGGAGGGGTACGGATGGTTTCGGATATGGGGGAAAGTGGTTTTGGGAGAGCCACCGAGTCATCGACTGAAGACTCGGGTGTGTCAATAGGGTTCTGTTGGCCGGCTTCTAGGGAAGTGAGTCCTGTGTCTTGGCTTGCACTTGAAACTTGGCTAGTCTCCTGCTCGCTGATTTTCTGCTGGCTTGTCTCCCGCTGGCCGGCTTCCTGCTGCTGGCCGAGCTCTTGTTGGCTGGCCTTTGGCTGGCTACTATCTCGAGGTGTTGCATCCATCTGAGTGGAATCTTGTTGATTGATACTCTCAGGCTGGCTAGGAGGCGGCCCCTTTGGTTTATCAGCAAAGATTGATACCCTTTTCTTCGACAGAGCCCCAGACGCCCACCCTTCAATATCAGGTAAATTATTGAGGGCTTCATCAAGGGAATCGTCTGAAAGCAAGTAAGCCTCGCTCTTTGTCTTCCGCGGATCCTTTTTGGCGACCTTTTTCTTATTAGCAGGGAAAAATCGACTCGTTTTGGGCGAGCCATCTGCCTCCACGTCAAACGAATCGTCACACAGGCGGGCCTTCTTCGGGGGCCTGGTGGAAGCCTCTGTCTGGGGAGGTTGGCTGTTTGAGACACTGGCTAACAGATTTGCGAGCGGCTCTGTTCGTCGTCGATTCAAGCGAGGCTCTGTTCGTGGAGCGGCTTGTGTTGTCTGATGAGAGTTTGCACTGTCTTCCCCTGACTGCCCTGACTGCTGCGATCCGGGTATATAAGGCCTCGGTAATGGAAACACGCGTGGAACAGCTCCCCCGGCGGTAATTTGCGAAATTCGTTGGGGATCGACGGAGAAACAGTTGGCGTCCATCTCGCCCATGGGTATCCGATGATGGCCTTTGAAATATGAATTGATGGGCTTGGACTGTGGACGGGTTTCGGTAGGCGTAGCGAGCTGAGAGTGCCTTCGTTTGGACGGCGAGACAGGCAGGGTAATTGGAAGTTTTGTAATGGGATTAACGTCGCCACTTGCAATTTTGCGAGCCATCTCTGGTTCGACGTAGGATCCGATGAAAGGCATCTCCTCCGCTGTACGATTCGCATCTAGTTCTGTGAGGTGGACAAGTTCCTTCTTCGCGGGGCAAAACACCCATTGATGTAAAAATGTGAGTTCGGCTTGATAGAATAAGGTCAGGTAATTCTCTGATATGCGCTTCCCATCGAATTGCAACATGCGAACAATCCGCTCTGGTGATTTGGACTTTCGCAGTAGCCGGTATGCTGTTTTAAGTCCTACTCCAGGAAGGCCATTGAGATAATCGCAGCCGCTCATGATCGCCATTCGTCGAAACTCTGCGTCACTCCAGCCGGTCAGAGAGATTTCACGACAGGCACAGAAATCTCGTCGGTTGATCTCGATGCAATTTCCGTATTGATCCAGCTTGGTAAGTAGCCGCTTGGCACCAAAAACGAGCAGATCTGAATCGTCTGAAAGAATGCCTCCGACTAAGCCCATGCGTTCGAGATAAACGAGCTGAGCATCGGCTTCGTAGGGGGCCACCACGTATGGGATATCCATCTTCTTCAACTCTTGGATCAGGGCGGACGCCATCTCCGGCGTAATATCAATGCATTTTTGGAACTCTTGCACTGCCTGAGAGGATTTCCCAGCTTTGAGGTATTCATTGGCAATCTTGAGCTTTTCCTCTCGCTTTTTGGCACGAGATTCTTCGGTAGCAGCTTTGCTAGGGAGATAGTCGCCATCAAATACCATGTAGGGCGTGACGCCAAAGTGCTTTAGCATTCTTACTCGATGCAAAGCCGCATTGATAAATCTTGAGAATGACCGCCAGTTAATAACACCGAATCCTCCACCACTGAGCATCTCAACTCACTTTTTAGTAGGCTTGCCTTGGGCCAGCTCGGGGGCACATGAGTACGCGGCGCGGTGCAGCCATCCATAGCCGTCAACAGCCAACGTCTCTCCGTTGAACTTCTTCAGCTCTGTTGGCCTCTGGATGGACTTGAGAATCGGTAGCAGCCCTTCCGATAGTCAGCACAACAATTGCCCCCCGACAAGCGGCTTTGACCATGCAATCCGCTGCCGTGCCATGTCATGTTATATCCATACCTGATACACCCATTTTGCAACCCTACCCAAAAATCCACGTACGAAGAAAAGAAGAGCAAAATTTCAGGCTCTTCCATGCAGAAGGCCCCAACCCACTCTCTCAGTATCTGCGTAGATCAGCGAGTGCACCCATACATTGACCGCCCAGCCTCTGGACGCGGTGACTGCCGAGCACAAGGCTCAAGCAGACAGGGCACGTCAAGCCGTTCGAGATGGACTGCGAGAGGCCTGGATAACGCGTCGTGACGGCCGCCTGGTCGGACGGAGAGTCGAGAGAGACGAGGAGCGTCTGTTGGTGTAGCAAGTGAAGCGATTCGGAGTGGAGGAGATTCACGGCGCAAGACCCTGGACTCTACGGGCGGGCATGTTGAATCTCGGTTAACGGGCGTCTGTCTGGCTCTGCGGTCGCTGAGACAAGCAAGCAAGACGCGCTGGGGGCCTTAATGGGCGGGTCCACGGCGCCTGGAGCGCGTGCCATAGCGCTGTTGGCGGGAGACGATGCCCGAACAGGGATAGATTGACCTGGCAACGGGGCCATTCTATTTACTTTGTGCGAGCCTGGAATATCTTCACGAGGCGGGTCGATATCAAAGGAATTCAAAATCCCATGTAAAGAATTCGATATGTACATCACAATATTCCAACCACAGAGATTTTGGTAACAGATTGGGTCCTGGCATATAGGGAAACTTGGCCTGCCTTGTCTGTTGACAAGGGACCACTTTTGACTAACAGCATCCCGTCACTTTTAGAGCGCGGGGGTGGGAGGGATGCTGAGATTCGCCTACGATATGCCGTAAATTGAGGGCTGGGAGGGGAACTTTGAACAAAACATCTAGATCGCTGTATATAAGTAAAATAAGATTGAGGAAAGGTATACGTATTGGTTTTATACTAGACAATCAAGACTGGCATTGCTCTGTCGCAGAGGATGCACCAAGTCGACGCAGCAGCAAAGCTTTATCCGAGCTATAGCCGGCGTTTTGGTGGTTCAAGCCACTTGCCCAATTTAGCACCAGACCCCTGTTCGTAGGAGAAAAAAACCTTGCGCCTAACGACTGCCAGTGCCGCTAGGAAAAGAGTTGAAGATTTCAATTAAGAAAAAAAAAAAAAAAAAACTGAAGCAATCATCTCTACAATCGTCTACTAAGCCATAAACCCCCGATTCACGAAGACACATAAGCCCTTCAAAATGCCCAACACTCTTCAGAAAGTCCGCAAACAGATCTCCAAGAAGCGCAATGGAGACATCAACGCACTGCATGAAAAGTCCAGAAACTCCATGAGACTACACAAGGCCGGAGTGAGAGACCAGAGACTGGAGAAACTTGCTGCCGCCAGGAGTAAGAGGGAGCAGCCCATCGGTACGCATTCCAGGGATGAGTTTATGAGTCCCAGTCCGTAGCTAACCAGTGCGTTAGTGGAACGCGTCACATTTTTCCAGCAGAATGTGAGAGACCAGGGCGCTGAGCCGCTTGAAGTGGCGGCTATCCAGGCACTCATTCACACGTTAGTATTCCATCGCTTACCACACACACAAGGACTCGAAACTGACTGTACATCCGACGAAAAAGATTTGTTCATCAGTACGATGAAGAGTACGATGCTGTGAAGAAGACTCGCCGTGCTGGACGACCGGCTAGCACCAAGGAGGACTTGTTGAGAATCAAGATGGCCGCGCTTGAAGAAGAGTACACCAAAGGATTCTGTGAGTGATTTACAAACTGTATCGACAACTAGAAACGGACGTACTAATATTGTCGTAGTGCTCCCTGATGTTACTTCAGCGGAAAACGTCAAGCTTTTGGATGGGTGGGAAGGCTCATGGGTTTACCTGACCACCATCCCCTGGATCAAAGTCACCAATACTGGCAATGTTCGCAAATCTGAGCCGCCTTCAAAGGCCCTTAACTGAAATCGCCTGTCCTCTGAAATCTTACGCACGAGGAAGCAATCAACAGCTCCCAAGCGAGCCATAAAGATCTATAGAGCACCCCTGAAGGTGGCTGCTAGCTGCCTGAGCTCGACCGATTCGCATTTTCACAAGTATAGCAAGTTGCGATTCAAAAAATGCTCTTCCATTCTACCATGGTTGAACTTTTACCGCCACAGATTTTGGACCATATGCTGGTCCCATGGGAGATTGGAGTTCAACGACGGAGCTATGTTGCTTTGGAAGAAGGCACGAAGGCCAAACTTGCGGAAAGACATGCCTTCTACTTACGAATAATGCCAGGTCTAATTTTGAGACATGGCGCAAAACTGTCGGACAGCATACTGCATACAGTTAAAAGCCGTTTCGGCAGCTCTTCTCATGTCCAATTCAGGCACTAAAACTAGACATCGCTCATTTAGCGGGATAGTGGGCCTTGTAAGGCCATGCACTTTATATATGAATAAGAATTCACAATGATTAATACATGTTCTATTTTTTTTTTCTTTTAAAAACAGATACCTAAATAAATGAATTCCCACCATATCCATCATGTCTCGCTAGTCCGTAAAGAAGTCCACAAGCTCTCCCATCTATTTGAGTGCTTGCATGCCAGTTGAATCAATCACGTGGGGCCATAGAGCTGCTTGCAGCTCCAGTAAAAAATGGGGTAGCAATGCAAAACAGCAAAAGAAAAAAAAAAGTTTTAGCACTACTTCGCAGCTACTACATCATTCCCTTCTCACGAACCACCTCCAACGTCATAATTCCAAAGCAAGCCCGAAATGCTCTTCGTCAGAAACCTCGCACGAGCCGCTCCTCGGACGCTCAGCCGCACGGCCGGTGCCTCCCTGCGCCCATCGGCCATTGCTCGCCCCAGCACGTTTATCAGGTCCCCCGCCATCAAGGCCCTGCTGCCCACCCGAGCTGCCGCCTTCTCCACGACCGCTCGCCGAAGCCAAGAGGACGACGTCGACGTCGACGTTGCCCTGTCTGCCAAGCTCGACAGCGAGATCCAGATTGAGGAGGACATCAAGGTCAATGAGCAGCAGCCCGCCAGCATCAAGGACTTTCTCGACAACAGCCCTTTTGAGCTTGTCGATACTCCCGGCCAGGAGGTTGTTAAGCTGACCCGCAGCTTCAACGAGGAGAAGTAAGCTTCAATTCACTCTCTCTATATGAAGATTGAATATTGACCAAAAACTCCTCTTTGCAGAATCACCATCAGCTTCTCCATCGCTGACATCACAAACTTCGACCCCTACGCCGAGGACAACCTCTTCGAGGAGGACGAGCTCCCAGAAGAGTCCCTCCAGTCCGACAAGCAGCAGAACCCCGACGACGCCCTCGACGGCGAGGCCGACGAAGACGCCGGCGCACCCATCAACCTGTCCATCCTGATCGAGAAGCCCGGCAAGACCGACGGCGCCCTCAACATCGACGCCACCGCCCGCGACGGCGAAATCGTCGTCGACAACATGTTCTTCTACGAGGACGCCACCGTCGCCCGCATCGACTCCCCCGAGGCCGCCCAGAAGCGCGCCGACGTCTACCCGGGCCCTCCATTTGGCAGCCTCGACGAGGACCTGCAGGTGCTGATGGAGCGCTTCCTCGAGGAGCGCGGCATCAACGAGTCCCTGGCCGTCTTTGTGCCCGACTATGTTGATGCCAAGGAGCAGCAGGAGTACATCCGCTGGCTCAAGAACGTCCGCACTTTTGTCGATGCTTAAATGCGCTGAAAGGGAGAATGGGGGAAAGGAAAGGAAAATGTACGAATCTAACGTTGGGTTTCACGGTGGAAAATGAAAAGGGAAATTATGATTTTGTTGTTGTTTGGTTTCGACACAAACATTTGTGACTATAGAAAAACTGATCTTTTTTGTTTGTTTGTTTGTTTGGGAAATGTCCTCACTCATGTATTATATAAACGGCCAACGCTGCCGCCCTCTCATGGACTGATATCATGGCAAAATTCAAAATTCAAATATATATATTTGTTATTAAGACTGGTTCCATAAGTTTGAAAAAAAGAAACGAAATATCTATCCCAAAAAAGTAGCAACTATGTAGTGTGCTGTGAACACAATCTATGCGTATAGGCCAAATCAACCCGCGTGGTATATGTATATCATCAAGCCAGATTCAACACCTCCCTCTCTCCCTCTCTCTGCCTCTCTCTTATCCGTCCAACAAGAAAAGAAAAAAAATCTATACCAATATGCTTTATCCAATCTCTGCCATTTCTTACCCTACCTCTCGCCCTCACCTACCACACACATTTCTATAGAACGCCCTCAAGATCCCATTCGCTCTTCTGGGCAAGACCCAAAACCTGTTTGCCCTTCTCAGTGAGGTCGGGCTTACCGCCGTTGCCAACAACGTGTTCAAAGAAGACGGGCTGCCAAGTCTCCTTGTTCTCCTCTCGCTTCCGGGCCTTGTCTCGCTGGGCCTCTTCGAGGGCAACCTTGACCTCGGTTGCCTTGGAGTACTGCTTGGCGTGAATGGCCTCGGTGACGCCAGACCACAGGCGAAGCGATTCGTTGGGAAGCATCTGCTCGCTTGGGGGCAGAATCTTGGGCGCAACATTGAGTGGGACGATGTCGATAATGACGTGCTGTTCCTCGGGAGGGACCAGTTTCTGTCGCAAAACAATAGGTTAGCTCTCTTCGATACAAATAATTAACAGGGACAAAGGACGTACCACAGGCCTGGGACCTAACGTGAAAACAACCTTTTCCCTCCAGGGACCACTCAGCCGGGCCAAGACATCCTCATCCGGAACGTCCTGGACTCTGGTTTTGGTATCGTTCTCAGGGTCATACTTGAAAATGACACCATCAATCTTGTTTGTTGTGCGACCCAACCAGCCTTCCTCAACGTAGTGAAGAATGACCTTGATCTTCGTATCGGGGCATGTGATGTAAGCCATCTCGCTGACCGATACGCTCAGCGATCCGCGGAAGAGGCCACCCAGGTGGGCCGCAGGGTGTGTCAGCTGGTAGGTCTCGTTATCCCTCTTCTCAAGCGTGATGAAGATGCCCATGTTGTGCTCGCCGGGCAGCACCTTGACAGATGTGCCAGTAAACTTGGCAGTGATCTGATCAAAGCCCCTAGCCGAGATGCCCTTTTCGGGACAGGCGACATGGAAGGCACTGACGGGAGGGTGATGTGATGTCTGTTCGGTGAGGTATGAGATTCGGAGGAGCGGGGCAGCCTCGCCGGAAAGGGCACCGTGTTGAGGGACGGTCAGAGACACCGACGAAGAGCTCTTTCCGCTATTGGCGGCCACCTTCAAGTTCGCCGCTGCTCCCTTGATGGAACTCGAGCTCGAGCCGGGGGTCTGAAGGTCGACGGTGTTTATCCTGGGCGCATTATCTTCTGTCTCCCAGTTACACTGTTGGAAGTCCCGAGGTTAGCACAATGCCGTCGACTGGGAGTTGTTGACACCCAGACAAGTGTTTGACGCAACATCCAACACCGGGTAGTGGGGCTGAGGCTGGGGGCTCACCCGGAAGAACTCGCCGAGACACGAGTTGTAAGGCTTGCAGGGCTTCCCCTTTGCATATTTGAGATCTTTTGTGAGCCAGAAGCGGACTACTTCAAGCATTCGATCGAGGGGCTCGTCGGAAGTGCCGATGGCGACGAAGGCGTTGGGTGCATCGAGATAGGTCCAGTATTCGAGATTGGGGGTGGGCTCGAGCAGCTGGGAGGGGAGCGAGAATCGGACGCTGGCGAGATCAGAGACGCCGATGAATCTATTCCACAAAGCTCGTGATTAGCATGGTTTCTGACGCAAAATCCAACGTTTTTCATCTGATGAACAGCCATTCCGCATAACAGATGGATCGTCTCTCGGTGACGCGGCGCTCTGCTCTCCAAAGCCCCACTAGGCTTTACCGCCGATTTCGCGTGACGGCACTCGGTCTAGGTGATGGCATCGCCTATGCCACCGAAGCAGCACGCCATGCAGAGGCTCTGAAACGAACAAAACGGATGCCAAAAAGAACATGTCCTACTTTTTCAAGATGCCCAGAAACGTCCGCAACTTGGAGCCCTCGTTCTGGGGCTCGTCCGGCGTCGTAACGGTTGGGGGTGCTGGTGACGACATGGTGCCCCGAGTTTGAGAATAGGCTGAACAACGGTATATTGCGGGATGGAGGGGAGGCTCCTAATCGATATGCACCGCCTTTTGCCAGATGAAAAGGGGGGCGATGAATGTTTGTCGACAAAGAACAAACACTGTCGATCGGGAGAGGCGTTGGTTGAAAAGAAAAAAAAAAGATGGGCAAATAAAGTGCTCGTCTGCCTCTGACCGCAGAGTCGCGGGCCTTGTTGGGAACACGCAGGTGAGAGAGGATAGTTCAACCTTGATGCGCCGCCCCAGCCAAGAGGAAAGGGTTAAAAAAAAAAACGCTCTGGAGCCGGCCGAGCTGTGGCGTTTCAGAGCCTAGAGGGGTCGCCAGAGGGGGGCCTAGAGGCAAGGAACAGGGATTCCCAGCGCGGCGGCAACCACTCAAGAGCGCCGCCAAGCTGGATGCGCCTCAGTGCCGGGGCGACTTTTGGAGGGTGAAGCGAACTGCCGGAGGATCGATATCTGGATGGAGGCTGCTGGAAGAATCTGGCGATGTCGTCTCCCCCCGTTGTCTTTTGTGCTCTTTCACATATAAATATTTTGTGTTTCTTCTCTTCTGCTTCTTCTTCTTTTCTCTGCTACACACTCACTGATAACCACATGCAAAAAAATAATAATCCCAGGCTAAGACGACCCTGCGTGCATGCGTGCCAAGGCGGAAGATCCGTCAGGCCAATCAACGGCGCACATGGTCAAGTCGCTGGCTCTGGCAGTGGCATCCGCAGTGGCATCCGCAGCGGCCAGCCCAGGCCGTGACCTCGACCCCGTGTTTCTGCCGGACTAGTCATACGCGATACGACAAGATGTATGCTTGGTTTATCTGTTCCTGCAAACATTGGTGCCACAAGTGCTGTTATTAGTTAGCGGTACCGCCATGTCTGCCATGGAGCCATTTGGCAGGGCAAATTTCGATGCGGACAGATATGGCCATGGATGCGCAATCGGGATTTTAGACTTTTCGGGGTGCCGCTGCAGGCCGAGTGGCGCGGGAGGCGTGTGAAGCGTCAAGAATAGCTGAAGCTTACTCAGAAAACAAAGAGGCGACGTGATTGGGATGTGATTTCTATCCCGTTTCAAAGCGCCTTACATAATCCGCATGTGCTTTGGTTGAAGCAGATCATAGTGAAGCGGTTCAGGTTTCCGCAGATTGGCATCGATGTTGGATTTGCCTCCACAATATAAGCATTGATGGGTGGCATTTTCAGGGCTTGTTCAGAATATGTGACTCATCACATGGGTATCTTGACAATAAACTGGTCATGGTGAATATTGCAACTGAGCGTTCAGCTTCATTATCATTATAAAAGCCGCCATCTAACTACTATGATATAGCGATCAACTCTGATAGAACCTGCTCATATCAGGCATCATCTGCTATCCAGTTCTAGTAGTAACCAAAACTCCACCTTTGCACTGATGCACCGAGTACTCGTGCAAACCGAGAACTCCGCCTATACCAAAGAACTCCTCGAGATAAACATTTCGCTAAATACACTGACGCTTAAAATCTTGCTCCTGCTCCTGCTCCTGCTCCTGCTCCTGCTCCTGCTCCTACCCCTACCCCTACCCCTACTCTCTACTCCCAAAACAGAGCCGAATCTGCCTCGGGAAATAGTTCCTGGTGAAGTATTTCGTGCTGCGTCTGAGTGGGGTCGATGTGCAGAAACTCAGGGATGGGAGAGCCGCCAAAAGAGGGAGTCGACATTGAAGACATGGACTGATCGCTCGCAGACGAAGGTGAAAAATCGAAAAGGGGTGGGAACATGTCTGTCGGTGCCGGCGCCTGCGTCTGTGGCATTGCGAAATCTATGTTGTTGGGACCCCATTGTGGGAAGTGGTGAGATTGCTGAGGTAGTTGCATGGTGGCAGTAGACTCATATGCCGGGGGCGGAGAAGTAGGAGACATGGAAGACGGCATAGAAGAAGAGTATTCCTGGGGAGAATATGGCTGGAGAGGAGACGATTGCTGAGAGAATCTGCGGGCGTGCTCGTCGGCATGCGGAAACATCTGAGCAAACATCTTATTGACGTCGTTTTCACGCCAACTTCGGTCAGACTCTGCCAGCAGGTCTCTCACTGTGTTGGGGTTGACGACAAATCCGGGGGGCGCGCTCAAGCCCATGGCTGTGAATCTCGGCAAAAGAGCGTCTTCTTCGTACATCTCCTTGTTGAGCACTCCGGCCTCTGAGACGAAAAATCCCTTTCCGGTACGTGCCTTGTGGATGGCACTCGCCTTGTGAGCGGACTCTATCCGAAGCTCCAAGGTGCGGTCATCCCGGCGTGAAGCGGCAACCAGCGCACGCTCTGTGAATTCGAGACGAGGAAGCTTTTTCTACACAAACAAAAAAAAAATTAATTTCACAAAGTCACCCTGGAGTGCAAGATGCAGCAACAACGTACCTCCTTCTTGTCCTTCTTGCTGGTACCACTAGTTGCTGATAAGGCGTCTCTCGACTTTGTGTGTCTTGGCTTAGTCGTGCCCTTTGGCTTGGTGGTGCCTGTCTGCCGGGCCATGGCGAAAGAGAGAAGCCAGTAGGAACTGACAAACGCTGGGTAGATCCGCAGGCAGTTGTAGACTGGTGATGAAAGTTATTCACCAGCGGCTCGCGTGGTATAATGAAGTGGTAGTTGCTATTATCAAGATGGTATAATAGCGATTAGAGATATAAGTCAGCAGAGGTTAGCCAGACAGGATGAGCACGAGGAGGGGATTGGAGAGTGGCCGCGTTTATATGTGCCAACCCCCGGGCTCCTGCGAAACGCCATGCCTTGAATTTCGAGGCTAATACAAGCTCCCGATTTCGATCTGTGCAGCTCCAAGTTTGGGCAATCGGATTCTTGGTAAGGCGATCGATCTCGATGGCGAGAAGCAGTTAGTGTGCGACTGAGGCCAAAGTACCGGCAAAGTAGCTTGGTGTGGCGCCAGGTGTCGTTCACTGCCTGTTTGGGCAATGCTTTTTGCGGTCCTGGCCAAGGGAGGGGAGATAACGTAACGAGCAGCCACAGATGGCTTTTGTATAAGAAGGAACAGCAAGAAATTCGCTGAAGACGCTTGACACGGTCTCACGTTTCTGTACGCGCCCTCGTGCTGTGCGGGGGGCTGGCGATAGTACCTAGGTATAGTTGTATGAGAATGCAGCTCTTGCAGCGAAGCGCTCCCCCACATCCCTATCGGATCATGATGTCCAACTCGGCTGTTCCAAGATAGGAGACGTCCTATATGGCAGCCCTTGCAGTAGACATCTCCTGGCGCTGTCTCAACGCTTCCGCAAGTCGAGAGGCTTTAAGATTCGTGCCACAGTCGGTATTCCAGCTTCAATCCATCCGACTCGCCCAAGAATGCCGACCGTCGATATCCGCAAGCATCACAAACGCACAGCCAGGCAGTGTCGCTGCCAGCAACCAGCGTGAACAGAGAACATGACTACAGGCAGAGCCAGCAAACGCCCACGGAGCTTTCGCTCCGCCCCCCATTCCGTGCTGAGCCTGCCCTCCCCTAAACTGGCGGTACTTGCAGGTACAAGCGCCTCTTAACAGCGCCCCCTCAGGCTCTAGCCACAGCACCCCTGCTCGCTATCCGCGGCCTAGGCCGGAACGCGACAAGCCTGAGACCAGCTTGCACTTCACCCCGGACGCACGTCACAGCTCAGGCACTGCGTGACTGCGGGCTTGCGTCAGAGGGGCTTGCCGAACAGCGAATCTGTGCTCGCGCAGCTCTCCGCGCTGGTGCAGTGCAGCTGCAATGAGTTCCAGAAGCTTCAAGCCTGTGCTGCGCCCTGGAGTAATTGGAGCGTCATCCTGATACGATCGTCGGACGATATCGGCCGTGCTTAGATCTCTCGTCTAAAATTTAGAGAGAGAGAATAGGTGAGGCGCTCGTGAAGAGTGGCCCAAGCGCGTATTGGCGATACTTTTTGGCTCCTTTTTATTCACCTCCACGCCGACCCAAGCTGTAGCTCGACCACTCCGAATAAAGAGCAGCTCTGTCTCTTCATCTCCAGCAATTTTTGCGATTAAATTAATTACAAGGGCGGGAAACAAAATCAAAAGCAAACAATCTTTTTTTTGCTTTCAAGGCAGCTGCGTAGATCTTGTTTCACGTGGTGCTGCTTAGTACTAGTAGCTAAGGTAAGGTACCTATCCAATATTTCTCCTTGACTACAAAATGCGATGGCTGGGCATGCTCTCAAAGATTTGAGCTGGGTCAAGCTTCAACGCTCGATGCATTATACCCATGTTTGTTGCAGATTGGATTTTGAATCTTTTCATGCACGTTGCAAATTAAAATCAAGCGATTTGCAACAGTTCGGCTGTGCAAGCCAACACAGATGTAGTTGCAAAACCACTTGTCCTCTGTTCGTTGTATTGTTCAGTGCCAAGAACCGTTGGTGATAAAAATCTTGGCGTGCATTGCAAAAGCCTGTTTTCTTTTGCTTGCTGTTCCGCTCCGCAGACGATGCCGCCGGTACAGACACTTGTCATTTGGTGGCTGTACTGGACCATCTTACCATTCTCCACGCGTTCCTCCGCAACTCCTTGTCAATGGCCTGCAATTTGGCTTTCAAGCTTCCTCCTGACTAGTTACTCGGAGTATGGCCCGGTAATAACGAGACGGAACAAGCCGGAGGCGACACGATCTTGATAGCTATCTTGATGCTGGCTTACACGAGTAATGTACCGTTTACCTCCGAACTGGAGTTGTGGATGTGAAGTGCCTTGAAATATCCGGTCATCATATATACAAAGACCTCTCATCATTAATGAAGTATCATAAATGAGATGGGAATTGAGTCCTTTCTTTTCTTGGCTTATGTGGGTGGGCGGGGGAAGCACATATTTTAGGATTCTTCAAATGCAGAGACGGCGATAATAACCATAAGCGGAGTATATGAGACTAAAAAGCAGACCAGCCGTAGGTACGAGATGAAGGTAGTCCATACTCAGTATGTGGAAGAGGGCAGTCTACTGTCTTCGAGCGAGGTCTCTTAGACGAGATTTTAAGGATTTTTTAACGAGTTACTCAAGATGATAGATTGCGGATATATGTAATTCCTTAAACTTCAGTTGGTATTTTTTTCCCGGTAAAAATGATTACGGTCGCAGAGCCATTACCAGCATTAACTATACCTTACTAGGCGAGTATTTCCCACATTGTGGAATATCCTATAGCATCTGGAATTTCGAGTACGAATCGTTGGGAACTTCTTGACTCACCAGGCCACTGTATATGTGTTGATGCAGTCGCAGGAGAAGAAACTCCGGCGGTCGAATACGTACTTCTTGAAAGCTTCTGCCTACGAGGCAACCGCCGAATCGACCGGCCCGTATTATGTGGGAAGAAGTGGGAAAATGGATAAGAGAAGGCTGCACCAACGGCAACGGACAGTCTCCACGCAATGATGAAGTGGAGAATAGGAATAATTACAGAAACGTGAAGTGGAAGAAAGCCGGACGATACACTCAGAGGAGCCAGAAAAGACTGGTCGAATAGGCCCCGAGCAATGGACCTATGAGCTCATAGTTACCAAATTGATAGTTCAAGCGGGAAACAGCAAAGTTCCGATTTTTGCAAACTCAGACATGTGAGAAGAGCAAAAAAGTGGCAATGTGCACAGTTATCAATCTATAACGCTAGCACTCCACGTGGATTGTCTAAAGAACTCGACGTGCACTTCATGCTACTTCCTATTTGCTAAACAGCTTTTAAATACTTTGAGTAATCCAACAGCTGCCATTGGCGAAGCGAGGCCGAAGCCCATGCTCTAGGCTCTGGAATGAGAAACAAGAGGTGCTATTAACCTTTGCGACTTTCCTCCATAATGAGGGGCTTGTCGGCAGAATACTCCTAAAGGGGTAATTGCATTGACATTGCTTACCGACGTACTACTAAGATAGTATTAGTCGCCTGCTGAAAATGATGGCAAATGACGGTACGAGGTTTGGAGGAGGGCAAGGCCCTTTCACTGGTCACACTCGAGCCAAAGTCTGGAAAGATATATCAAATCAAATACATGAATATAAAATTACTCAACACTGCAGACAACATCATTTAATGAATTTATGTAAAGTGCCATACTGGGTATATGCTCATGCACAGTTAGATAGATGTATTAATGGTCCAAATTGGCTTCACAAGCTGCAGACAGGTACCTACTACTTGACCCAATGGCGGTTGATTAGCACTTAAATGTACTGGAAGTAACAAGTAATGCCTTTGAATACACTTTCCATTGCATTGACGCTGCTTCTTTCACTTTTGGTTAATTCGGCACAGACGTTGGTGCAACACCTCAGGCACACATTCGTCAGGCACCAAATTAAGGGAACACAAGCTTTCCTCAACAAGCGGAGCACAATCTCTCCTCAATGAATTTTGCAAACCTACCAACTCCATTTCTACCTGAACGAAAGAACAAGTGAATATATTAAAGCTTTTAACCTTATGTGTATCCCTTCCTTCCAACTTTGAAATCGCTCCTTTCTATGGCCTTTCCGTATTATGTATTCCTATTCAAGGTTAGATTTTGGAATTCTGTTTGTTCTAGGTTTCTGCCACTGACATTTCTCTAGTAAGATGCTGTCGTTATTCGACTGATGGCGTTTCACGCTCCCCCTAGCAGCTCGTGCTTTCGAAACCGTTAGCCACTCCGAATATAGGCTCCATATACACGACTGATACACACCTTTATAACGAACAAGGATAATAAAAACATTTCACTTGTAACTCTGGTTGTCGGCATCGCTCATCTCGGCGTCTTCATCGATAATGCCAGATGGTCCTGTGCCCGTTTGGCTGTAGAAGCCGTGAAAAGGCGGCTGGAGATTCGGATTGATGGTGTGACTGGCTTGAAACCCATGCTGGCTGGCGGGCATAGCATGGAGCCGACCACCACTTCTCTCAAAAAGATGCTGTTCTACTCTGAAGTTGGCGGCTCCAGAGTTGATTGGTTGATATGCTGCTTGAGTGTTGACGAATCCGATACCTTGGCTAGCGGAGGCAGGAACTGCAGGTCTCGAAAAGACGGCCGATTGCGCCTCAGGAGAGACACCATGGTTGTATTGAGAGTTGGCATGCATCATCCACGATCGCGAGGCGTTCTGAGCTAAACTCATTTTCAAAGGGTTCTGGTACAGCTCAGGTCCGGCCATGCTCTGCGGAATGAAGCCCGTCTGAAAGCTCGGATGAATGTTCATAGGAGCAACCGAAGCAAAGCGGCCAACTCGAGACGCTCGAGGAGTCATCTCCTGGTCATCTCCATCTTGGCGGGGTGGGTTGGTAGGAGTGCCAGCACGAGGAGTTCGGCTTGAAGCAGTTCTTTGCCTGGCTCGAGCCGCGGCCTCAGAAGCTGGCGAGCCCTGGGCAGTTCCAGTCAAGTCGTATCCGGAACGGGGCATCTTTGTGGGTGTGTGGTTGAGGAAGAGTAACAGATATTTGGGGTGGAGATTGGTTATAGGCGAAGGGTGACAACGACGACGACGAAGAAGAAGAAAACGAAGTGTAATAATAGAAACAAGATAATCTTCTAGTTTACAGTCAAAGGCTTAAAAGATGCGCTTCACCAAACCGATATATAAATGTCTCCACGCGATGGTGAAATTATGTGTATTCGGGAGTGAAGCAGCTTGCAAACGACATGATAATGCCGCCTCACTCCCGAATACCGTGCCCTGAGAGAATGCGCGATTCCGCAAATGCGGGTAGAGACTCACTTCTCAATCAGATTTCGCCAACTTTACCAGCTAGCCGGTTAATGGGCGTTTGTAAACGACAAAAAGGGGGCAGGCCCCCTTGCCATGTTATTATTCGGCAGGAGCTAGGCAGATTGTTTGCGAGCCGGCAAGAAGATTTACAGCAAGGTTCAATTAAATGAACGATTAGACGGGAGCTACCGCAGCGGCAATAGCCATGCAAAACGGAGAAAGAAGGTACCATGTATGTAGAGAGCATTGTCATCCTTTAGTGCTACGGCGCTTTGACGTGGGAATATTGTGTTTGTGGACATCAAGACAATCCTGATCCTGGCTTCGTTGAATTAAACGGATAGCTTCCGGCTCCCTAATATTGAATGGCTTTTTTTGTGGTATATACATTTTTTTTTTTTTCCTAAAATAGACTCTATTACATGCGAGTGATATATGCAAAGCCCTTTGTCGAGCAGTTTTATCGTTTGTCTCCCCTTTTTTGCCAAACGCTTAGATCGCCAGGTAATGAGAGCAGTGTCTCTACTCTTCGGCATCAGCCATCTCCACATCTTCACTCTTGGACTTCTTCTTCTTCTTCTTTTCCTTCTCCTCTCCTACTCCGTCGGTCTTTTTCTCCTTCTTTTCCTTCTTCTCCTTCTTTTCTTTTATCTCCTTCTTTTCTTTCTTTTCCTTCTTCTCCTTCTTTGCCTTCTTCTCCTTCTTTGCCTTCTTCTCCGTATCTTCTTCTTCTCCCCTCTTCTCATCGCCCTCTACATTCTTCTTCTCTCCATCTTCCTCCATCTTCTCCTGGCTTTCTCCGTCTTCCTCCATCTTGTTCTGTTCCTCATCAGCCACCTCAGCATTCTTAGCTGCCTTTCCTTCCCCATTGGCCTTTGGTTCTCCCTTGTTCTTGGGGGCAGCAGCTTGTGGAGCCTTGATCTCATCAAGCTCCTTCATCCAGTTCTTCCAATCAAAGCGTCGTGTCTTCCACATGTCTCCCTTCCATGTTCGCCAAACGCTTCTGCCCATCCATGATTCTCTCAGCATGGATTCATGCGCGCCTAGAGAGGTCATGATCTTGTCTTTGATGTGATGCGGTACGCTCCAGTCCTTGCCCTTGCTAGGGATCTCGGCTACGGCGTTGATGAGGTTGTGGCCGTATTGGTTCGTGGCTAGCTCCGGGATGTGTGGTAGTAGCGTGTTAACAAGGCCTTTTTGGAAGATTGAGTTGGTAGAGGGTGTTGCGATTGCGGTAGTGAGAACGGTAACGGTAGGCAGGGAAGTAGTGGCGAGACGAACGACAAGGTCGGATGGTAGAGCGAGGATGGACTCTTGAACGCCCTTGGATGGGCCAGAAATTGACAGCAGGGTCGTAAGTAGGTTGGCTCCGTGAGACTGGATGGCATATTCATTCTTGCTAAGCTGCTGCACGTCCTTCTTTTTCTTGTCTTCCTCTTCACTGGTTGAAAGAGAGCAAAGAGTCGTTACAAGGTCCGCAGGCTGCTTGCCGCATCCTTCTTTGAGTCTCTTCATGAGCTTTCTGATTTCGTCATTGATGTTTCTGGCAGCGCATCGCTCAAAGAGGGCTGCTATGACATTGTATCTGGATTTGGAGACTAGTTGAGGCACGGTGGGCGCAATTTGATCGACAGCCTTGGCAAGATCATCCTTGCCTAGCCGCTTGAGTACTCGGATAGCAGGGTAGCAAGAGATGTCGTTTCGTACATAGCCTTGTATCCTGGGCAGGAATATGTTTTGGTTGAGGGCCTTAAAAATCTTTCCTGGCGCATGGGTGATGAGTGTTTCGACAAGTCGCGAACCAATCTGGTCATAAATCATGCCATTGATAAATTCGGAAGCGGCAGAAGAACCGTCAGACAGTGATTTGGGAGCCCCGGGGAGAAGCTGCTGGAGAAGAGAAGGCGAAGAAGGCTCTTCCGCCTTGTCCTTCTCGCCCTTGGCCTCGCCCTTGTTGAGCGTCAAGTCGAGTTCCAAGATGAGCTGGAGAATGGGGTTACCGATGGGGTGCTTGGCCAAGACTTGGATTCCTGTGGCATCCATTCCAGAGACGGCGTCTTGCATGATCTTGTTGGCCGCCATGGTAAAAGATGCTGGTACAGCTCGTTTGCCATGATTCTGTGCATCCGCCGCCGATGATCCACTAACGGTAATCTTCTCCTTTCTTTTGCTCTTCAACAAAGTACGCGACGATTGTTCCTCCAAGGGCATTCCAGACAGCACCAGCAGCAGCACTCGCAGCGTATGTGAAGCGAAGCGGTCGGTGATGAGGTAGCCCAAGCTTCCCTCCAGCTCGTCCAGCGTAGCCAAAAACAGGCGCTCCATGGATGCTGCCGGTTGCTGTTCGTCAACATCTGCTCCCTTGGTGTCCATTACAAATTCTTCGAATCCAGCCAGCTCCTGCGTGACAACGCCGGCAGAGCGAAGGAAGAGCGCCTCGCAGCAGTGACTGGCAAAGCGATGCTGCACAAGCGACAAGAAGTGGCCGCCGAATGCCTCAAATAATTGCTTCTTCTGAGCCGTATCGGCGAGCTGTATCAGGCGCTCCATTAGGCGAGAGCAAGACTGGCTGCTGGCAATCTTGCACTCTTTGCCTTTTGCTTCGCGATAGACGCTCTGCAGAAAGATGTCTCGGTCCTCGGGGGTTGGGAATTGGTTCAGCTCAAGCATCTCGTCGGCGCGGCGAAAGTATTCTTGCTCATCGTCAGCAAGCATGCCAAAGAATTCCCTTTCGCTGGGACCACTCTGGTGATGTGAGAATTCCTGATCGCCATTTCCGTACTCGTTGCCGTTGCTGTATTCGTTGTCATTGTTGTAGTCGTTGCCGTTGTACTCGTCATCTCGGCGCGGGCGCTTCGCTTCTACGTCGAAATTTCCTTCCGCATCCTCGTATCTCTTGCGCTTCTCGCGGTCACCGCCTCGTTTTGTTCTCGGCTTCGGCATTGTGTTCTGGGCGATTGGGCGGACTGACGCTTGGGTGAGCAAAGACGGCTCTGGGAACTTTTTTTTTCTAGAGTGAAGACTATCAGCGATAAGATCTTATCGCAGCTAGCGTGCATGTATGTATGTAGGTACCCAAGGGGTGCGAAGAGAAAAAAAAAAAAGGACTACAGAATAGGAATACACACACAAGTTTTAATTATAAACACTATTTTATTGAAAAAGCTATTTAATATCCTAAATCTATTATTTAATACTAGATTTTAAATATGGCTTAGTAGTAGTAGTAGTAGTAGTAGTAGTAGTAGTAGCAGTAGTAGTAGTAGTAGTAGTAGTAGCAGCAGTAGCAGTAGTGCTTTACAAATTCACCACTTCTGACAAACATAACGATAGCAAAGCCAGGTGTGAAAACGGGACTAGAAAGTTCAAGACAAAACTGACATTTGCTATCATCTATTCCCTTCTCAAAAATGCACTTGATGTATCATGGATCCTCGTATTCTAAGCGAGTGCATGCGCTAGCCATACGCTGAACTAAAACAGGGGGGTACGTGTACATACAATCAGAAAGGAAACCGAAGAGCAATAATGAATAAATAACAGGGCCATGGAAGGTGAGAGTGATGGGAAACGGGAACGAAGTGCAAAATGAGAAGCATAAAGTGCCAAGACTAAGCAGAAGAAAAGGGGGGAAATCGTATAATCCACCTGTTCCCATATACCGTGCCAAATTCCTAAGACGCCAATTGTTAAGTCGTAAAATATCATAAAATAACACTACTAGTCTATGTTTGGGGGAACGAAAAATCTCGACGACGCAATGCAAATATGTTGAATGAGTGGGGATGACTCAACGTCGTCGACAAGAGAAAGAACAGGAATATCCCGGTTTGCTACTAAAGCATGTATGCATTGGTGTGCGGGTGCATGGCTTGTACGTAATCGCCGAATATAGATGCTGAGCCACGCGTGCTTTCTAGGTAAAATGCCCCAGTCATGTCGTATGCTGGCCCATCGCGAGATAGGCAACGGACTTGCTAGCAGCGGCCAGGCGCATCGGTCTATTTCCCACGATAGAAACTGATGGGTCTCAACAAACGGAGCCAAAGACATAGTCTAGGGGTTGTTAAGCAGCAATGTTGATCCGTTCATGAGATCTGCGTTAAACGTCCACTTGGCTATGAGTGGATGTGTTAGTAACGGTCGAGAAAGAATAGTCATGAGGCTTCGTTGATCATACCTTTGGCAAGGTTCTCGGCAGTATCTTCAAGCAGAATAATACGTCTCTTGTTGCAATAAGATGTCTTGTCCATGATATCGACCTTCAGCTTCGGGTCGGATAGCTCATTGATGGGCTTCTCAAACATCTCAGACAAGTTCTCAACAGCCATTTCAAGATCCTTTTGGTTGTCCTCAAAAATCTCTGTCAAATTGGTCTTGGCCAGATAAAAGGCAAAAGCGTAAGTCCACTTGAGAGTCTGTCTGCAGGTCTGAAGGGCCTGAGACGCAGAGTTGAGATACTGCACTTCGATCCAGGACATGCCTGATGTGGTCTGGAGCTGCACCATCTTCTTCTCAGTCTTCTGCGCAATATCTTTGTCCAGTTTAGCGGACTGCTCGTGGTTGGCATATCGGTTATAATAGTGCAAGTATCGTTCAAGAGACGTGCGTGATCTGGTCTGCGCATCCCTCGCTTCGGCTCCGCTCTTCTCCTCGTATCTATTGCAGTTGTACCAGCTTGTGCCGTGCTCAGACCACAGGCCCATGCACATCCAACAAAACTCATACTTGCATTTCCTGCATGTCATATGGTTGCACCCGCCATTCTTTTCAATCGTCGAACTGCACTTGGGACATTCCTTTGTGTGCGCCGAGATCCAGTTGGCCGTTTCTGAGTCATCAGCACACTTTTTCAGCCATCGTTTGACCAGATCACAGGGTGCTGGTTGATGGTCGGGGTTTGCGCATCCAAAGCAGAACCGGTTGCCACAGAGACATTCCACAGTAGGGACAATCTTATCCAGGTCCTTCTTCTTAACGCCGCATTCGATGGCATTCGGGCAGTCCGGAGCCGGGCACCACTTGAAAGTATCTTTGTCTTCCACGTATGTGCGGTTGAGCAATTCACTATAGCGAACCGTCAGCTCCGGAGTGACGAGGAGGTCGAGTGACCGCGAGTCCAAAATCCGACCACATCCATCTGAAGGACACTGGATTCTAGCAGACTCTCCTTCGTCTTGGATTTTCTGTGTGAGGTATTGGCGGTAGCAATTAACACAGTAGCGGTGACCGCACTTCATAGCGAAGGTCTGTAAGCCGTCCTCATCTTCACAGCAGATGTCGCATACAAAGCCGGGAACGGCCTGCAGTTTTGGCTGGGTGGAGGAATTACTGTTCAAGCCAGCGGCTTCTAGAACTTTTTCTGGGCGGTCCATGTAGTCTTCTAGTAGTCTTTCTTTGTTCCATCGAAAGTAGCGTAACATGATGGCTGCATCCTCTTTGGTCAAGTCCAGAATCAGGTTGACGTCGCTCATCATGTCATCCTGCTGGCGCCTAATATCGGAAGGCTCGAGAACCTTGAAAGACACCGCGTGAGCGGCCGCCTTTTTCTTGTCCATGTCTTTTGCTGACAGTCCAAAGTCTGGGTCGGGTTCGTCAAAATCATCCTCGTCGAAATCTGAGAAACAACATGGATTAGTCAGGCTCACGGGGAAGGAGCTTCCGAGAAGGCCGGGTGAGTGCAGACAGCGGAGTTGGACTTACCATCTGGACCGGAGAGTTCATCGCCGCTGTCATCTTGCATGATTTCATCATCATCAGTCGAGATGGGAGACATGTATTCTTCCTCGGAGTCCATATCGCCGGTGGTTTGGGGCGTGGGTGGTGCGGCAGGCAGACTGGCTGAGGCGACGATTTTCTTCTGGGGAGTGCTCTCGGCGTCTGCAGATGTGATCGTCGCCTCGGCAGCCTTTCGCTTTCTCGTTATGGGAGGAATCGTGACGGTGGTGAGCGGGCAAGCAGCAAGCCTGCAGGTCGACGACGGTGCGCTGGCAGACGAAATAGTGATGCAGCACGCTAAGAGGGGCCCTTGTGACGGCACTCGGTGGGCTCAGGTGCACGCCGGATCGGTGGGACGAGAAGGACGGGAACCAGGCGAGGACAGCGCGCTGCTGCGTGTTCAGGGCGATGTAGGACGACGTAGGGCGAAGATGTGACGGCGTGGCGAGCCGGGTGAATCGAGCAGAAGAAAGGTTCTGAGCAGATGCGTCAAATCATCGTCTAAGTGATTCAGGACAAGATGAAGAGAATGGAGTTGGGCAGGTCGAGCGCCGAATAAGGTGCCGGCATTTCTTCGGCAGCGGCTGAGTCAGGCGGCGGCGGCGGTGGGCCCATCAGGTGGCCAACGGCAGGCCTGCGCGAGAGATCTTGCGGGCAGTCTTAGCGCATCGCAGCCGCCTAGCTGGGGGGTAGCCAGGCAGCCAATGGCCGGATGCATCTTGGCCACTGCTCGGGCTTACCAAGAGGAGAAAAAGAAGATGGCAGAGGAAAAGTCGGCTGGATGCCTAAACTGAGGAAGTGGTGCTGTCACAACTTAGCAATACATCCCTATCAGACTTTTACCCTTTCAGCAAACACCGAAAATTGGCAGTTTACTTCATAATCACTAGTAGTATCTTCTCCAGGTATATGACATGTAGGTACGTGTATGTATTCACCACAGGGAAAACTTATTTGTAAGACGCCGAGTAGCGGTGTATAAAGACCGCGTCCCTGGTGAGAGTGAGAACGGTCAGTCTCAGCTAGATATTTCGAAGCCTTGTCCAGGGATTCACATCAGGCAGGAGGCTTACAGGCTTGCTACAAGTGTCTTATGTCATCCATGATCCCTATATCAAGGGCAGCCGTAGTGCAATGTACCTACTCAGGCACGAACTTTTGTCTCTTAATAGGAAAGCTATCCAGCACCCCAGCTATATCTCAACAAGGCAGTTGGTGTATATGTATAAAATTACTTGATTACCATATACTCTTAAGTGCGGCAGTAGTAGCGGTATACATGTATTCATTGTAAAGCTATAAGTATTTCCATTGTTGGATGCGTATGAGCAACATGTTTCCTTTGTGGCCAATAGTATACACTAATACTCAAAAAGAGAGCAAGCCAAGCATGACTTGACATGGCCCAGGCACAACGGTTTCCTATAAATCCAAATCTCTGTCCATACATTCGCTCTACCTCTTAGTTGAGAACTTGCTCGGCCATTGACACTAAATGAAACAATGGGTCAATACTTGTCGCCTAAGCAATGCTTTAAATTAGATGAAAACTCACCGGCGGTGCCTGTGCTGTCTGGCTCGACATAAGCAGCAGTGACTTTGCCGTTTTCAATCTTCAAGGCGTAGCGCTTGCTTCGAGTGCCGCCAAGGACAGGGGCAGCATCGTCAAAGTCAAGTTCAAGTGCCTTTGTGAACTCGGCAGTTGGATCGGCAACAAATCGAATCTAGGAAAAATCAGCGGCAGCTTCTCTTTGGCGGTAATTGATGGCAGCAACAACTCACGCCAGTCTCTCCGGCAGGGTCCAGCTGATCTTGCCAAGCCTTCATGCTGTAGAAGACAATTAGCCATCATATTCAGGCGTCTTGATGAGATTGCGATTCCTTACACAAAGGGGTCATTGACGGCGACGACAAACACCTGGCCGGAGCTCTTGAGGTTGGGGTGGTTAATGTACGAGGGAATGTGCTTGGTGGAGCAGGTGCCGGTGAAGGCGCCGGGCACGCCAACAATGTAGCCGTTGCCCTTCTGGAACTCCTCGGCCAGGTTGACCTTGCTGGCGGCTGAGTTCTCGAACAGCTCGAAGCTTGGGAGCTCGTCCCCTGCCTTGACAAAGGCCCGGGGCGTGGAGTGGAAGCCACGCGCAGCGGCGGGGCGTGCCAGGGCAATTCGGCGGAGGGGCAGACGGAACGCCATTATCAGCGGTGTTTGGGCTTGGGTATGTAAGACTGCCTGACAGCTAAAGTGGTGATGGCGGGGGAGAATGGCAGAAAGGGACAAGGTGAGTGAGCTTCAGAATGACGAGTGGCGTCAACGACGCGAGCTACTAGTACAGTCAGCCGGGCCCCGTCGGCTTATAGCCTGCCGGCCCCGCCCGCGCCGTAAATTCTTGTCCTCCGTTCAATGTTGGCCACTGTAATATACTCGTAACTGCATGTTGGACATTGCATCCTCTGTCTTACCCTACATATTGGCCAATATCACCATGGAGCTCTATGATATGGGCATTCTATTGTCGTTGACGTCCATAGGAACATCAATTAATTACTAAGTCTCTCAAAATATTGCATGTAGGAATATGTGATACTTTCGTCATTTATCAAGTTTATGGCTCCTGCTCGCGGCATGCTTTACAATAGAGAACATTGAAGCGTCCAACACTAGGTCGTACTGTCAAGCGCGATATTTGCCCACAAACAGGGGTTGATAGAGTTCGTTCACCAACAACAGGCCGAAGCACTTTGCCTTATTTGTCGCTCATCGCACTATCTCCCCCTCTTCTCGTCACAAATGATAGAATTAAGATGCAATCTAGCTCCGCGCGCAATTTAATAGTTTGCGTAGCGAAAGCAAGACGGAGAGGCTAGGTGGATGATACGAGCTTACAGTTGAGGTCTACATGTACACGAAATTGACACCTTTGCACTTTATTGCTCTATAGCATGACGATACAACACGGTGCATGTACGTCTTGTATATGCACTCACATTGGCAACTGTTACTTGAAAATTCCCAGCATCGGGCTGTTGAAGTGGTTCATGCACCTGTCCGTCGAATGGCTTCGTCTATCACGTCCCGGACGAACTAGTGGCGCTTGGGAGGCTTGCCGGCAAAAGGGGCTACTACAAGCACATGTATTCTGACGTACCCATGCCGGCAAAAAAACTCACTCGGCAACCAGCAGATCACAGGGGGGTTAAAGCACGGGCAGTGCAGAGGGACGTGCTTTGGTGATGGACCGTTGGGGAGTTTCCTGCATTCTGGGATTGTTCTGGGTTTGCTGTGAGATTGAAGGACTGGGACAAGAGGCACCGCAGGCTGCATGCGCATGTGTAAGGACACACCAGTCAGATATCGGGCATGGCAGAGCCGGAGCGGCCTCAGCGAAGAGTGCGCGTTTGGGAGATGACCTGAGGATTTGTGGATTCTACCGACTAGAGAGAGAGCGTGGGGGGCGAGCAAGGCGCATAGACTTGTAGTAACATGAATACTTTGCAGATTGTTGGTCGTACAGAGTATAATTAGATCGATCTTTACCCATATAGAGGAATCACTGCATTAGCACACGAGGAGTTGCATGAGGAGGGCGGTTATCTTCGCAGCCGCCAGGGTTGGATTATCTATCCGAGCCTGATGCTCCATAATCCCTCTGTATTCGGTACTACTGTTCCTTACTATCTGTACGAATTGATCATATCTCTCTTCCTTTTCCTCTCGCCGTTTTTAGTCCTTTTCCCGGGAATTATATTCAGTTGGCATTCCGTAATCCGTGCCTGGCCCTATGCCGCATTTGGCACCAGCCCGCTCCCCAGCGATTTTATCTCACTTTTTTTCTTCTAACCAGTCATGGGACCCCTTGACGAGCGGATATTTTTTGTAAGTGGGCTTGTGCAGGGAGAGTGAGTGGAGGCCATGAAAGGTTGCGGCCCGTGGAGGGAGAGGTGCCTATCATTTGCAGTAAAACGTACTGTAGAACAGCAGTAGCAGTAGCAGTAGCCGTAGCAGAATGCGTTACTTCGTCGACACGTGTAAGGGGCTGAGCATGATTTGATACTGGGAACTGGATAAACAATTCGACAAAAAATCGTATGTTTTGCATGGCGATCCTCAAGACTGCGACGCCGTGTCCAAGAAATATAGTAGGACATCGCACGGAATACAAGAATCGCAGCGCCAAGGGGGCGAAATCGAAGCAGCACTTGCGTTGCAGACCATCCTCCGCTTACAGCGAAATACCTACTGTAGGACAGGCAAAGGCATCAATATCTGGCTCCAGTCCCCACCTGCCCCTGGCGCATCACCCATGCTACTCCAGACATGGCGACAGGCCGCTCACCAGCAACTGGTGCGTTTCAGCAAAAAGATTGATCAGTGTGCTGATACATGATACATGGCGCTTGCCAGGGGCTGGTCTGGAGTGCATGTATTGAGTTTTGCACGGAGCAACAGGTACTCTGTACTAGTCGCTGCTAACCTGCGTCTATTTGATCCCTTAGTATTATCTTGTACTAGTACAGCCGTCTGTGCGAACGCCTCTGCCTCTCATACGAACGCTAGTTCTGGCGACAAAAGAGGCCAGACGTCATCCTAAAACCCCTGAATAAACTGCATTGTACCCGTAGATATCTGAGACGCGGCGTCCACAGTTTCAACGTTGTGAGGCGAACGCAGCAGAGAAAATGCTGGCAAGGCGGGAAGTGGTCGAAAACACCGTGTTTGACTTTTTCGCCGAGCCTCGTTTGCCTGCTTGCTCGCTTACTGGCACGAGTACGACTTCATGGGGGCCATGTTGCTGGCCTGCTGCTGCAAAAAGTATCATTGACGGCACATGTGTACTTTATCCGGTGGCTGGAGCTAGCCAAGGCTCTTGAGGGTATCATTGCCGCTCAAAATAGCGATGGGCAGGCCAATACGACGTCCAGACTTTGGACTTGTCCAAATACTGTAGCAGCTCCAGGACGCTTGATGCCAAACTCAGGCCGAGTAGCAGGTACATGCCCTTGGCTCGGCGCTACACGCAGCGCTACCCCGCCGCCCCTCTGGATTGCACATTGGATCAGCACCTTACTCGTGCTAAATGCCCTTTGCTGCGTTCGAAGCAAGGCTAGACGGCACTATGCCCTGGACTATCTTTTTTTTTCTTTTCTTTTCTCGTGTCTTGGGATATTAACGTAGCGCCCTGCCGCGGGATGACGATGGTGGATTGAAGAATTAAATTTTAAGAACGGCACGAGAGAGAGACCGAGAGAGATGCTAGTACAAGTCATACTAGTGCCTGATATGTGACTGGAGCGAAAGAAACATGGGCTGTGCTCTGTTAACAGAGCACGCGTACATGTACCCGCACACTGATACATGTACCTTGGACAGCAGTTGCACCAGACTTCATGCAGTTTTGCAGCTCTTGATGCCACGGATGGCCCCATGAATCACATCATTCGTCGGCGCACCCTGACGCCTACATGCCGCATCAGGAGAGACCCTCCACCATTCTCCAACGCCCAAGTGACTGTGCAGAGAATCCCGCGGTGTGACGGGGCGTCCTTCCAGCGCTGAGATGGCTGCATGCTCGCTGTATGGACCAGTGCAATATGCAGGTGACGGCCTCTCGTCGCCAAAGAGCCATGGCAGCGCTATGGAGGCCACTAGCGATGGTGGTGTGCGCCACCGACACCCCTGGCCAAGAGCCCTGCCAAGCGTGGTTGGTGCACTGCAGCCTTTTCCGATAGACGGGCGGGTACTCCGTCGTCTGTCCCTGAGCAGGGCCTGGCAGCGCTACCCCAGACCGCTGCAGGGCGGCCGTCGTACAGCAGTGCTAGTGCCTGGGCCTGCCTGCTGCTAGCGGCGTCGTGCGCTAAGGAATGGAGTCCGCGTGTGGCGCTCCAGGCACGCTGCTCTGGGGCTTGTTTTGCACATCAACTCGCCAGACGTCGTCGCCGCAACCTGAAGGCCCGCCTAGCCTCTGGTGCTGCTGGGATCTGCTCGCCTGTGCTGATTGGGACAATCCGCTGCAGCCCCTGGACCCGACGTGCTTCCCCTCTCCTCGAGCCCCCAAACAAGACGCGCTGCTCCAGTTTTAATGCGCTGCTCTCTCGATACCACCATCACCACCAGCCGTCGCAGCCACAAACCTTGGAACCTATTTCCTGCTGCGCTGTGCCCTCGTCTCATCCGTCCTGCAACTCCTGCGCGCCAGCTTAGACGAGACGCCGCGGCACCTTGTTTCTGCATCGCATCGCCTCGCCTCGCATCGTCTCTGCCCGACTCAAACCTCTGCCTTCCGCGTCTCTCTCTCGCTCGAACCGAGATTTGCCTGTGCACCGCTCGGCTAGCGACGCTGTCCTGACGTCTCTATCCAGCTTTCTCTCCTGCGCGACCGACCATCTCGCCTCTTAATCAATCATCCTCGTTTCTTTCTTTCTTTCTTTTTTGGATTCAGCACGTGTGTTCCTGTCTTTCTGAAGCATCGAGCATAGCTTTTGTCCTCTTCTTTTTGCTTGGTCGAAATAGGATTCCAAACGCTACTTGATTCGAAAAGCGATTTTTGACGCCAGCGCTCTCGCTTTTTCCTCGCCCATTCTTCGAACTGCACGGGATACCCTCGATCGAATCGTTACACCATCGCTGAATCGCCTGTGAAGCTCCTCCGAAGCCGACGCAAACTGTACTACGAGCGTGCCATTAACAATTGCATTTGTTCTGAGCTTCTCTCTCTTTCTTCTTCTAATTTTTACTGCCTTCTCTTTGGTGGCCACAGCCTGTCTGTTCCCCTCCATCGCCTCCATCGGTCTCATCGACAACGCATGAAATAAAAAAAAATCAAATTCCAATCAGCCTGAGCAAACTCCGATTAGACGACAACCTTGTCGAGTGATGAGCATTATCGCTTAGAAGCAGCCATCATCTTCCCCATCGTCAACAATTCCGAGGCCCTGGGGCGACAAGGCCCGACCCTCCCTTCGGTCGCACAGCGCCAATACCCATAATGCCTGTCATGCTGCATACCCCTTCGAGAGCCTCCACAGCATCAACATCTTCCTTCCAACAGCTCTCGCGCCAAAACACAATGTCCACCTACGATGGCTCGCGCTCGGCGCGCCAGTCGAAGCGGTACTCCATGTCCGCGCTGTACATGTCCATGACCGCGAATGAAGGAGAGATGCAAATTGAGGACGATCTCGCTAAAGGTGAGAATGCACCAGCCACAGCTGCGGACCTTGCTTCCCCTTTTGATAACTTTGGACTGACGTCCCCAATCTACAGCCCAGAAAGCCCTACGGGATCTCAAATCCAAAATATCCTCCCAATCGAAGAAGAATTTTGTCCTCGAAAAGGACGTCCGCTACCTCGATTCGAGAATTGCGCTGCTTATCCAAAACCGCATGGCGCTGGAAGAAGTACGTGTATAAAGTGTGGTGTGGTTTATGCTCTGATGACACTTGCTAATGCCCATGCAGCAAAACGAAGTGGCCAGCCATCTTGAAGAAGGCGAAATGGAAGAAGGTGTCTTTCCCAATGACGACAAGACTCAGAAATACGGCAACCTCTTGTTTCTCTTGCAATCTGAGCCTCGGCACATTGCTCATCTATGCCGACTCGTCTCAATGTCGGAAATCGACTCGCTTCTGCAGACGGTCATGTTCACCATTTACGGAAATCAGTATGAAAGTCGAGAAGAGCATCTGCTGCTCACCATGTTTCAGGTACGATGCCCTGTAGGCGTGGTTGCGATTGCAGCGCCTTTCCAGCTAACAGGTCCTCTTTGCTACTTAGTCTGTCCTCACCTACCAATTCGATAACACTCCTGACTACTCCTCGCTACTTCGAGCCAACACACCCGTCTCACGCATGATGACGACCTACACACGCAGAGGCCCGGGCCAGAGCTTTCTGAAGATTTCGCTGGCTGATAGGATCAACAGCTTAATCGAGTTGCGAGACCTGGATTTGGAGATTAACCCCCTCAAAGTGTATGAGCGCATGGTCGAGCAGATTGAAGAAGATACTGGCACACTGCCTCCCAATCTTCCCAAGGGCGTTACTGCCGAACAGGCCGCAGAGAATCCTCAGGTGCAGGCCATTATAGAACCGCGACTGACCATGCTCATTGAGATTGCCAATGGTTTCTTGTCTACCATCATTGACGGGCTGGAGGAGGCCCCTTACGGCATTCGCTGGATCTGCAAGCAGATTAGAAGCTTGACGAAGCGCAAATATCCTGATGCTAACGACCAGATTATCTGTACTTTGATCGGTGGCTTTTTCTTCTTGCGCTTCATCAACCCAGCCATTGTCACCCCCAAGTCATACATGCTCATTGACGGAACGCCCGCCGAACGCCCTCGCCGAACCCTTACTCTGATTGCCAAGATGCTCCAAAACCTGGCAAACAAGCCCTCTTATGCCAAGGAGCCATACATGGCTAAGCTCCAGCCCTTTATCCAACAGAACAAGGACAGGATCAACAAGTTCATGCTTGACTTGTGTGAAGTTGGTGACTTTTATGAAAGCCTGGAAATGGACAATTACGTCGCTCTTTCCAAAAAGGACCTTGGACTCGAGATTACGCTGAACGAAGTCTACGCAATGCACTCGCTGATTGACAAGCACAACACCGAATTGTGCAAGGATGAGGCATCGCACCTGGCCATCATCGTATCTGAGCTGGGTCCAGCCCCTCCTCAAGTACCTCGCAAAGAGAACCGAGTCATCAACCTTCCCCTGTTTAGCAGATGGGAGACTGCAATAGATGACTTGACCGCGGCTCTGGATATTACACAGGAGGAAGTGTACTTTATGGAAGCCAAGTCCATCTTTGTGCAGATTATGCGAACGATTCCTCAGAGCAGTGCCGTTTCTAAGCGGCCGCTACGGCTTGAGCGTGTTGCGGATGCTGCTGCCACCAGCCGCAATGACGCCGTCATGGTGCGTAAAGGTATCAGGGCCATGGAGCTCTTGTCCCAGCTCCAAGAGCTTGGCGTCATCGACAAAGCCGACCAGTTTGATCTGTTGAGGGATGAGGTTGAGCAGGAGCTCCAGCATCTGGGTTCGTTGAAGGATGCTGTGATTGCTGAGACTGAGAAGCTCGAGGAAGTCTTCAAGACAATCCGTGATCACAACGCCTATTTAGTTGGACAACTTGACACATACAAGAGCTACCTCCACAATGTGCGATCCCAGAGCGAAGGCACTAAGCGAAAGCAGCAAAAGCAGCAGGTTCTCGGACCGTACAAGTTTACTCATCAGCAGCTTGAGAAGGAGGGTGTTATTCAGAAGAGTAATGTCCCGGATAACAGACGGGCCAACATCTACTTCAACTTCACCAGCCCACTGCCTGGTACATTTGTCATTTCCCTACATTACAAAGGTAAGGCCTTTTCTCTTCCCAGGTCTTAGCCTCTACGATTTATCGCTAACATATGAAAAAAAAAAAAAGGTCGAAACCGAGGATTGCTCGAACTCGACCTCAAGCTCGATGATCTGCTTGAGATGCAGAAGGATAACCAAGACGAGCTGGATCTCGAATACGTTCAATTTAACGTCCCCAAAGTCCTTGCACTGCTCAACAAGAGATTTGCTCGGAAGAAGGGGTGGTAAATTACGTCCGATGATGGCCACAGCTAATACTAATTTTGCTGCCATGTCGAATGCATATCATACTCAACGCATCACGACTATATGCAAAAGGGGGAATGGAGGGATGGCGGAAAAGAAGGCACCGGGCGTTATGGAGCATCACGGAAACCTTTTTCGTTTCCCTTGTTTGAGTGTGTCAACTAGTAATGCGCCTTTGGTACGCTCCTAGTTTTCAACTACAGTTTCTCTATCATTTTCGTTTTTTATTTATTTTTATTTCCCTTGGAGCAGGTGGATGGTCTGTCACGATACTTTATTTATACCTTTGGTAATGATGGGAAGGAGAGATGCCGTATTATGTGTTTTCCCCTTCCAATGGCTGGTCCATGAATAGGGAGGTATTTTCGAAATCTTATGCGAATGGATAGTTCGTTTTGTTTTGCTCTTTTCTATTGCTTACACTTCCCTTCTCCTCGCTGTCATTAATAATGAATATCTTTGGCAATGCGACAATCTAGTGGGAGAGTGTTGGAAGGTTACGCTGTATTTTTATCTACCTAGTTTTGAATGAAGTGGTACGCACCAGGAGCTCTTCTATTTCTTTCTCTATTCTTGTGATGTACTCTCTAGTTACTGGTCTAATGTTGTCTATTCTATAATAGTCGACAATCTGTATGGTGCACTGTAAGGCATGCCTTGTTCAAATATTTACAAAGTTTATACTATGTCTTTCTCATCCCCGCCAGCTGTTCTTCTCATCAAAGCCCATGGCCGACGCCACGATGGTTTGTGGTTACCACCAGCGCCGCTATTCCCTCCAGGGCCACCACATTCAGCTGGCCGTCTCATAGTGAGCCTCCTCTTGCGGCCTTTGGACGGCGAAAGCGCAGATACAGACCGGGCATCTCTAGAAGTAGAAGAGTGCAGCTCGCGAAAGAGACGGGGTAAGAAGCCGAAGAGACGGACGAGTAGATGGAGGAGCGAGAGAGATAACTCGTGAATCTTTTGGATGCACTGGACAAAGGGCCGGGTTTGGATGAGGTAGAGGAGGATGATGAAGGGGACGCCGACGAGGACCATTGTGACGGGGAAGCGCCAGTCTGTTACGGGGATATGGAGCTCTGTGATGCCGAAGACGGACTGTTGGTTTGATTTGTTAGTATCTTATAGACATTGTAAATACATGGATGTTTATGGTTGTTACTGTTGGTATATGATGACACTTGATGCCATCTTGTGATGAGGGATATAGAATGGTGGCTTCACTTACAGTTACAAACGTAAGAGGCAAAAAGAGCATGCTAATCACAGTCAGAATGCGGATATTATCCCCCTGATCGATAGCCCGTCTGCTCTCCTTGATCGAACTCCCGCTAAACAGCTGATCCCTCAGATTCTCAATCTCCTTTCGCGTGCGCTCATTCCGCTTCAGCACCTCACTCAGGTCACTCACGACCTTATCCAGCTCCCTCCGCAAGACAGCCATCTTGGCGGCATAGTCCATTGCCTCGGGGGACTGCGGCGGCGAAGGGTGCGGCCACAGCAGCGGATGCGTGCCGGCCCAGAAGTCGTCGGTGAAGGTGTCGACGTAGGCGGCGATCATGGCCTTGATGCCGGTGTTTATGACGGCGAGGGTGTTGTAGGCCCAGAAGTAGCGGCGGATGTAGGTGAAGTGCTTGTCTTCGAAGAGGAGCTTGTCGCGGAGGTGGTGGTTGAACATGAATTCCGTGGGAGGCGTGATGAGCTTGGTGATGCGCTCGTGGAGGATCTGGTTCCTTTTGCCGGCGTCGCGGTACTCTGTTATCAGGAGCTCTAGGAAGGCGTACGGGCCGTTGCAGAATCTTTTGAGCTCCTGGAAGTCGTCGCCCCTGACTGTGTGTTCGTCGTCGGGGAAGCTCTGGATGCTGAGGAGGTGCCAGGGCCCGAATGTGTCGAAGAGGAAGCCTTCCTTGGCGCGCTCTCTGCGAGGCCGCATTTTGAGCGTCTTGGTTGGCTCGCCTTCTAGAGAGAGGGCAAGGATGGAGCCGCATTCGGCAATGTCGATGTGGTCGTCGAGGCGTTTGTCCGAAGGGCGTCTTTCGTAGAGCTGCCAGGGGGCCGGGTCAAGATCTTTAGGGACGAGGGTGTAGTATTTGAAGACGAAGAAGAAGGATCGTTGGCGGAGATGAGAGGAGGAAGAGAATGACGATGTGCCGCCGCCCTTTATGTTGTTGGATATGTTTAGGGGGGACAGCATGGGAGATGCTGAAGATGCATAAGCTGATGAAGATGGAGATCGCTCGTAGGCTCGATGCATGAAGGCGTGGGTTCGGCCGCCGTTGGGGTCGTCGGAGAGGAGGTGGTGAAGGAGCTCCGTCATGTCGAAGTGAGGCGACATGGTGAGATGTAGGGCGGCGAGCATAAGTGGCGTCGGCTCTTGGACGATGCTATCTCTGGTATTAGTAGAGGTAGTAGAGGTGGCATATACCTGGATCAAAACAAACAAACGAATGAGTAGTGGATGATGACGACGGAATAAAAGGGGCAGAGCACAACGTACGTGATCCGACCAACAGCCTGGCCGCCAAAGTTGACTTCCTTGATAGACTCCCAAACAATCGGCGCATCGACGATAAACTCGGGCGACTCTGGCGGCTCTTCGCCAACATATCTGACGAAGCCTTGGACATCAACATCCAAGGTCGTCTTGACAGGCCTATCATCCTGCCCAACCTCGTATACTTCAAACGTTGAGCTGTCAAAACGCTCTCCCTCAGCAGCAGCAGACTCGCGAAAAGACTGCATGGAATCGATTTCCCACGACGGCAAAGGCTCATCCTTGTCGTCGAGCCGGCTGGAGAAGTCGTTGCAAAAGTCCGAGTCACGAAGATGCTTGATGAGTTCTTCGTCGGAGAAGCTCCTTGGTGCGAGTTTCCCGCGGACCTGTGAAGACGTGCCCTCAGCCGGAACATGACGAGCAGACGAACCATCGAGAAGAGGGATGAAGGGAATCTCTTCGTCCGGGATGCTGCCATAGCCACTGCCGGTGGGATGGTTGAGATTTGGCGTAAGTGGAAGGATCCGGGGAGAGGGATAATATGATGGGCGTTCATGGGTGCATGTATCGGGAGTATCGCGACGTGGACGAGGCAGCAGGATGCTGTTGGCATCGCTGGTGAAGGTGAGCGCTCGCAGAGGAGGCGTTGCCAGGCCGTGGATGTCGGAGCGCTCTCGTTTATGGGCGCCGAGGGTTTCATGGAAGCTGTGGAGGCTGCGCAGATACTGCTCGTGATGATGCTCGACCGATCTGACGAGCTCTTCCAAGCTGGTGTTGCCGCGCGGCTGAGCAGCCATGGCTGAGTTGAATATCTTGTTTGATCAAATCCAAGGATGATGATATCAAGTATCTGAGTCTTGTTTTATTATTTAGCAACAGCAACAATAATTCTACAATACTGCAAAAGTAGCAAAAGAAGCAAAGAGCGTCCATATTATCGAATCTCACAACACAAGGAGGGCGTTATATACATGTATCCAACTTCAAACCCCAGACCTCAGCTCAGCTCGGCTGCCTCTTCCATCCACCGAGGCCAAAAACAGGATGACGCAGCACTGCTGCAGTGCTTCGGAGTCGCCCGCCTACGTGTTCTTTATTACAAAGCCAGGCACATGCTTTAGAGCTGCAGCATGAAAATGCGAAAAAAGAACAATGCCATTCCTTTTGCCTTGGCGCCCGTTACAGGCTGCAGCAGTTTTGCGCGATGCGAAAAGGCTGAGCGATGGCGTCGCACAACCCCACGTGCAGCTGTGTCCTGTGAGCACAGGTCCATCCTCCAAGGCGCCGGGGAACAAGGCCGACGGCTGTCTAATTGTTCTTAGCTCGGTGTCCTGGTGTGGTTAACAAGGGGCATCCTTTGCTGCCTTCGCTGTTGTCCAGCATGTTCGCTTTTGAGTAAAGTCGCTTCTTGGCGCTCAAAAAGTGAGGCGAGCAAAAGTGAGGCTGAGGTGGTCTTTTGCCCGTCTAAGCGTGGACAGGCGGGTTGGTGCGGCTGGAGGCGGCCGAGGCCATGAAACTGGCGGCAACGCCCCAAACTGAGGTTTCCATCATTATAGATACCTGCTTGTCATACCAAAGTGCGTGGGGGGCTTCGCGGCACATACATACATGATAGCAATAGTAAATCTCTGCTTCAGCCGAGTGCGGAGAGGCTTCAAGATTCCGCTTGCGCAGCCCGTGACGCAGATCTCGCACGAGGCATGGAGACGGCAGGAATAACGTCGATGCTCCGTCTGTCCGACGGGGCGATGAGACGTCCACTCCGGCGGCCGACGACAAATGCTCCTTAGTCACAAACATGGTCCATTATCGACACCATGGTAGCCTCGACATCCAGTGCCGTCATCCGTCATATGCTATCATTTTGTCTTCTTGTCACTAATTATAACAAGATCTTTGAGGATATCACCAATTATACCGAAACCGCCTATCCACCCCTCCCTCCTAGCCGATGCCATCCCATCCCATAGTGTCTTCGTAACTCTATGTCCCGTCTAAATGGCACAACGCCATAAAAGCAAAGTGTGCTCAATACCCGAACACAGAAAAAGCTCGTCGGAGCTGCGTGATGGTGTGAATTACGACACGACTGAAACGGGGTTGTGAGCGGCGGCGGCACCATCAACCTCCATGGCATCATCATCACCATCCGCCCCGCCTTCGCCTTCTTCCTCTTCCTCTAGCTCGTCTTCACTCTCGCCCTCAATGTCAACGCTGCCATCTTCGGACATCTCGTCCTCTTCATGATCGTGATCATGTCCGTTCTGGTGCTCGCTCTCAATGCCAGCCATCTCATCGTCTTCGCCCTTTCCTTTGGCGACCGCTTCGTCAGCAGCCTCTTCGGCAGCCTCGTCCTCGGCTTCCTCAGCACCGTACTCTTCCTCGTCCGCAGCAAGGTCGGCCTCAGGTTGCTCAGGAGGGAATTCAGGGGGCGCAGAGAGCTCAGAGTCCCTATTGACAACACCATTAGAATTTGTCATTTAATGTTTGATGCAGCATGTGTTCTCACCATTTGATAGCGAAACGGGTCACACGTGGCTTCTCGGCGAGGACGTTTCGCTTCACCCTCTCAATGATCGGCTTCGCAGGTGGCTCAGCGTTGAGCTCATCCGAGTCGTACTCGTTGTTGACGTAGTATCCGACGCGCACAAACTCGCGGCCATCGTAGGCGCAGGTCAGGAGGATGACCGTCACGCCAAGGACATCAGCGTCGGGGATGCGAGTGGTGTTGGGAGCCTCGGCCTCGAAGACGAATTTGTTGACTCCAACCGGAATGGGACCGACAAGAAGGGAGTCTAGCTCCTGGTCATATTGATCGCTGCGATGGGTTAGAACTGGAGGGAGGGGATGATGCCCAACGAAGATGGTCGTTCTTACGAAGTAGCGGATCCGACGTAGGTCAGCTTCCACTCGAGATCTGTGCGCAGTCAGTTAGAAAACCGCATAGCAATAGATTCGGGGTGCTACATCAACACGACTCACCCTTCTCAAGCGACTCAAGGCACTCGAATGTGATCTCAAACTCGTACTTGTCGGTGAATTTGGCGGGGTTATTCATCACCCTAACGCCAAGAAGTGACACGACAGACATGGTGGCGGATTTTCGAGAAAATAACAACAGGCAATTAGCAGAGATGATGTGTTGGCTGCGAGCGAATCTCAATTGAACAAGGCGATGGGGAAAAGTTTGCGCAGGGTCCAGTCGTCGAAGGGATAGAAGGGACGAAGAAGTCGTCGGAGGGGCAACCAAGAAAGTCGGTAACCGTGGAGATGATGCCTGGAAAACGACGTGCGGCGGAGAAGCGAAAGCCCAGTCGTGGCGCAAATGCAAGAGAATCGGCAAGTCGCTGGCTTTTATGTGTGCAGAGAGAAGGGAAGAGACGCGGCTGCTTCTGGTGGCAGAATTGGTAAACTGACAAAAAGGTGAACACAAGTTGATCAGGTATACTCTAGCCTCTGGAGACGCGACCGTAGCGCTTCGCGTAAAGTGGTTGTGTGGCGCCTGTGATTTGGCCGATCCTACAGAGGTACACAGGTACATGGGCTGGGCACCTCGTGGATGCCTTGTCGCTGAGGTTGCGAGTACCCTGGCCGCCCCGAGCTGAGACAGAAGCTGCTGGGCTGTTGAGCGGGTCAGGCGCTGGCAAGCCGGCCAGCCAGCACGTACCTGCCGCTGAAACGCCCCGTACCCAGTACCTCGCGCACGCAAGACTGCCAGCCTGGTCCACAGCCTTCCCCAATCGGGAGCTTGGGTGACTCTAATTTTCAAGTGCTCCAATTCCCACCTCAGCACCAGCATCATCTCGGCCAAACACGTTTCTGGCGCGTGCTCCCTGATTCTGATCTAGGGACCGCTGTTTCGCCTTGCTCTAGCTGGACGGCAGCTCTGTCGCGTTGTATCGATCCCGATTTCGCACCTCCACGGAAGCGCTGCGGCTTCTTGCCTGACGCTGACGACGAGCGACGCGGTTTGCTGGCCGGCAAGGACGAAAACGGTATCTACCTTGCCCGCTACACTGTGGCAGTATAAAGGTTTGGAGCTTGCCATCATTCGCTACAGCGACGGTGTTTTAACTGGAACCTTATAGTTTCTCAGAGTCGATCGATTCGTAACCTGTCGCGACACCCTCGCAGCGTCGCTGCTGAGCAAGAATCTCCGATTATTCGTTGCGTGAGCCATTGACGCTCCCCCCAATCGTCAAAGTATTGCTCAATTGGGGCTTCACTGATACCCCCTGTGGTACTTTGAGTTGAATTATAAAAAAAGCTAAACAAGATGGCTTCCGAAGGCACTTCGTGGGACGATGATGGATTTGCGGCTGCCGAAGGCGCTCATACTCAGCATAGCGACGAACAAGTTGATAACTTTGCTCAAGACTCTCATGTGTCAGGTGAATCAGCGGATAATGGAACAGAGGATGGAGGGGATTATGACCCAGAATATGTCCCCGTTGAAACAGTTCTCCCAGACCCTCCTGTCCCTGAAGACGCCGCTCCCGCTCTCGCTGCCCCCGCTGTCCTTTCTCAACGTCCAACACCCAAACCAAAAATGTCTGGTGGCTTCTTAGTGGAAGCCTCCGACGACGACGAAGAAGACGATGAAGGAGACAACTCAGGCCCGGCCGAGTCCTCGGTATCGCAGAGCCAAGTTGGTCAGCCCACTGAGATAAAGGCCAATGTTCCAGTTCCTCCTGTATCCACTAATGTTCCATCCAACGTGACTGCAACGCCTATGGCTAGCCTTGACCCGGTAACGTTATTCGAGGCTCGCATTAAAGAGGACCCTCGGGGGGATATGGATGCCTGGGTGAATCTCATTGCCGAACATAGGCGCAACAACAGACTGGATGATGTTCGCAAGGTTTATAACCAGTTTTTGGAGAACTTTCCTCAATCGGTAAGTTTGAGAGGCCTAACAGGCCGACCGCTCCAAATTCGCGAAGAGGAGCCCCTATTCTTTTCAAATCTTGATGCATGACTGACAGTAATAGGCGGACATGTGGGTAGAATGGATTGAGTTGGAGCTCGGCATGGACAATTTTGTCAATGCCGAGCAGCTGTTCGGACGATGCTTGATGACCGTTCCCAACGTCAAGCTCTGGACCGTTTATCTCAACTACATTCGCCGTCGAAACGACCTCAATAATGATTCGAATGGCCAGGCCAGGAGAACTGTGACCCAATCGTATGAGTTTGTAATCGATAACATTGGCGTTGACCGGGACTCGGGAAATATCTGGCAGGATTACGTGCAGTTTATAAAAAGCGGCCCCGGACAGATTGGAGGCACTGGTTGGCAAGACCAACAGAAGATGGACCAGCTGCGTAAAGCGTACCATCGTGCAATCAACGTTCCCATGTCGACGGTGAACAACCTGTGGAAAGATTACGATCAGTTCGAAATGGCGCTTAATAAAGTAACGGTGCGTCTTCCCACCCATGGATAATGGTACGCCCTCTGCTAACTCGACAATAGGGACGCAAATTTATCCAGGAGCGATCTCCTGGTTACATGTCTGCGAAGAGTGGCAATATTGCCTTGGATAATATGACGCGGGGTTTGAAGCGTTCAAACCTCCCTAGATTGCCACCAGCGCCCGGTTTTGAAGGTGATCAAGAGTTTCGCGATCAAGTTGCGTTATGGAAGAAGTGGATCGAGTGGGAAAAGGAAGATCCGCTTGTGCTCAAGGCAGACGAGCCCAAAGTCTTTGCACAGCGAGTCCTGTACTGCTACAAGCAGGCATTGATGGCTTTGCGTTTCTGGCCCGAACTTTGGGTCGATGCGGCAGAATGGTGTCTTCAGAACGATGCAGGAGACGTTGACAAAGAAATGGGTGCCGAGTTTTTGGTACAAGGCATTGCTGCGAACCCTGAGAGCGTGTTACTAGCTCTGAAGCATGCAGACTACATTGAGTCCACGTCTCCACTGCGAGAAGGAGATAAATCCGAGTTTGCCAAAGCTGTTCGGAAGCCTTTTGATGATGTCTTGAACACGTTGTATGCGATGGGAGACAAGGCGAAAGAGCGCGAAAAGCTGGAAATTTCCACCCTCCGGCAAGCGGCTGCTCAGGAGGCACCTGTACAGCAGTCAATCGAACATAATTACGACGATGACTACGAACAAGGGACGCAAAAGAAGGTATCTACCGAGGAGCGTATCGCCGTAATCCAGAAAGGCTACGCCGCAGAGACCAACCTTCTCTCCCGCACCATTTCATATGTGTGGATTGCCATGGCCAGGGCAATCCGCCGTATTCAAGGCAAAGGCAACCAGACAGACGGCGGATTGCGCAAAGTCTTCACTGATGCACGACAAAAGGGGCGCCTGACCAGCGACGTATATGTTGCCGTTGCTTTGCTGGAATCCGTAGTTTACAAAGATACAGTTGGCGCCAAGATTTTTGAGCGCGGAGCCCGCCTGTTTCCCAATGATGAAGGCTTCATCGTTGAATACTTGAAGTTTTTGCATTCCAAGGACGATACTACGAGTAAGTCATTCAACTGCCGTGATGTATCGGCTGAAGTATAGTAATCATGTCTGACTGCCATTCTAGATGCTCGAGTAGTCTTCGAGACTTGCGTTAACCGCCTTATCGCCAACCCAGAGACACTCCACAAGGCGAAGCCTCTATACGCATATTTCCACAAATACGAATCTCAATACGGCGAACTGTCTCAGATCCACAAGATCGAAGCGAGAATGGCGGAATTGTTCCCTGAGGACCCCAGACTCAACATCTTTGCTGCCCGCTACTCGACTGACAAGTTCGATCCCGTCGCCGCCCCCGTCATTATTTCGAAGGCTGCGCAAATGCGGCCAAAGTTTGCCTCCCTCATCACTGAGCAACCTGCATCAGCACGCAACAGCTTTCCCCCGCAGCGAGAGCTGAGCCCACGGCCGCAGTATAGCAGAGCTACTGCTTCTCCGAAGCGCCCCCTGGGTCCAGATGACGAAGAGCTCAATCCTCCAAAGAGGCTCGCCAGAGGATCATCCCCTCTCAAAGGGGCGGCTGGCCGACGGCTCGACCAGCAGCGCCGCAACCAGTCATCGGCCCTCCATCGTGACATTACGTTCCTCTTGGGAATTCTTCCTCCTGCCCATACCTATGACTCGCAACGACTCAGTGCAGCCAACATGGTCTCTCTCCTACGCGATACGCCGCTTCCAGACTATGGAACTTGGAAGGCACAAACCGGGGGACAATACCGCTTTACCGCTCCAGTACATGGGCGACAGCCTTCGGGAGACTTTCCAAGGCCGATCAGCCCGTATGGCCGAATTGCACCTGCATCCAACGTCTATAGACAGTCGCCTCTAAGGACAGAGACCGGCGGCACGTTCCCAACGATTCCCTACGGGGCGACCGACGCAAGTGGAACTCCAAACCAATGGCCTCCGGCGCCGCCACCATCTGGATTCGGCGCACCAGCTCCAAGCCAGTTTGGAGGATATCGCTTTCAGTAGAAAACAAGGAGACTTGGTGGATTCTAACGAAAGACTTGAGTATGTTTAGCAAATTGGACATTTACGACTGGATAATGAAGGAGATAAGAGAAGAAGAAGAATATAGCTTGTTGTTCGAAGATATGAGGGTTGACGGTAAATGCTTACTCTTCTCGATGCATTCCGAAGGCGTTTGGCAGGAAATAAGAAGTTGGACGGGTTATTTAACTTACATAGATATCACACTCGAGCATTTGTGCTTGCATCTTTTGGGGAGAGTCAGATTTAGGATGGCTGAGCTGCGGCAGACAGTTGCTACCTCGTGGGTAGCAAGTGTAGTGAAAATAAAGTCAACATACCTTTTACCATTCTCGAATTTTTAAATTTTGTATGTTATAATATGGAGATGGAGCTACCATTCAACGGCCTGACTTTGTGATCTAGTATGCTATTTATTACTTTCAAATGATGATTAGCTTAGTATATATATGTTCGGTGTATATTACTAAAGCAAGAAGAAAAAGGAAATAATATAGGGAATATAGGGTATGTAGAGGAAGTAGAGGAAGTAGAGGAAGCCTGGAGTAGCTACAAGTCAATAATTTTCGCTATATCAAGGAGCTAACTATATCTCGAAAGTGGTACAGTGGATAATATCTGACTAGCAAATTTACAGGTACCAGTATAGTAGTATTTACTTGGTCCATTGTTTCTCTAATAACTGCAAGTGTGCCTTAATCACCGCTCGCCTTGCCCTTTGACGAGACTGAACAAAAAGTCAAATATAGTGCCCAGAGCTTGACTGACAAGCCTGTATCACTGAGAAATTAGTTTCAATGGCCGGATCCTCTTACTTGGTCCGCCCATCGGAAGCACAAAGCCGTCAAAACGTCACAATAAAGCAAGTAGACGTCCTCCCCGCGGCTATGTGCATGATAAAAGCGGTGCAGGGACAACGTCCTTATCATTTAATGTCCGTTTAGACCTCTAGGCCTCCTATTGTGCAACTCTCTTTGTAGGACAGACTGGATATCTGTGGAGATATGTTATGCCTCCCACCTTTCCGCCTCACTCAACTCTCCTTATCGCCAGAAATGCAGCTTCTCTTTCCACTGTAATTCAATCCCATAGGCAAATCTGCACTGATCCATATGTACCTCGCACATTACTGCAGCGCTGTTGCTGCACCTATTTTTGCGGCTGACCGACACTTGGCCTCACGTGTTCAGCTTCACAGATCACTCCTCTGGCTGCCACCTGCCCTCGCAACTATAAGATGCCCTCTCTTCTTCCCCTTCCTCCTCTCTTCTTCCCCTTCCTCCTCTCTTCTTTACTTCCTCCTCTCTTCTTTACTTCCTCTTCACCACGCTCGCAAGCAGTCTTATTTGCAGCCCATCCAGTCTCTCGCCAGCAAGATTCTTTGTGAACTCTTCTCGATCATCAAGAGTGCTCCCCACGGAGATACTTTGTTGTTTGCTCTACGAGCACGACTTCTGGGTGAGTTTTCTCGTCCTCTTTTGCCGCTTTTCCCAACTCCTTGAGTTATCGATTTATCCTCCTCCTGATTACTTCGCGACATCTCCAGCTCTTCACTCTGTTCCCATCTTTCTCCCTCCTCTTGACCTTTGCACTCGTGCGACGACTTTGGCTATTGCACACCTCTCCAGCTTAGCAATAAGCTTATTGGCGTCAAGTTTTGACCTGAAGGTGCTCTCTTCCACTGTGGTCTTGCTCAGGCTACCCTTTCGCCTGTCGTTTTCTTTGTCAGTTGGCCATCTTCATTATACATCACTCCCACTCGTGCAGTTAATTACGCCCCCCATCACACAGAGAAATCTTTGGGCTCTTTGAACAGGAGCTACACACTCTCAATTTTCGTTTGCATTTTCCCGCCCAAGCACACGAGTCTATTTTTGATCTCATCGTGGCTCTTCAACTCGAATGAATCATTTCGTCGCTGTGTTTCAACATGTCATGAGCTGCGTCGGCTAACTCAATTTTTTCAGAAAGACCACGCTACAGAGACTGCCCCGGCATTGAACTCTCCTACAAATCCTACATTATTCTTCTACGTTCGACACTTCCAAGATTCACTAGCAGCGGCTGAATATACACTCAGGTACGTCTGCTATAAGGAAGCTGGTTGAGCTATTGGCCCGACTATGCTTTTTCTCTCTCTTGATTCGAATGTCTCGTTTCATTTATCTGCTCAAAGATATCTAATTTTGTTCCAGATACTTGTCGAGAAGCCGCCACTCAGAAATAGAGACTGCTTCACAGCGAAAGCCAAAGTAAGCATCTCACTCATGTCTCTTGATCTTGCTCTTCCATTGTCGGTATATGATACTGCATATGTCTGCCGGCTTGGGCATTCACATCCTATCAAATGCACACAATATACATCTTCTCTCTTCTCTTTCCTTTCTTTCTTCTTTCCTTCTTCTTTTTCTTTCTTTCTGGTTTCTCTACTAAGTTGTATCTGCAGTCAGAATGTCTGATCGAGGCCGCTCCCCAGCCGGCTCTGCGCATGGCGCCTCACCCCAATCCCGGCCACCGTCTGTGGCAGGCTCTAGCCGAAGCCGAGCTGCTTCCCCAGCGCAGACTTCAGGCTCCGGTGATCCCAAGACTGGATGGGCGCCTAGCATGGGATTCGACCCGGCAAAGCCACCGAGCAAGGATCGAAAGGGCAACACCCGCATGGAACTGCCTCCAGATGCCTTCATTTCCAACGAGGATCGCAAAGATATTTTTGCTACTCGTGGAAATAAATTTAATACCGAGGGTCGTATGGAAAAGGTTGAAGTCAATCAGTTTCGTATGACCAAGTTTGACTTCAATAAGAAAATATATCAGTATGATGTGAGTAGTATACTTGAATCAAAATTCCTGGAAAATCTTATCACTGACACTTCTCACTAGATTGTCCTTTCACCTGAACCGGAGAAACGTGGACCGGTGATGAAGAAGATTTGGGCTCACGCAAATCTTCGACAGGCGCTGTCTGCCTACAACTACCAAATGTGGATTATCGATGGCTCTAGACTGGCATGGTCTCCTTCTTTGGTGGATCGCGGCGAGGTTCGCGTCATTGTTGATCTTGATGATGGTCAGCCTCCAGCTCGTGCTGGCCGCTCCAACAAGTTCCACGTCATTTTGCGCAATACAACGGAAATTCAGATGGGTGTTCTTCGAGGATACCTGGAGAGAAAAATCCAATTCAACAACAACGTTCAGGAAGCACTCAACTTCATGGACCACCTTATTCGCCAGTGGCCATCGGAGCATTTACTCGCCATCAAGCGCAATTTCTACAAGAAGAATGAGCCTGGAATCCCTCTCCTACGTGATGGTGTTATTGAAGTTCACAAAGGAACGTACGCTTCGCTGAGACTCTCCAATAATCTCAGCAACGGAGGCATTGGTCTGGCTCTTAACGCAGATGTTACTAACACCTGCTTTTGGACTGGCCGCCAAACATTGGATCAGATCATGGTCAACTTTATGGCCTCTCTTGACCCTAAGCGTTATAGGGGTATTAACCCGGCGACCACGACGCTTTTTAGGCCCTCGCAAAACAATAGAGGGGAGTGGCAGTCATCTGATGCTTTTAAGCAGCTGCGAAAGCTGCGAAAACTCAAGTTCACCATCAGACACAACAACCGCAACCCCAAAGTTGCTGAGAAGGTATACACAGTGGTGGACTTTTTATTTGACCAGAAGTACGGCGGAGAGGGCGCCAATGCCAGAACTGTCACGTTCGACTACAACGGACGACAGTTGTCTGTCGCGGATTACTACCGAGAGAAGTATAACGCTCACTTGCGATATGCGCATCTTCCACTCATCTCTACGGGTAAAAATGGCCACATTCCCATGGAGTTTGCGTTTGTTGAGCCGATGCAGCGATATGCTTACAAGCTAACCCCCGATCAAACCGCCGCAATGATCAAAATTGCTGTCACTCGTCCAAATGTTCGCAAGAGTGACATCATGAAGAACGTCGGAGATCTTCAGCTGCAAAGGGATCCTTATCTCAAGCACTATGGAATCCAGCTGGAGTCAACATTTTCGAAGACGGATGCCAGAGTCTTGAACGCGCCTCTTGTGAACTTTAGACAAGGCACAGCTGACCCCAAGTACTCTGGCCGTTGGGATTTACGTGGCAAGAAGTTTTTCAGGCAGAACGCGGCACCTCTTATTAACTGGGGTTTCCTGGTGATGGATGACTGTGTCAACCCCAATCAAGTCCAGCAATTTGCTCGAACTTTCAAAACAGCTTTCATGGGCCATGGAGGTAAATGCCCAAATGATCCAATGTTCATTACCGTTCCTGGCAACATCAAATCAAACGTCGCCCAAGCGCTTGCACATGCACACGAATCAATTACGCGAGAGCGAGGCTATACTCAACTCATCTTTGTTGTTGTTCAGCACAAGAACAGCCCTCATTATGAGCGTTTGAAGAAGTCTGCCGACTGCCGTTTCGGTATTTTGACTCAGGTTGTGAATGGAAACCAAGTCGCATCAAACAATGGCCAGTACCACTCGAATGTTTGCATGAAAGTCAATGCAAAGCTCGGCGGAGCGACATCACGTACGAACCCCCCGTGGAAGCTGAACCCAGGAGGCACATATTTCCCCAAAGATCGTCCCACAATGGTCATTGGAGTTGATATCTCTCATGCTGCTCCTGGTGGACCCTCGCCTTCCGTGGCCGCTATGACAATGTCTATTGATAGAGACGCAACCAAATATGCAGCCATGGTTGAGACGAATGGTTATCGCGTGGAAATGCTCACTTCTGCCAACATCAACTTTATGTTTGGACACCTGAGTAAAGTGTGGATGGGTGGTCATGATCGCCAATTCCCCAAGCACGTCATGTATTTCCGTGACGGCGTTGCCGAAGGCCAGTTTGCTCATGTCATGGAGCAAGAGATTAAAGAGATCAAGGCTTATTTTAAACGAGCAGCTCCAGACCAGCCGCTGCCAAAATTCACGGTGATTGTGGCCACCAAGCGCCATCATATTCGATTTTTCCCAGAAAAGGGAGACCGAAACGGCAACGCCTTGCCAGGAACTCTGGTCGAGAAGGAGGTGACACACCCATTCATGTTCGACTTCTATTTGTGCTCGCATGTAGCTATTCAAGGCACCGCCAGACCCGTCCACTACCACGTTCTTCTCGATGAGATGAACATTCCGGTCAATGAGCTACAAAAGATGATTTACCATCAGTGCTATTCCTATGCCAGATCAACAACGCCAGTATCATTGCACCCAGCAGTGTACTACGCGCATCTCGCCGGTGCTCGAGCTCGAGCTCACGAGAATATTGCAACCAGCGAAGGTTTCCGAGCCGGCGCAAAGGGTCACGAAATGATTCGTGACAAGGTGGCCAAAGGCGAATCACTCAGTGCCCCTCAACGGGGAAGTGATGCTCCTGCCCTCCTCCAACTTGGCGGTAGGCCCGAGAATGCTAATAGTCCCATCAATGGTGAGTTGAGGCAGAGAGACTTCTTCCGAAGCACCATGTGGTACATCTAAGTAGTCGCTGCGATGCAAAGAATGGAGGCGAGGTTTGAGACAGAAATTTGCTTTCATAGGAGAGTGTGGATGGAACATCGATGAGGGGTTTTATCGTAGAAAGTTTGACAGGAAGCTTTCTTTTTTGGGCTGTTCTTACACAGATATGGGGCACTTTCCAGTACCCAACATGCACAAAAGGGGCGACCGGATTGGCGGGAAGTGGCGGTGGAAGTTATTTGCTCTTATAATGGGTTCGTATAATTTAGCTAATTAACAGAAGTTTTTGTTTTTTTTTAAAACAAAAATAGTTACAAAGTTATATGTGCCATTGATGGTGATATGCGCTACCTCAAGTTCGAACGTTGCCTGCGGGGGAACCAATTATCTACGCTCTGCTTGATATACGAAACTTGAAATGGTGGCGTAATTGCATGGTCTTGCCCAGCTATACTCACACAATTCTAGTAAATATTGTAATCTTGATCAGCACGTACAGTAGCGTGTTGTAAGAAGATAGTAGAGGGGGGATTTTGGAGATGGAGTAGGCCAACGAGCGAATGGATGGATAATCGAGACGACAATGCTCTTTTTTGCTGCTTCTACTGCCTCTACTGCTTCTACCATAGATTCATCAAGTGAGTCACCCTTTGGAAATCCTCATCTTCTTATTCTTCTCTTTGTATGTATTGTCATATTGCGGTAGTAGTCATACGGAATTTGGCCGAAGCTGGTGCTTGGCGTGTAAATGCCCAGAGGCGCTGTGGAACTGCCGGTGGCTTCGGCCCCAAGACCCCGCCATGGAGCACTGCCCTGGCCCCGCCTTGCTTGTTACTGTTCCTGGGCTCATGTCAGCTCTTTGTTGACCAAACAAATGCTGCTCCCTTGAATCCAACCTCCCGCAAACTCACTGCTAGCTACGGCGCGCCATGGCTGGCTTTCTGCGAGGCAAGCAGGCAGGCATCCAGAATGACCTGTCTGGCAGCATCCGACCAGAGCTCTTTACTCCCGACGACCATGCGCGATACGGCCTCAACTCGCAGATAAGGTGAGTGTCGATTCCTAGCTATGACGCAACAAATGCCCCGCCATAGCACGACGGCGAAGACGACGATGGCGATGGCGATTGAGAATATTCACCGCGGCGGCAGACGACATGGAGGGGAGGTGAAACTGGTGTGAATGTGATCGCTAACATACATGCGATAAACAGCTGCTTTGCATACGATCCTGTACAGTCTCTGCTTGCCATCGGAACGGCCGAGAGCAAGTTTGGCCCGGGCAAGATCTATGTTTTCGGCCAACAACGCGTGCAGAAGACTTTTGATCCGCCGCGACGAACCTCGTTCCAGTCCGTGCAGTTCAGCGCAAACCGTCTCGTCAGCCTCGACAGGAACAATGAGCTCAGCCTTTGGGATCTCGACACGGGGGAGCGTGTGGCGACGCAGGTCATTGGCGGAACTGTGGCCGCGATGGTGACGGATCCCATGCTCGACTGGGCTTTTATCGGAATGCAGAACGGAGACGTCTTGGCTTATGACCTCGATCGACATGGCCTCGCTCGGCAGTTTCGTCTCCCAAACTTTTGGAGAGACAAGGATCCAACGCAGCACGCTGTCACCTTGATCACCATGTCGATGCACCCTCGAGACGCTGGAAAGCTCTTGATCGGGTATAGCCATGGCGCAGTCGTCTATACGTTTAAGCAAAACCAGCCACAGCAATTCATGGAATATGTTTTGCCGCCTGGAGCGCCTGGAGGAAGCAGCCTCGGCATGGATACTGTGCGCCGCCCTCGTTTGACCCATGCGCTGTGGCATCCTTCCGGAACCTTTATCCTCACTGCACACGAAGATGGAAGCTTGGTCTTCTGGGATCCCAAGGAAGGGAAAATTGTCATGGCAAGAACCCTCACGGAAATGGGCATCCACCATGCCACCCCGAGCGCACCGACGCCGGGATACTCTGATCCTTTTGTCAAGATAGCTTGGTGCTGCAAGAAGAACTGCGACGATACAGGTTTATTGATTGCGGGTGGCGAGGGTGTTGATGCGTCCCCCAAGAGTTTGACATTCATCGAGCTTGGTATGACGCCTGTATACGCTACCTCTACTTGGCAGGCTTTGGAGAATCATTTCCGCGGCAAGCGACATATTCCGTTAGCACTGCCACCGGGAGCTCAAGCGGTGGATTTTCTGCTTATCCCAAGAGACTCCCCTTATTTTGGAGGCGCGCAGGATCCCATTGCCGTGGTTGTGCTGCTCACTTCTGGAGAGCTGATTACTTTGAGTTTCCCGTCAGGCTACCAGATTAGCCCTACGAACCAGCTTCATCCGTCTACCTTCTTCGTACATCCCTTTGTTACAAAGTTCAATGTCTCCAGTGTTGATCGGCCTAGGTGGCTGACGATGGTGGAGAAGAGGGACCAGGGAGAAGCAATCTTGAAGGGCGGAGCAGCTGGCCCGAGACCGAGAAAACGATTCGAAGATCGCACAATTATTCAGACTGCACATGCTGATAGTATCATCAGACTATGGGACTCTGGACACGCTGATCAAATTGAAAATGAAGTCCAGCTGCAGGTTGACCTGGCCAGGGCCTTGGATCGATTTGAAGACGTGGAAGTTACGGCGATGAGCTTGTCCAGCGCTACCGCCGAGTTCATTGTTGGCACCAAGACAGGAGAGGCTGTAATATTTCGCTGGGGAGTAAACCACTCTTATGGGAGGAATGAGCCCAAGCAGCTAGATCCAAATCCAAAGGGACTCTCAGACATCAGCTCAAGGGCGGAGCCGAACTTAAAGGAAGGGCTTAATCCAGCTGTCCTGTACGAGATGATGCAAGGCCCGGTCACTGCCGTTCAGATATCAAACGTTGGATTCGCTGCGGTTGGATCAGAGCTTGGTTTTTTGACACTGATCGATCTCCGGGGCCCCAAGATCATTTTCCAAGCTCCAATGACTGATTTCGCAAAGACGGAGAATAGAATGTCATTTCTCAAGGGCCACTCGCGATCGAGCTCAGCACCGCCGAAAGAGTGGCCCACGGCGATTGAGTTTGGTGTGATGACGCTGGATGATGACAAGTATTCATCAATTTGTTGCTTTGTTGGGACCAACATGGGCAAAGTCATTACTTTGAAGCTGTTGCCCGGCGGAGGAGGATCGTATTCGGCCGAGGTAGCAGGAACGGTGACCTTTGATGGAAAAGTTGTGTCTCTGAACCCCATTCAGGCTGATACAGGCAAACCAGCGCTAGCCACGGGACATACCGTGGGTGGGTTGCGAGAGGGACGCCAAGTGAATGGAGCTCTCGTTGCAGGCAAGTATTCTCCTATTTAATCTCATCCATCTTGTTGCCGGTCTCGGGTTACAGGCAAAGTCTATATGACCATCATCCAATAGACGGTCAAGCTAATGCTGGGAATAGTTACCGAGAAGGAAATCAGGATATGCAGACCTGCTCACTCGAAGGGTGCCTCCAAAGAATTCGATGATGTAATATGTGATTCAGCTTGCGTGGCAGAGCTTGAATTGAATGGCTATGCTATTGTTGCGGCTTTCAGAGACGGGTCAGCTCGAGCATATAGCATTCCAGGCATGCGAGACCTCGGTAGTGCGAAGCTCCCAATGGTGGATCGTACTCGAAGCACAGCAAGCATTGTGACGCAAACAGGCGACATATTCGCCTGGGCAGGACCGGCAGAAATGGCTGTCGTTCACGTTTGGGGAGCGGGCAAGGAGCTACAGCAGTCCCCAGACGTGCTGATCAACCCCAAGATACCTCTCCCGACCCGGCCGACGATTTCTAACCTTCAATGGATAAGCGGAACACAGCATGTTTCACCGCTGGATCTCGACCTTTTGATAGGAGGCCCCAACAGACCGCCTAGTAAGAGGATGATGGAGGCCGCGGCGGCGGAGCAACGTGCTGCCAAGATTGGTAATACTGTAGGATCCTCCAAAGAGGGCTGGGGAGACTATTTGACGCGGCAGCTCAACGAGAGAACGGAGAAGCTGAATCTTATGGGGGATACGATGAATACGCTGCAGGAGCAATCGGAAGGATGGGCGGATGATGTTAGCAAGTTTGTGGGGAGGCAGAAGCGGAGTATGGTTATGGGGGCTTTGTCATCGAAATTCTTTTGAGAAGGAATCGGGAGGAGTTTGTATGTTTGCTTTTGTCCAAAGAGATTTTAGATGTGCGGCAATACAGTGTTTGTACGATATAGGAGATACCAGGTTTGTTCTTTGCTGGTACGCTTTGGGCGCTTTTTGTATGATGTGTGAAAACAATTTTGAGCTTGACTCCCATTTAAAGGATTTTATACCAATCTAGCTTAATCCCCATACTGCTGCTACTGCTGCTACCGCAACCGCTAGGTGTTAAAATATCACTGAATTGATGTTATGGCTAAAATTCCCTATTCTCGTTCAAATCATATCGCCGAAAATTCTCAGATTCGTCCAGATTATGTCGCCGAAAGTTTCCATCTTCGTCCCCAAATAATATCGCTGGTAGTTCCCATTCTCATACAAATAATTATATTTTGCCCGGCGCCTACTCGAAAATTATATTCTCGCTTGCTTCGCTTTGGCCGCCCATGTCTTCATCTTGTTCTTCATCTCATAAACCCCTTCGTGGCTGAACGTTGTTGTACACTGCTTGATGATGCTGGAATACTTTCCGTAAATGTGGCGGTTGTAGCGCCCCAAGTTATGATTGTACCTTTTATCGGGAAGTTGAATTTGAAGAGTATAGTCATTTTATATTGTTGCTCGACAAAGCGGCCGCCAATATGGTACGTATGCTGTGATATTGCTCTGCCTTCACCGTGGGTTTCTTTCCACACAACGGGCCGGGCATTTAGTGAGCAGAGAAGAGCAGGAGGAGAGGAATAACAGGCAGGCGAACAGCTACAGTAAGATTACGTGGCAGCAATGGCAGCAATGATAGCAATTATCGTAATAATAACAGCAGCGGTAGCTGAAGTAGATGAGATGATTTTTCTAACATAACAACTCTAGAAGAATTTAAAATCGCTATTTTATGAAGAGTTTTGAACAGTTTCCCATAACTCAAGCCACAATTGCTATTGTTGAAGGAAAACGACAGAGAATGCGCCATTGCCACGATTGGGGGTACCAAGACCATGGATATTTCTCTGAAATCTTATGGTTGGTAGTCTGGGTAGTAGTCTTGCGGTCTGACCATGAGTTTAATAGTATCTGGGTATTGGATCTTAATTTCGACACCCTTTTCTCTCTTCAGTCGTGTGGTCATGACAGCCCCAATAGCACCAGGATTGTCAGTCGTCCCCGCCCGATCCCAATACTCATCGTCCAGGATAAAATCGTCCTCTTCCTCCTTCTTCTCTTCCTCCTCGCCTCCAGAACTCGAGGAAGTTTCCCAGCTTATTCTCATTTCATGCTTGAGCCAAGACTGCGCAAAATCGATGAAAAAAGGCTGTTGCGATTGTTGATGTACAATCACATTGCGCGGGGAACAGTCGTCCATGACCAAGCCGGACTTGTTGATCTCGTGAGCCAAGTCTACAGAGCGCTGTACTAGAGGCTCCCATTCCTTGACATCTATTGATGAGCTGTCGAGGTTCATCAGATTAATTCCAGGGATATATTGTAGGAGGATGCCTTTGACATGCCAGTATTTCGCAGCCGGTTCGTTGATAAGATCTGATGGAACGATTGAGCTTGCACCAGCTAACCGGACGGTGGCCAGTAAACGCGGTATTCCAGTGCCTTGAAAGCCTTTCAAATGCTCGTAGGCCTTGACCTCACACTCAAACATGTCTTCGCACTCCTGCCAGACAGCTGCTTCGAATCTGTCTATTGCATGCTCGCCGCCATCGTCGTCATCGCCGTCATCATCGGAAAGAAAATGCCAAGGCCGCTTTTCAAGCATAGCCTTCTCTCGGTCTTGGAGTAGCTTTGTGATGAAACGATCCATGTCATTCCGCCTTACCATGGAGTTAAACCCCTTTTCTGACGCACGCATATAAGGCCAATGTACCCGTCCGTTGCTGCGAAGGTCTTCCCCGAAACGACGATCAAATAACTTGAGAACTGCCTCTAGTGGCTCACCAGAGTCCAGGCGAAGAATAATACGCATCACTGAAGACATGGTGACACCGAGTATCTTGACAATGGATGCTGAAGTCACCTGGGGCAAAGGCAAGTCCTGGTAGTTTCGCATGATTTCAAGTTGTAGAGAAGCGCCCTCGACGTATGGCGTGGCAATTCTCGCGGCCGTTCTAATCGCAAGTTCAGCAAGCTGGTCATTTGGTAGCCACATCCAGGTGTCTCCTACATCATTTCGGCCAGTCTTTCAGGTTCAGATTCAGATATGTCGTCCGTGCGAAAAACAACACGCATCGCTGAAGACATGGCGATTTGAAACTGTGTGTCAAGGATATGCAGTATGTATAGAGATTAACAAAGAAGTAAACCAAGCCTTTCGATCAATTGCGTGAGTTGTTACTGCGCATGTTGGTAGTCGATGAAGAGCGAGTCGCACGAAATATAGAGGCAGCAAATGCCCATTAGTGGAGTTCAGCGCAAACAGGCGCTAAAGCTCAAACTCTCGAGCACGTTGAGCGACCAACTGCTTGGTTTCGCTTTGCTGTTGGCTGTACAAGCAATTGACCTCAGCGGCGCTTTTAGAATTACGCGGCGAGTGACTCATCCAGCACAGCTGTTTAGCCTTGAATCATCTTATCAATGGCTTTTTACTCCATAGAAGCCTCAGGTCGCCTAGTACTTCTAGGTCCTCAATGCTACCTCACATCTTTGTATTGCTACCGAGTGTTTTCCAAGGAGGCCTCTTTTGTTGGCTCGGCTGACCTGGATGCGTGTTGGGCTTTTTCTTTTTGGGAGAAGTTATCCAGCACCCTAATTTCATTATCCAACACCCCAACTGTAGTATAATAGGGCAGCTAGTTTATATATTAAATATACAGCTGCCAAATACTTATTAAAATGGCAATAGTAGTAGCAGTAGTAGCAGTAGTAGCAGTAGTAGCAGTAGTAACAGTAGTAGCAGTAGTAGCAGTAGCAGTAGTAGCAGTAGTAGCAGTAGTAGCAGTAGTAGCAGTAGTAGCAGTAGTAGCAGCAGTAGCAGTAGTAGCAGCAGTAGCAGTAGTAGCAGCAGTAGCAGCCTAAGCTACAGCTGGAGTGCTAAATAACATACATGTAGTTAGGGTGCTAGATAACTTCTCTCTTTATTTTTGGGGTGTTGGATAACAGAACTGGGGTGCTGGATAATGGCTCCTTTTTTTTTTATACGTAGTTTTTTTCTTCGCTCTCCTTTATCAGGATATACAAGTCAAATCTTTATGCGAACTTCGTCTTTCAACATGATTGACATGAAAACTTCTCTCACAACCCGGTATCAACGACTGTTTTCTTACTGTACTATAAGTCTTCCATCCTAGCTAAACGCCTCTGTCAAAGTCCCTTGCGAGAAACCTGGCTTTCGCTAATCTGTTCCAACGTTCTGGGGAAAGCTTGATGGGCGCCAGCTTCATTATCGATCCATTTTGACCCTTGGTTTCCTTCAAGTCCGGGTAGACCTGGCTGTGGCCCATTCCTCAGCGTTCATGCCGTTTTGCCAAGGATATATCGAATGAACTTTGTGAATTTGTTGACAATCAGGAGAACAGCGCCCGTTCCGTCGGTTGTCATCGGAAGTCCGGTGATAGAATCCAGACAGATTGTGGGCAATGGCGATCTGGGGCTCGGCACCGATTTCAGGTCTCCGTATGGTAGTCCACGTCGCGGCGTCGCTAAAACTTTGCAGCAATGTAGCAAGTAGGCCCGTAATGCTGTACGAAATACGAAGGCATGATAACATTGAGCTTTGACGTTCCATGTGGCGCTAGGTAGGCGATTGTGGGTAACATGAGTTAATTAGAGCCAAACTTAATCTCGAATTCAAGTCTCGCCATCATTAGTTCGTGGCTCGGGCCGAGGCGGTACTAGCCAGTTAGTTTTTCATCTCTCTTTTGCCATCCAGTGGCCAGTTTGCCCGACAAATCTCAAAGGAAACAGGATTCTCGGGCTCACCATATCTGTAAATGATAGGAGCGCGCAATATTGACAAGAAAGAAAAACGGCAACCTTTCTCTGTTATGGACTGACGAGAATGGTTATATGAGGATCATTAATCCCGAGGCGACTGATTCTAATTTAATAAGAAAGAAGAGAAAGAGAGAAGAAAGCCGCAATCAGAGACCCCCGAGGCGAGAATTTTTTTTTCGCATTGGGGTGGCCACCCTCTCTGTCAGCCTGTCTCACAGGTGTGGCTGTCAAGTATCTTTTTCAAGTACAGAAGTAACTCAATAATATCACATATCATACACAATACACCTGAAACTTATTAAATCAGAACTGTAAGCACTAGTGACCCAGCAATTTGGCTGGGCCAGTAGAAATAGAAATCGAAATATGGGAGTCCCGAGCCAGTAATGGACGAGCCTAGAGAAGGAATGAAAAATCAACATGGATGTGAGAAGTAGCACAAGCGCCTTGGACTGGCACAACACCGAGCAAAGGCATTTTTTCGCATCATCATGCAGCCATGATTTCCTGAGTCTTTCCGAGATGTTCAGGGTGTGTGTGTGTGTGTGTGGCAGCTACCAACGGTCGGGCTAAATCCAGCAATAATTGGTGTCAACGGGTCGCCGTGAGCTCAACCGCAAGCTGAGCATTTTCTATTTTTAGCAGACCCTTCCACGCCGACATGAAAAATTTTCTCAATCGTTCATTCGTTATCTCGGCAGATACGAGAGAGCGCTGCTATGCAAACCGTGTTGGGCAAACGGCAAAAGCTCTCAGTGTGCCCAGCTCAGTGCGCGCGCATGGCCATCTTCCAGATACTGCGGCCCGGATTCACGTAACTCGATGCAAAATGAAGACATGTGCAACAATGGGACTATCAGATAAATTCATATGGCGCCATTCCCTGATATGCCTGTGCAAATGTAGGCTTACCAAACGTTTCGGGTATGCTGCCGTTGTACAAGATATGATACATGACGGTGTGCAGGAATAGCCTACATCGACACACATCGGCATCCGTCGACATACCTTGACCCCTTTTTCGCGCATTTCATGCCGGCTCTCAGTTGTCCTTATTTCCGTCAGGTAATTCAAAGTTCTCTGCCGCTATCATTCAAGCCCCAAGTAGTTTTCAGTCTAGAATGATCAGAGGAGACTCTGCATGGGCATGCGTAAATAGAGCCAACTGATATCAGATTTTTAGACTAGTCGTGGTATCGATGGGTATATAGTCGTGATGAGGTGCGTTATAGCGTGCGTTATATCCTTAATAGAGATTCAGCTTCAAGTAAGGGCCACCCGTAAATAGGGTATATACCGGCCTACTCTTTTATTTCAAGGACCCTAAAAGTATATGCTTTGCGTTTCCATTTTGGGAGATTCATGCCGCTCTCCATTCATGAAGCATTTACACGTCAGGTGTTCTGCCTTTCCCGCAAATGAATCCGTTAGCTGAAGAAGAAATTAGAGAATATAGCTTATACCGAGACTGCCATTTATGGGGCCTGTATAAGAGCAATCTGGATTTGCCGTGCTACATGCAAGACAACAAAAGGAGCGGGAGAACTTGATTGAGTTGTGGGGAAAGAAGTCCTGTGAGATACGAAGGCCGCGAGCGAAGAACATGGAAGTGCATAGAAACCGTCTCGCCGCCTTGCCAGGGATAGAAATTTGGCATTTCAACCGTTTTTTTGCCCCTATTAATCACGGTGGCTGGGAAAATACTAGTCGTCTCTCACAAAGCAGATTAAGTGGTCTTATGACACTCAGTGTGGCTCGTTATGTCTCAAGGTCTCCAAATTGGGGGCCTGGTGGACCCGAAGGAACCAGTCATGATACAAGAACACCCTCCTTTTTTACACTTTGGGATATCCCGCCTTGTTTTAACGTGAGGCAGCCACAGCTTTTTTTTTTTTTTTTTTTTTTAAAAAAAAAAAAAAACAATTGTGGAATGGAAAGGGAGATCAGGCTCTCGGAGCTGTAAGCTGTTGAACTTCGGCTTCGACATCTAGATATTACCTTTATATAAGTTTGAGTGCTTAATTGTTTATGAAGTCCAGCTTTTTGGACCTAACAGTTTTGCTTCTATTTAATTATAAATTATTTCCCTCTAACATAGCTGATAATTGATTGAACTGCAAGGTCTCCCGTGGCAACTACAATCAATAAATAAATATTTGCTAGAGCGGTTAAAGTGGGTTTATTACCACTTTTGTCTGCCTGATAAAAAGCGCGCAGGGATCAAATCCGTCTGACCAACACAGATATCAGAAAGGTGCTTAGGGAGGCCTTCCACTCAGGTATATAATAAGTATTTAGTTTAGTTCGTTTCTGCAGATTTCTATGTTGCACGCCCCCCCTGCAGCTGGCGATACTTACTCGAAAGTATACAGCACTAAGTTCTATAACTCTAATAGGTAATTTCCTAAAGGCTTGAACGAATCACTGAATAGGTAGATAGTTAGACATGACAGTACTTCGATTAGCCACACATGAAATAATGCGGTGAGGGCATCTGCCGAGCGGGAGAGCGTCGGAAGAGCAATCCCAATATGTGGGCCTCCCATTTATCCAAGCAAAGGCAACGGGCTTTGGATTCACCTGCAAACCAATGGCTTTAGAGATTATACGCACTGAAACGGACTGAAAGCAAGAGATGCGAGGAGGCGGTGAAGGATTTTCATGGAATGTTCAAAATGATTGCTCGCTGAGGTTGGTAGACAATATGATGCTAGTTGACACGGAAGAACAGAGAAGCGGGCGACGAGCGAAAGAAGGGATTTCGATGCACCGTGGCGCTCGCCGCTTTAGTAGACCATCAACATTAGTACATGTATCATAATGTTGCTGACTTATGTTTTGCGAGTCAGCAATAAATATCGCCTGGTTGATGCCCAACCTATGAAGGAGGCTACATACCGCATATGCCGGTGAGTGACTGGGTCGCGGACTAAACCCACCGGCACACCGCAGCTAATGCAGTAGATACCATATCAAGGCATCGCTTTTTCTCTTGATAACTCCATGAACAGCACGAATTGGGAAGAAAATCAGCGGCACAAATCAAGAGGGTCGGTGACGAGAGATGGGCTCTGGCGATCAACTATGTAGTTGGCGAGTGATGTCGCCCGTTTCGGCCATTTCACCATGCATGGATTTTTCTTTCTTTTCTTTTTCTTTTCAAGGAACAGTTCTCTAGCACCCCAATTTCATTATCCGCCGCCCCAGCTGTAGCTAAATAAGCCAGCCAGTTCGTATAGTAAAATATACACCTGCTAATCACACCTATTAGTAGCATCAGTAGCGGCAGTAGCGGCAGTGGCCCACGC